GTCTCGAAGTTATAGTTCCGGGTAGTTTCTAGGGGAAGGGTTTTTCTTGGTAAGGAACGCCGAAAAATTTTCCCGCTAGGTCGGAGGAAAGACTAGTATGTTTTCCGGTTGTAACGTAATAACTAAGGCCTGGGGCCTGGTGTAAGTTAGGGGGGTAGATAAGCTAGCTGTGCCGGTTCGTTTGGCGCCGGATTTAGGTCCCTGGGAGCGCTAGTTGTTACGTTCCCTTCTAATAGTTTGTCCTTCGGGTTTTTCCGTTTCTTAACTAGGCTTTAAATATATGATGTAGATCTTTTCTCCCCTGCGTCTTATTCGTTTAAGCGCTACGGCGGAGATTTCCTTGATTTCGATTAGTTCGGAGGTTTCGGTATTTTATTCCGAGGGATCCTTTTAGGAAGCGCGCGTACTATTCGGTCCGTTTTAAACGCTCGGTCCTCTAGAGCTCTAGTACTTATAGCTCTAGCTTTTCTAGTTCTAGCTGCTTTAGCTCTAACTCCTAAGCTCTAGCTTTTCTTTCCTCTGGCTCTCCGGGTTCTTGCTTGCGTAGCTCTCGGTTGTCCGCTGAGCTTCTATAAGGTGTCGGTTATAGTTCCTATCTAGGAACGTAACTTCTCCTATTCTCTATCGAATATAGGGTTCGTGTGTTCTTAACTATAGTATTCCTAAGATTATGTTATAGGAGGCGATAGTTATGATATCTAGGTTGATTTTTTCCTTGTATTAGCTAATGATGAGGGTAGATTAGTTGGTTTCGATTTGTATCTAACCCTTTCCGTAGGTGGAGGGTATTCCGTTAACTGTATTAAGCGCGTAAGGCTCGTCTTTAGCTTAATATAGTAGGCGATTTTTAATAACGAAGGCGGGACTGATAAAGTTACCGCTTGCTCTGCTATCTATTATAATCCTAGCGCTTTTCCTATTAATTTTAGCGGTGATTATAAGGTGTTTCTAAAGGTTTATTCCGGTAGGTATAGTTCCGTTCGCTGTTCTAATTACCTAGTTTAGGGACCTAGACTCCGGCCCCTGTAAGGGTCTTATATATTACTGTGTAGGGCCGTCTAGTTTTTTAACTATCCTTTTTTAGATCCTTAGTCGCTTAAGCCCGGCGTATCTTCGTAGAGTTCGCCGTTATCGCTATTAACTAGTAAATTATCTTCCGGGAATTCCTCTATAATCCTTTAGAGTTCTTTCTTAGTAAGGGTTCCCTACTTATTTACTTTACGGACTTGTTTGGCCGTTTGCTTCTTAGGCTTGCGTAGGAACTATCCTGTGACTAGTTTCTTACTTTAATAGATCCGGTAATTATCGTCGTAATATGTAGTCTAACTAAGCGTCCTATGCTTAGGTTCTTTTCGGGCTGCTACTGATGTAGTTCGATTGGTGGTAGCGGCTTCTTTCCCTTTGTTCTTGTTTCGCGGATTCTGCGGGTAGCTGTATCTGGGTTTCTATTTGTTACTATAGTGGATATAGAGGTTCTTATTGAACCTTTCTTTTTGTTAATCGGTCTACTTGCTGTGGGCTTTGCGGTTGTTCTTTCCTTTTTTGCCTTTGTCCTTATTGTCCCGGGATGAGCTGTCTAATTCTATAGCGTTACCTCCTTCTTAGGTATGTCTTGGCCTTATGGATCGAGATGTGTTAGCTTGCTTATCCTAGCCGCGCTGTAAGCGGCGGCGGTCTAATATAGTAGCGAGTTAAATTATTTCCGTAAGGTTATCGGGTTCCTCGTGGTAGGTTATTGCTTCCTAAATTTCGTCCTTTAATCCTTGGGCGTAGAACGTCCTGAGCGTGTAGTCGGTGTGATGTCCGGCTACGTATGCCGCGTTCTAGAAGTCTGTGGTGTAATCTAATACTGACTTCTTCTGTTTTAGGGTTTGAAGCGTTCTTGTGGCTTTGCGGGTTTCGTCGATGTCTGTAAAAGCCTCTTTAAGGTACTCGACGAAAGTTCGGTAGTCGTTAAAGACTTCCTAGGTTCGATCGGTTTATTCCTATTGCTGTTTTTCCTAACGTTCTCTTTTTATTAGACGGAACTATTTTTCCGCCGCGCCGCGTAGGTAAGTGCTAGCGTATAGGACCTTTTCTTCGTCGTCGGTGAATTGTCCGCGCGAGAAGTGGAGGTAGTCGTCTAATTGAGTAAGGAAGTTCTGGGTCTTGTGCCGGTCTCTATAGTAGAGATTAGGCTTTAAAACCTTGGTATGGGATGTAGCTGGTGTAGCTGGGAGTGATGTAGCGGCGGGCGCGGTCGTAGGTTGAACCGGTTGAGCTCTCTATGGTGGGGCTACTAGGGCTATATTTTCCTGCGCTGGCGGACCTGTCTGTGGAACTTGCCCTTGGTTGATGCGGGCTCGAAGGCGTATATTTTCCTATATCTAATTGTTTAGTTGCGACTGGAGGTTGGCTATTTGTCCCTGTATGCCTTGTATTATGGCGAAGATATTATCTAGAGTCGTAGGGTTCCTCTGCTGCTGTTGCTCCTGGGGGATACTACTGCCGTCGTTTATATCGACTGTTAATATCTTATCCTGCCTAAGTTAGATAGGACGGGGTGATACTTTACTAATTAATCTTGACTTCGGTCTTAAGTCTTCCTTCCTTCTTGTAAGGATGGTGGTTAAAGTATAACGAGGCCTCTTTAGCCTAGGCGTTAGAATTGCCTAGCGGGTGAATAGGTTCGAAGGATTTACCTTGAAGGATAAGAAGTGTAGGAAGTTAAGAGATAAGTTACGTGAATATCGGGGTAGGCGTGTTACTATTAACCTTTAGTAGAGATTAATACTTTGAGTTGACTACGAAGGTCCTATCTACTGCTAGAGAGCGTAGTCTAAATATATGTAGGAGATGCTAATAATCTAGATTATGTCTTTGGATTATAATATTAGATTAGGTATATGGATTAGTTCTGATCTATTAGCCCGTGCGTAGGGATTATTCTAAGTTATATAACTTTTCGTGCTACTTTTCTGACGGCTAACTTTCTGCGACCTGATAACCTTCCTCCTTGTTATAGAGCGGACGCGATAAGTTTCTTGCCCTTAATCGCTCTATGGCTTTGTTGTCGGCTTGCTACTTTTATCCTTATAGATGATAATCCCTTATGGGCTCCTCGGGGTTACGGCCTTGGTTTCCTTACGGTCTTTACCTAGTATGTATCTGCTGGTGTCTTGCGGGACGCGGGCCCTTGTAGTTACTAAGCCCCTGTAGTCTCTAGGCCTATATGGGCCTTTTTCCTATAAGGTCTTTCTGACTCTGCGGGTTGATTCCCCTTAAGGTCTATAATACTTACTAGTAAGCGCTAGCTAACGGTTTATCTTTATTTATTATTTACTAATTATTTTTTATTTATATTTCGCTTATTATCCCTTACTTAGCGCCTAGCGCCTACTAGCGAGCTATATATATAGCCGCCGCCTCTCGTTCTCTTCCTTTCCTCTTCGTACTACGTCTTATAGTTAATCCTATATAATCTAATTTAAATCCGCCTTATTGCCGTAACACTATGCCTCTAGGCTAGCTATTAGAGCTACTAAGCCTCTTAGGATAGTTATCCTACTACTACTACTACTAGATCTACCGTCTCTATTCGCTATACTTACTACTATTTAGGGTATATAAAGGCTGCGCCTCTATACTAGGTAACCTAAATACTTAAGCGGGCAGGCGGTAGAAGGAGGTAGTAATAATAGCTAGAGGGGGTCGTAAAATTATCCTTTAACTTCTAAGTATCTAATAAGCGTCCGATCCTAGTACCAGGGCATACCCTAAGTAACGTCCTATACCTATATCCGAAGCTTACTAATAAGCGAAGCCGGCTAATTAAACCCGAATCGTCTATCTTAGAAGATCTACGCGATAAGCTCTTACTTAGGCTCTAATTAGTCGACTTCGCTGAACGGCGAACTTCGAATATAGGTATAGGACGTTATTTAGTATACACCTCTAACTACGGTAAATAATGCTTGTATTTTAGCCATTAGATTAAGAAAAACCGTATAATTAGGAAATTCTCCTGTTAATCCGATACTTCGTCATTCTTCCAGCCCTCTATGAAGGAGCTAGTATTGGGTAAGCGAACAGCGAAAATGGATCGTACGTGCTATACCACTATAAAATGAGATAATCTCTAGGAAGAGTAATAAAGGGAGTAAGACAAGTGTGATGCGAGACTCTCTACAAGTTTACGTTTCAAAATAATTATCGTGTTGTGGTTTATTGTTCTCTTTCTACTTCATAGGGTTGGCTTTGCTGTTCGGATACCCAATACTAGCTCCTTCGTAGAACCTCATAGCACTTCGGTCCGGCAATTTACACAACCTGCTTCAAAGTGACCAAGTCTAAGAGCCTAGAACAAGGGTGTGGTCCAAAGCAGCCTTTACCAACGCCTCAAGGTCGGCATCAGACTTGAACCCAGTGCCAATCAAGTCGTTATCAACACGCTGAAATTCGCCACCGTAGCCGTCACCAAAAACAGCGCGCATAAGGAATCCCATCGAAGAGTGCATGGTAATGACGCCCTTTGCGTAATTCTCTCGCGACTGAGTCTCCAGGTCCGTTGTGCTTACAACGATCGGGTTCCACTTCCTTTCGGGCGCTAGCTGCCGGGCGATGGAAAGGACCTTGTTCTGCGTGAGGACGAGGTCGTGGACGTACACGGCGCGGTTACGCGTTTCGTCGGCGTGGCGCAGGACTCCGACGACGGCTTGGCCGACGCTGGCCAAGTTTGAGGCACTGAAGGGACGGTCGCCCCCGTCGAACAGAGGAGGAGTCTCGGAGTCAAAGGCGAGGATGAAGTTGTGCGCCATGCTCCAATCGAGGAGCACACCGTTGCGGATGGTGGTATACGTGAATTCTGGGTGTGCCTGCGTCTGCGCTTCCAGGGCCCTGTGCACTGCGATGTTGGGCTGGTAGACGGGCAGGGTTGCGGCCTTGGGGTTGCCAATGTCGCCGCCAAAGTCGGAAGGAATGAACCGCTTGACGCCGGCAGCAATGGAGGCCTCGATCAGAGGGATTTGCGTGTCAATGGCGCCCGTTGGCAAGACGGAGACGACAGCATCCTGGCCTTTCAGAGCATTCGTGAGGTCGGGCAGGGAAGCGTAGTCAACATGGACGACATTGACGGCGTCAGGGAAGGTCGCGGTAGACGACTTCCGTGACAGGACCGTCACGTTGAAGGCCTTGGAGTTGATCAATGCCTGGAGAAGGGGCTTCCCCAGAGTCCCCGAGCCCTGAGAATGTCAGCGGATGCGAGAGTTGAGGAGGAAAAAGGGCCGACAGACTCCCACAACGGCAATGTTTCGAATTGTAGTCATGATTTGCGGGCGGTTGATTGTAGAATACGGCGTACGAGCGCCTCTTCCTTATATGCTGCTCTCACTCAATGTTGTCACGTCATGACGCAATTAGGGGCTGCCACGCCGGGCGCAGATGCGGGCTGCGGGATGGGCTGAGAATAATCAGGCACCCGCAGCTGAGGGATGTGAAGGATGTGAGGGATGTGAGGTGGGGGTACAGACGCTAGTGCGGACGCAGGTGCCAGGGAGCGGACGCAGGTGCGGATGCGCGTGCGGATGCGCGTGCGGGGGCGGGTGCGGAGGCGGGTGCGGGGGCCAAACCCAATCGGGATAGTGGGGTTTGCACAGCCACCGTAAGCGAACAATCTTAACCTCACGTAAGCAAACAACCACGACCTCAGTCTTACTCTCTGACTCTCCTCCTTTGCCTCCACCTCCCGCACCAACCTCCGCACCTACGTCCGCACCTGCATCCGCACCTGCATCCGCTCCCAAGCGATGCCTTCAGGAATCGTGCAAGCCTGCTCGAGATGCAGGGCCCAGAAGCGGAAGTGCGATCGGCGTTTGCCGGCATGCTCACTATGCGAAAGGTAATTCGTCGGCGCTTCGTTCCGAAACAAGGCCGAGTTGACGATTGGCCTAGGCTCAAGCGAACTTGTTCGTACCCAGCGGCCGACGGAGAGCCTCAGGAACAGCAGGCTGTAGCGGTCCCCGTGCCGGAACTGCAGGAGCTGTCGGTCCCGAACATCAGGGACACGCTGCACAAGCAGATAGCGGCCATTGTGGGCGACGGACAGCAGTGTCAAGGTTGGGCTGCCGTGTACTTCACCACCATCCATCCATGGTTCCCGGTGATATGCCAAACGTCCTATTCCAATCGGCTACTGCCTTCGCGAATCACCGCAGAGACAGCCGACTTTTGTTTTCTCACCCTGACCATGTACCTCGTATGTGCCAAGCCGATCAACGGAGAGCTCACGTCCCAGACTCGGTCGCTGTACCTACTGCTAAAGGGCCTCGTTAGCACACTAGAGGCTATTGGCATTAACACGGTTGAGATGTTGCAGGGCCGATTGCTAGTGACCATCTTCGAGGTGGGCCATGGGCTGTACCCTGCAGCCTACATCTCCTCGGGCGCCAATGTCCGGGCAGCTATTGACATGGGTGTGAACGAAGCTTCGCGCGGGAAGTTGCTAAATATTTTCGGGTCTCAGGAGCGAGCCGAGGACGCGCAAAGGACTTGGAGGGGAATAATCGTCGCTGATAGGTTCGTCAACAGCTTTGTTCATTCGACGTTGCTAAATCGGAACTAAACCAATGCTGTTGCAGATATGCTACACTCGAAAGAGCAAAAGGACCAGGCCATATTATGGAACCGCTCTCGGAGAGAACTAAAAGCAATGTTAGTTACTTCGCGCCGCTGCTCATCATGCTATGTTGATGCAAAAAACCAGGGAGCAAAGGCCCATTCTGTGCATCCGCAAACCGACATTCTCACCGAAATGACTCTCGCGTCGCAATTGCTCGCACAGGCACTAGACCACAAGCATGGAACGACATCAAATCACGCGCTCAAGGCCGCAGAGGCTCTGCAAATACTAAAAGCCGGGACGACATTCTTGGCAGAATGCAGCATAAGGGCACCCATGCAGAACGCTGTTTTTGCCAGCGTCGTCGCTGTGTGCCGAAGGTATGTAACTCTGGAATAGTATCCTTCGTGTCACATTCCAATCAACAAAATAGCGCCGTTCTGGAGATCGCGGAGTACGAATCTCAGCCCGAGTACCGCAGCATAGCTGCACAAGATACGTTACACGCCATGATCAATGACATTGCGCAAGCAGCCGCGTCTGCAGTCTATAATCGCTCGCTTGTAAGAGTTGACATCCTCCCTGTCTTCATCCCGCATTGTCTGTACAAAGCGGCGATGGTGTGCCTCCAAATGTCAAGGCAAACCGGGCAAGGGGATGCCGGATCAACCATACGGCCCTTGGTAGACTTGCTGAAATTAATCAGCACAAGGTGGATAGCGGCAGGTATGTCCAATGCTTTGGATTGATTGCTTCTAACCTAAGCGCTAATGAGAAAAGGAAACTACGTCAACGAGATAGAAAGACTTCAATGTACAAACTAACGAGAAACGCTGACCGGACAAAGGAGAATATGTCAAAGATAAAGGTTCCAGTAGAAGCCAGCGCCCATCGCCAAAATCGCCTACCCACTTAATGACCAAAGAACCTACGTTAACGAAATAAAGTCTTCAAAATGGAAACAATGGAAGCAAACGCCCGCCAAACCCAGCCTAGTGTCCAACTCCTACTTCAAAAAGCCCATCTCCTTCCACGACCTCACATAACCCCTGACAGCCTCAGCACTCACAGGCCCCAGAGCATCCATAGTCTTCGAATGCTCCTTTACCCTCGTGGTATCCAAAATCTGCCCACCGCACGACATGCGCTCGAACTCGCGGTCCAAGAAGTCAAAGATCTGGGCCGCCGGGTTCTCCGTCGCAGGCAGAGGCGAGCGCGACACGAGCCTCAGCCACTGCCGGAAGGGCACAACGCCCTCGGCGCCAATGGCATCGGCCAGCACGTGCGAGACGTCCTCCCAGCGCTGCCCGACCGGGTTGTCGATGTGGTAGACGGCGCTGGGCGGGGGAGCGGTTGCCTCGGCGCCGATGAACAGCAGCTCGGCCATGCCAGCCGCGGCAGCATCCACGGGGACCCACTGCATGCGACCGGAGAAAGCGGGGAACGCGCGCACGGCCTGCGACGACTTGACCAGGAACGGGAAGTGCTCGACCGGGTTCCAGTAGCCGCTGCTGGTCGAGCCGGCGATCTGGCCGGGGCGCACCACCATGGGCCGGAAGATGCTGGGGTACTGGTGGAGCGTGGCGTCGAGCATGCGCTCGCACACCCACTTCCCTTCGCAGTAGCCTGTGGGCAGGGTAGCGGCCAAGGGGAGGCGCTCTTCGGGGACGCGGGGCACGCCAGCCTTGCCCGTGACACCGATGGAAGTCACGAGCTGGAAGCCCACTCTGCGCTGGGTGTTGGCCAAGGCCATCTCGCGCGCGAGGTCGAGGAGGCTGCGCATGGTCTGGAACTGCGGCACAAAGGCCGCGATGGGCCGGGTGGCGCTCATGGGCCAGGCGTTGTGCACGACGTGGGTGCCGTTCTGCACCAGCCAGTCGTACTCGGCCGCAGCGAGCCCAAGCTGCGGGCGCGACATGTCTGTCTCGAGGACGCGCAGCTTGGCCTGGGCGTCGGGCGAAAGCGAGATGCCGCGCCTCGAGAGGGCGTCCAGCTGGCGCTTCTCGGCCGGCACGCTGTTGTGCCGGTTCACGCAGACGACTGCCTTGACACTGGCGTTTTCGGCGAAGGCGGCCACGAGATGTGAGCCGAGGCTGCCACTGGCACCGGTAACTATGACAACGGCGTCATCCCGATTGACGGGCGCGGGCCTTTCCGCCGTCTCCTCGAGCTGCTTGGAGGCCCATCCAGCCGTGTGCTCGGCCACGTACCTCTCCGCGTCGGCCAAGCGCGTCGCAAGGTCGCGTGGCTTGGACCCCAGAGGCTGCTGCTCTGGGCGCGACATGGGAATGGGCAGGCGCTCGTGCGGCGGGCCACTGGCGAGCGCGACAATTACGCGCTCGATGTGGTTCTCAGGGAGGTGGCCGTCGGTCCAGTCGACGTGGCCGAAGCCCGCCTTGTGCAGGTCGCGCTCCCAGTGCTCGGCGGAGACGGTAGCGTGGGAGCGGCCATCGTTGAACATCCACCAGCCCTCGAGCAGGCCGAAGATGGGGTTGGAGAAGGGCATGCACTCGGTCTGCTCGAGGAGCATGAGGAAGCCGTCGGGACGCAGGGCTTTGTGTATGTTGGTGGTAGATTCGACGAGGTTGTGCGTCGCGTGGACGGCGTTGCTGGCGAGGATGACGTGCTGGCCTCGCAACTCCTCGGCCGGCGCCTTTTCAATGTCGTGGACCGCAAACTTCATGAACGGATACTGCTTGCTGTACTTGCGGCGCGCGGCGGCAACCATGGACGAGGAGAGGTCGGTGAAGGTGTACTCGAGGCTGACGCCGAGCGATGCCAGGAAGGGGACCAGCACGTCGGTTGTGCCTCCGGTGCCGGCGCCCATCTCAAGGATCTTGAGCGTCTTTCCCGCTTCAACGCGCTCTGCCACGCGCCCGAGGAACTCACGCATCTGGCCGGCCAACATGACGTTGAGCGGGTGGTCCCGGTACAGTGCTGCAACGAGATCGCGAGCCTCGGCAGTGCCAAAGAGGACGCGAATACCGTCCGTCGCCCCCGAAAGAACGTCTGCCAGCGGCTTTCCGGCGAGGTAGGTCAGCTTGGAAGCCATATCCCAGCTCGGGTATGCCTCGAGGAGCTCTTCGAGAATCTTCTCGCTGGAACTCGACGGCACCGGGATGGCGGTCCTCGTCAGCTGTCCAGTAGCAGCGTCCATGTCCAGCAACCGCGCATCGTTGACAAGGAAGCCATATGTCCACTTCATCAGGCTCTCGTACTCAGGAAGATACGGCACGCGCTTAATCTTGTCGCCTGTCGCAGCGGCGCCAAGGGAGCAGCCGAGTTTCTCAAACGCCTCGACGATGAGAGCGACGCACAGCCGGCTCGTGGCGGCAATAACGACGCGGTCAACATTGTCTAAATGGTGGTCGCAGAACCCCTTGTCGGTTTTCAGCTTTACTTCTCCGAAGCTCTCGAGAACATCGGCAGCGGTCAGCGCGGCAACGACGTCTGAGTCTGACCCGGCCGCAGGCTTTCCAATCTCTGCCACAACGCTGTCTCTGCTAGGGGGAGTTACATTGGACCAGCTGTCGTTGTCCTCGTCGTCGTCGGATTCGTCAGAAGACGGGTGATTCGTTGTTGTGGTGGTGGCGGTCGCAAACTCAGCGCCGCCGACCATCTCGGAAACGAAATCGATAAGTTGGCGGACGCTGGTGGCCTGGAGCAACCTCCCTTGATCCACGGCGCTCTTGAAGATGAGGTCGATTTCGCGACACAGCTCCATGCCCATGAGTGAGTCGATGCCAATATCAGCCAATTGCGTGTCCAGCGTGACCTCATCAGCTGGCATGCCCGAGACTGTAGCCACGATCTTACGGACCTCTTCCTCGCCCGAGAATGCCTGGCCGGGCTTTGGTGCAGTAGTAGTAACCACCTCTTCGACTTCTTCTTCTTCTCCCTCTTCTTCCTCTTCTTCTTGCTCAGGGACGTCAGACGCAGGTGTCGGCACGTACTTAAGAATGAACTCGACAAGCTGGCGAACGCTAGTGGCTTGAAGCAGTTGCCCTTGATCAACCGTGCACTTGAAGACGAGGTCGATCTCGCGACACATCTCCATGCCCATCAGCGAATCGATGCCGATATCAGCCAGTTGTGAGTCTAGTGTGATATCACCAAGTTCCATGCCAGACACGTTCGCCACCAGCTTGCGAACCTCTTCGGTGATTTCCGGGCGCTTCGGAGTGGAAGCGTTCGCCTTCTTGGTCTTTTTCTTCTGCGTCTTCTTCGATTTGCTGACGGGCGCGGTGGCAGGCACCGTAGAAGGCAGAGCGGCAGCTTTGGCACCCGAAGTACGCTGGGGCTGGTTGGCCACTGCAGCAGCCTTCTTCACCATCACCGACGGGTCCTTGGTGAGGTTCGAGAGCATCCTGCTCATTGAAGCCATCGGCACCTTGGAGTACTGGATGCCGAGGACGACCTGGGCAAGTTGGCCAGTGGAGGCATCGAAGACGAAAACGTCACTCACGAAGGACGTGTCGGACTTCTTCGTGCTGCGGCCATAGACATGCCAGTGTTCTTGCGTGCTTCCAGGCTGCACAAGGCGACGGGGCGAGCGCATCGACAGCTCGCATCCCGAAGAGACGTACATTTCGCCGTCGCCGGCGTCGGTCATGAGGTTGACCCAGATACCCGAAACTTGGCTGAAGCAGTCGTCCAACAGGACATCGACCCATGTTTCGCCAGAGTGGCGACGGTGGACACGGCCTGCGCACTCGTCACCACGGCCTATCACGGTGCGCACGCCGCGATAGATGTCCGAGTAGTCGACCATCTCGGCGAATGCGCGGTAGATGTTACGGCCCTGCAACACGTCGATGTCGTCGCTTTCTCCGTCGCGGCCGGCTGCAGCGAGAAGAGCCGCGCAAGGAGCGAAGTTGACAAGACGCTCAAAGCGCGCAAACTCGGCTATGAACGCCTCGTCTTCCGGAGAGCGGATGTGGAGACGCCCCTGGGTGTGTTGCTGTGTCTGTGAGCCGTTGTGCAGAGTGCTGGAGATTTTCCATTCCCACTGAGACTCGGCTGCGTCAAGGGGCTTGTAGTCCAGCCACCAGACACGTGACTGGTCCGCGCAGAGTGGAGAGTGGTTGACCAAGTCGTGAAGCACAGGCACCAGGCCGGCGGCTTTCCACTCGGGGTGGAGGCTGAAGAGAGACTCGATGGCCATGTCGAACTGAAGTGTGCTGGGACTGATGGGCGCCGTCTGGGCGATGATGTGGCCCGCGAGTAGCTCCCTGTACTTGGGGGAGTCGGAATTGATGCTGAAGCGAGGAGTCTTGTCCCGGCCTTGGTAGCCAACGAACTTGCAGAGAGCATCGTCCTTCTGCTCGTCCGCTTGGACTGTTGGCTGTGTTTTGCCCGCAAGCTCTGCGGCTGCCTTTGCCACAGCGTCGGCCATGGACTTGCGCTCCAGCCAGTGGCGCGTCTTCTCGAATTGGTACGGTGGCAGAAGCAGAGGCGCGTACCCATTTGTCTGCTGAGCGTGGTGCGCCCAGAACGATACGCGCAAGCCTTGCTTCCACAAGGCGGTAGTTGCGTCCGTCAGTCCATCCAGGCCTCCTCCGTTGGTGATGTTAACCGCCTGGAAATGGTGTGCGGTGCCAGAGGCTGCCTGGCCCATCAGCGCACGGTTTGCCATGACAGTTATGGTCGAGTTGGAGCCGGCTTCCAAGAAAATGGCCGACGGGTAGTCTTTGGCCAAGCGTTGAATCGCGTGGTTGAAGAAGACGGGCTGCCTCATGTGGTCGGCGACAAACTCCGGCGTCGGGGTACCAGAAACCCTCGTCTCGGTGGCACGCTCCAATGGAATCGAAGGCTCCTGGAATGCCAGCTCCTTGCCGACCTGCTCCAGAGAGTCCACGAGTGGATCGACGAGCGACGAGTGGAAGGCGTTAGTGACGTTGAGCCTCTTATTCTTGATGGCCGAGAACCGGTCATTCTTAGCCAATGTCTCGGCGACAGCGTCAATGCACTTGACGGAACCGGCGAGCGTGAAGCTCCTCGGGCCGTTGTAGCAGGCAATGGCAGCCGGGGTGTGGCTGGCGCCGTCGTTCTGGCCGTGAAGATGGCTGCCAGACTCGGCCAGAAGCTCCTGGACAAGAGATTCGTCTGCCTCGACGGCCATCATGGCACCCTTGTCCGAGCCCCAAGAGTCGCGTATCAGTTGAGCTCGGCGACCAACCATCTTGATGGCATCTTCGAGGCTCACGGCGCCCGAGATGCAGAGTGCCGTGAGCTCACCGAAGCTGTGGCCTACAACGGCAGCAACCTTGCCCGATAGCCCGCAATCGATCCAAGACTTGGCGCTAGCATACTGGATAGAAAACAGCATGGTCTGCAACCGCACCGGGTCGGTGAAGGGCGTGCGGGAGAAGATGTCTGGGTACATGCTACCCAAGCCCAGCTGGGACTGAATGATGGCATCGCACTTGTCCAAGTGGTTCCTCAGGACGGCGACGCTCTCGTACAGCTTGCGGTCCAAACCGACAAACGTCGAGACCTGGCCACCGAAGCAGAGGATGACAGGACGCTCGGGCTTGGAGCTCTCAATGCCGAGCTCCGAAGACTTGGTGGTTTTGGCAGAAGCAACACTGGAGATCTTCTCCTTCAGCTCCGAGACTGATCGACAGCTGAAGACAAGGCTTTGACTAAGATCTGGGTTGGAGTGTCTGTCAATGCCGAAAGAGAGATCGGCCAGTGTGTAGGACTGGGACTTTGACTCCAGGAACGAGACCAACTTGGCGGCATACGCCTTGATGCTACGCAAGTCGAGGCCAGATAAAAAGAAGGGCAAACGCGATTCCTGCTGCTCATTGTTGCCAGAGGTAAGACTGGCTGGCGGCTCGGTCACTAGCATAGCCGCGTTCGACCCTCCGGCACCGTAATTGTTGATAAGGACCACCTTTTGCCTGTCTTCATTCCATGGACGAAGCTTGGTAACAATCTCAAGCATATCCGAAGGCAACGCCTTGATAGCCGGGTTTATCTTGGTAAAGCTGGCCTGGGGCGGGATGTACTTCTCGCGCATCATGGCAATAACCTTGATCAGCGAGGCGACACCCGATGCACCCTCGGTGTGACCAATATGACCCTTGAGCGAGCCCAGAGGAATAGGCTTTGATCGGACCTCGGAACCACGGAGCGCCCGTCGGATGGCGTCGTACTCGGCAGGGTCACCGACGGGCGTTCCCGTGCCATGGGCTTCGACAAGGGAGACGTCGGCGGGGCTGACCTTTGCCTTTTTGAGGACATCTTTGAAGAGCGACGAGAGTGAAGGCGAGTTGGGCACAAACATCGGGGTGCTGTTCTGGTTTTGGTAGACAGCCGAGCTGTTGATGCAGCCGAAGATGGGGTTCCCGTCGGCAACGGCATCCGACATCCTCTTGAGGAAGACGCAGGAGATGCCTTCGGCACGGCAGAAACCGTCGGCCTTTTCGTCGAACGGCTTGCACTGGCCGGTGGGGCTGAGGAAATTGGCAGCGGCCAGGTTCTGGTACCAAGTGGGGTTGGTGAACAAGGCAACGCCGCCAGCGAGGGCAGCATTGCACTCGCCAGTCAACAGGCTTTGGCAAGCCATGTGGATTGCCACGGCCGACGACGAGCATGCCGTGTCGAGGGTAATGGCCGGGCCAGTCCACCCAAAGTGGTGAGCGACGCGGCCAGTGAGGACAGTCTGCAGGTTGCCCGTCGACGTGAAGGCGTTGGCACTGTGGGTGCCCACGTTGTGCTCGTAGTCGACCGACGGGGCGCCAATGTACACGGCAACATGCTTCCGGTCTCTCCCATCGTCCGGGGCATTCCGCAGGTCTTCGGTGAAGTAACCAGCCTGCTCAAGGGCCTGGTATGTGGCCTGGAGCATCAAGCGCTGCTGCGGGTCCATGGAAGCCGACTCACGCGGGCTGCGCTTGAAGAACTTGTGGTCGAAGGCGTCGACGTCGCGCATGGGATTGACAAACCACCGGCGCGATGGATCGTCGTCGCCCTCGCGGAAAAGCGTCTCGAAGCGCATGCGCTCCCGCGAGACTTCTACGTGCTGAGACTCGCCAGTCTTGACCATATCGGAGAACTCGTCGACGTCGTCTGCGCCGGCGACCTTGATGGCCATGCCAACGACGGCAATGGCATCCCTCTGTTGTTGTTGTTGTTGTTGTTGTTTCACGACAGGCACGTCGAAACCACCGTCAGCAAAGTGCACGACTCTGTTGTCCAGCGAGCGCGTCAGAGTCTGGGGCACGCAGCGGTCGGGGCCAAACGCCACGACGTGGCCGTCTGTGCCATCGAGACGGGCGGCCTTGACGCTTGCGAAAGTATTGAACCAGTCGCAGCGGTGCTCGAAGACGGTCCGATAGGCAATCTCGTGCATGGAGCCAGCTGTGGAGGCGACGGGCTGGCCATGGCCGACATTGGTGTAGGTGGGCAAGGCGAGGCTGGCGGCATCGGGGAACTGGAGGTCGGGGTTGTCGTTGCAAAAGGCAATCAGGGCGTCAACTTCGGCCTTTGTCTGAGAGGCGGGGTTGTGGATGTCGCCGCGGAAACCCACCTCGGCCGTGGTGATTCCAGCTGCACGAAGCTGACGCAGTAAACGAGCCGCCGCCCGCTCCGATGTTGTGATGGTCGCGCGTGCCTCGTCGTAGAGCACCGACATGTACGCCTCCGGTGCGAGGCCCTTGACGATGCCTTCTGCCGACTCCTTTTGCTTCGAGTTCGTCCACGCCAAAGCGAACGACTTGGTCGCACTCCACTCGTCCTGCGCATCGATCAGGGCACCTCCCACGCATGCCAGCCGCACTGCCACGGCCCCGTACCGCTCGACTTCGGCGTCGTTGTTGGCGCTTGCAACGGCAAAGGCTCCCAACAAGCCCATGCAGAAGCCCAACGTCGAGGCCTTCCCCTGCGCCACCACGCTTGCGTGCCTTGCTTGGCTCAGCGCGAGATACCGCCGGTACTGCGCAATCTGTGCGAGGACGACTACAGGGGCGAGCACCACGCTGGGCACCCTCGAGCGGCCCAGCACCCAGCCGTCTTGCTCGCCGTTTCTTAACCACGACTCCAGCTGCACCAGGAGCTGTCTGCCGTCGGGGCCAATCGCATCTGTAACCTTGGGCAGTGCTTTGGCCAGAGCGTCCAGCCAGCTGGGAAGCCCGGCCAGCGTCTCGAGAATCCATTGCCGGGACACGTCGTCCAGCAGTGACTTCCTGATTTCGTCGAGTGCCTCCTTGGACAAGGATTCCACTTGCGACCCGAACAGTAGGACGGCCGCGTCCCTGTCGCCGTTGAAGGGGCTCATGATTGCTTGGGACCTTGTCAGTGATGGCTCATGGGAAGACCTTTTTGGTGTCCTACCGGTTTGTGTGTGTGTGCTTTGATGTTTTGCGTGTTGAAACGGGAGAATGGCAAATGAGATTCTATCGAGTTCACCACGGAAGTCGAGGGTGGATATATGATATATGAACGGTGCTCCGAGTCTAAAGACAGAGGCTTGTTGTGTCGGACTAACGCTTCTTAGGGGACGTACGGCGATAGCCTTTATCTCTATCCCATATAGACATGCCTTAACCGCGTCGTCCCAGGTTGCAACTGCCTGTTATCGTACCACCAGCACTCAGCTACTGGCTGCAGGAAGTTTAATCCTCCAAGGCCAACCATCTCCGAAAAGATAGTCCGGATTCCCTTCGAAGGAGTCTCTCCCTCACGTAAACCTGCGGTTTGGGCGAGAGGCTGTATGCAGGGATGCAAAGAAACAAAACTCCGCAGGATCCAGCCACACAGCCCCCCTCACGTAGCTTCACGTGGGGAGTATCCACGTGGCGAGTAATCGCCAAAGGCGCGGTACAAGAGAAGGGGGCCTTGACGCAGAAAGTCCGTGTACCCGACGTTGAACTAGACGTTCTGGCCTAGAAGCGCCAAAGCTTCTAGAAAGTGTAACGGGTGGCGTGTAGCCGTACTCAGCACTGCATATCACGTCACCTCCAGCCGCATCCGTCGCCGACACGGCGGTCCACTCGTACCGCCGACGTCGCCTTTATCGTCTTATGTCATCCGGTTGGCTGAGCTACGCGCAAGCCCTTCCCGCTTCCTTGGGTACTTGCATGCTGCGCCACTCATGCCGCAAAATAGCTCCGACTAACTACCGAGCAGTTTTAGAATAGCGTACGTCTTCTCTGCATACGCAGCCTTTCCCAATGTAGCAGTTGCTCCATGTGATAAGGACTAGGGCTGCCGGAAAGTGGGTCTGCTTACTCTGCTTTAGTGTCTCAGCCAGGGGGGCTGCATGCCGTTGCTGGAGCCTAAAACCTAATCACAGGCAGCAAAACGGTCAACTTTGTGCTACCTGGTGGAAGACCGCTACTTCTCTTGCCCTGGGAGCTGTGTTGGCTTCGCCAGCTCATACTGCGCTGCGTCGACGTTGCGGCATGAGTGCAGCGAGGCTGCTCAACGTCCACGCATTGCCCATATGTTGGCGACATGCCTGTGGTGATCAGTTTGCATGTGATCAGGTAAGCGAGCGATGCTAATATATATCACATTCGGACGATTTGTAAGGTACGCATGATGCGTAATCGAAATGGCATAAGGACCGAGCAAGTCCGTGGACTACAGGCGGCGCGAGACGTCGTAAGTGATGCGGTTGTGGGATATATAGGCTGGGACACCAAGTGGTTAAGATTATTGTTTATCTTATAATCAGAATTCTTGAACATTCCCCCAAAGTTGTTGAATTCAAATTCGTTCATCATACAAGATAACATTTTATTTATGATCGTCTGTTTCAAGCAACAATCCGAGATTGTATAACGCCTCGGCCTACAAATACTTGAAACCTAAGGACACGCCCGCCGGATAGACACCATCGCTATATAGGAGTATCTAAAATGAAAGCAACGACAACTTGACAAGGTAGTTCCACGATTCATTGAAATACATTCATAGGTTAGAGGACATTGCCCACCGACCAGCTTCGAGGGCGCGCAACTGATCCCTTGCGAGAAGATTTACATCTCTTAAGCATTGCAAAGCGACCAGGAGCTGGTCCAACTCCTGGCTGGTATCCGAAACTGTGCTCTTGACCCTCAGCATAAGAAATGTGGCAGCGCTTGAGAGAACATTTGGGAAAAACGGATGGATTTTGAAGCAATCCATGCGCGGCACAGCTTTCGCCAGCTCGGCTATGTAGCTGGCCGAGTGATACGCCTGCTGCTCCGAGTCGAGCGTCAGAAGCTGATTGAACGGCGCTGCGTGCGTGGTGTGGTAAAGATGGATAATTGCGCTGTGGACCAGCACGTGGGCAAAGGCCAGCAAAGGATTGCGTTCGACGACCGAAAGGCCCATCGGCGAGGTCTGAGCGAGTCTTAGACTCCTCTTCTCAAGTATGGCGGCAAGCCATTCAATCCGCGTCCGGATGCTGTCGGGGTTGCTCCCAGAGACGACTGCGGCATGAGCCAGTCCCCGATGGTTCATGCATCGGCCATAGAGCGCGGCGAGGACGACGCACTCGGCAAGAGGTGAGAGGGTGCTGTGGCCGCTGTTGACCACGGCCTCGGGTAGAAAGCCTGTCTGGATGGGCTGGTTGTTTTGGAAGTTTGTCTCGGGGGCAGGGAGACGGGTGCAGATCTGGAAGAGAAGTGAAATTAATATTAGGTGCTGGGACACGACGACGACCTTGACTGCACTTACCAGTTCCTCGTGCAGTGTGAAGGGCCACTCGTTGGCCATGTTCAGAAACCGATCAAAGGCAAAAGCCACCCAAAACGACCGCCTCTTCTCTTCTGTTCTGGCAAAGCTCTCATCCGCCATCGCGAACGAGGCAGAAGAGACATCGCCTACACCATCGACATCGTATAGCCGGGACATTTGGATCAGCCGGAAAGCCCGACCAGCCGTGAGCATGGCCTGGCGCTCCGACACCTGCAAATGCTCGTAGTGGGCTACGAGGAGGCTCGTCTGGATGTGTTCGAGCTGCACCGTCGCCGGCTCGAGAGCGTCTAGCACGTTGAGCATTTGCCGCGTCTGAGCGTACAGAGCCTTGCTCAGGCTGCGATGCGAAGAAGACATGGTTGCCGCCATGGTCTGCATGGCGGATCGGAGAGACTCTCTCCCTAGGTCCAGGTTCTCTTGGCCAGCCCAGGAGAAGTATCGCCGCTCATGGATCATTGGCAGAATGGCATGCACGCGGTCGAAGTATAGTTGATCTCTATTCCCATGTGTCAGTGTATTGTTCTTTGAGCCGGGCTATTGACACAGCGTAGACGTACAAGTTCGCTCTCACGCGGTCTGACATGTCCAACTCTCCAGTGTATGGATTGCCTAGTGCGCCGGTGCTGGATATCGGCGTCGCGTTCGGCGTGTATGGTTTGCTTACTGTGGTGGTGCCCGACGACAGTGACGGTAGTGTCATCGGGCACTCGTTGGATGAGTAACTGTTTGAGTAGAGATCTGAGCAAATGGAAATTGGAGTAAGTGGGAGTGGTTCGATGGATGTGGAAAAACCACTTGTTGGTGATGCCATTCCGACTATGCCATGATCCATGTCGTAGAACGAAGCCTGTCCTGGCGACTCGGTCCCTGCAGTAGTAGAAGCAGTAGAACCACCGGTTTGGGATTCTGCATCTGGATCGATCAGTCCGGACTGGCCGTAGAGCTGCCATTCCAGTGATGCTCCAAATGTCGCATTAGTCCGGCTCTGAATGGGGAAAACAGCATACTATGACGTACCGACACGGTTGCGTAAAGCCTTCATCCGGCCCTTCTTAGGGCCCCTGGGTGGCCGTTTATCAACTACGACGCATGGTGTCCCGGACTCGGTACATGTACTGCACTGTGGTCGTGCGCGATCGCAACGGGCCTTCCGCCGGCGGCACTCTTCACACGCAAGCCCTGGCTGCTGCCTCATCCCCGTAGTCATTGTTCTGATGCTTGGATGTTAATTGCAGATCGGCACTGGGGGACGCTGTGCTACCGCAGGTTTTGGTGGAGTTGAACGCACTTATACTTGGCCATGCTAAGCCTATGATGCTGATAAATTGTTAGGCCAAGTACCAAGCTATCATAATCTGTAACGTCTGTCCACCGTGGTACTCACCCCACGCGATCCTACTTGACCGTGGCAATCCGTCGACCCGCCTCGTCAGAGGTCGATACGTTGCGCGGGTTCGGGTTCGTGTTCCGCATCCCACCTAAACCAGGGGGTGGACGGCTAGCCCAACATTAAATACACATGGGTAAGGCACTGTCTATCACGCTATCTGCCTGGCTCTCAGCTTTGCGCTACGTCCCGTGGGGAGGGTGGTCCGTGGATGTTTGTATCTTTCTTTTTGTTGTATTCATATGTTCTTTGCATGTTCCTTCTCAAACTTTAAAATCTGTGCATATCCGCCTCTGCCCATTAGCGGTGAGACACGGTGCTGCGCGTCTTGTGTAATTGATGGCGTTGCTTTTCGTGCACGGCGACCCCAGAAGGTCGAGAGCCAAGCGAAAAAGGCCAATGCGGGTAAGCTGACCGAATAGAGGAAGTCGGCTTGATCCGCGTCAGCACTACCCAGGCAAAATGTATAGCTATCACGTCAGTTTCAGTTCAGAGTTGGACCCCACGCGGTTGCGCACTCTCCTGCAGCCACTGCACAAGCTAGGCCCTATTCGGCTAATTTTCCTTGCGATGTGCTCCCCCGCTCCAGCCTCCACGCGGAAGCCCTCTCGGACCCCACCAAAACTACCTATTTATGGAGTGCGGAACAGCCTAATGTAGAAAGCGGTCCGGCAGGCCGCTTAACCGTGTGGCTCGCTTCAGGTCCCAGCCAAGAGCCTCCGCGTCAGGGGAACCGCTCCGCCTCACAACACAACCACCACCATTGAGACTCTTGGCAGGTTGGTTTTTAGAACAGCTTAATCTGCGGCACCGTTGGAGCGCAATCAACCCTCGACAGTAGCACATAGCCTAGCCCAATGGGTTTGGCGGATCAGGTCATTCCGTACTCCCTACTCTGCCTGCTTGCATTTAAATTTTCAACCACTGCGCTGTCGTGGTTGTCAGTGCCTCTTTTGCTCGTGGAAATAGTCCATTATTAATACTCCGTCAACGACAACATCCCACTCGTCCGATCGCCACTGTCAGCTTACCATGACACTCATCTTGGCTCTCTGCATTGCTTCCGCTTTCGGGTTAGCAACGCAGGCAGATCAGTTCGACCCCGATAGCTATGCTGCCGAAGACATCATCACCCGCGAAGTCGCAGTCATTGGCGGAGGCAACAGCGGCACCTATGGCGCTATTAGGCTTACGGATCTCAACCAGAGCGTCGTCGTCGTCGAAAAACAAGAGCTGTTAGGCGGCCATATCGACACCTACACGGATCCTGGCACTGGCACCAAGATCGACATTGGCGTGCAGACGTGGTTCAACTACTCCGTCGTACGCGACTTTTTCGAACGCTTCGATGTTCCCGTCTCACTGTACACATTTGCGGCCGAGGGTGCCGTTTACGCCGACTTCAAGACCGGCGAGACCTTCCAAAACTACACGCCCAGCAGCGACTTTACGGGATATGTCGCTCAGCTTGCCAAGTACCCTTACCTCATTGACGGTTTCAATCTCCCGGAAATTGTGCCCGAGGACCTTTTGCTTCCGTTTGGGGAATTTTTGACCAAGTATTCCCTCGGAGACATTGCCTGGACCATATGGTCCAACTCCTGGGGTTCGGGAGATATCCTCAAGCAACCGACTATATACATGCTCAAGGAAATTGACGAACCTTTCATCACTGCTTTCACCGCAGGCAGTATCAGCAGTGCTCGTCGTGACAACCAAGAGATATTCGACAAAGCGAAGGAGGAGTTGGGCTCGGATGCACTAGTGTCCAGCACTGTCATCGCCGCACAACGCCCAGCCGAGAAAGGAGACGAAAAGACCAAACTCGTGGTAAAGACACCCAACGGCAACAGACTCATCGTCGCCTCCAAAGTGCTCGTCAGCGCTCCTCCAACGCTCTCGAATATGGACGCTTTTGACCTTGACGACACTGAAAAGTCTCTCTTTGGGCAATTTACTAGCAGCTCTTTTTACGTCTTTCTCATTACCGACACGGGCCTCCCTAACGGCTACAGCTTCCAGAATGTTCGACCTTCGAGCACAAACACTTTCAGTATCCCGCCTCTCCCGGGCCTCTACAACATCAATCCCACGGCCATCGATGGGCTCTTCTCGGTCTGGTACGGCGGGCTTGAGGCTCTTTCTCAAGACCAGATGAAAGAAGACATTACGGCCACGGTTAAGCGCGTTCGCAAGGCCGTTGATGGGACAAGCAATGGAGAGGTTACCTTCCTGGACTACAGCAGCCACACGCCTTTCCAACTGGCAGTACCTTCTGATGCTATTGCGGATGGTTTCTACGACGACCTGGCGGCGCTTCAGGGCCACCGAAACACATGGTACACTGGCTCGGCTTTTGTCGGTGTTCATGCGGCTCTCCTTTGGAACTTTACCGAGAATCTATTGCCGGAAGTCATTGGGGCTTGAGTAAATTCTGCCATGAAAATATGGTCAGTTTTTAACAATCAGACCATATAGATTAGAGAGCCTTCAATTATGGAAGCCAATTTTGTTTTTCAACAAAACAATACTTTGTAGGTCGGTATGTAGATGTTTTAGGCACTATGTATGACCATTAGGCAAAATGTATCAACGAAAAACAAAAAACACAATTTAGTTATCCTCACTGCATATCGACAAGGTGACGGCAAGACGCATGAAAAAAAGCATCGATCAATGCCGGTACAGGGAAGGCGTTGGGAACGGACACGTGCAGAGCACGGTTGCAGCTTTTAGATTAGCGTCAGGGCTCAGCCAACCCCCGCTTATTGGCACGTGCTTGGGTCGCGCAGCGGTCGTTGCTTTCGATCCTCCTCCGACCTCCGTCAACTCTTCTGCGTCGTCGACCGTCATCTCACTCTGCAGTCAGATATGTCTTGCGCCAGCCCCCTATGTCAACATACTGTTTTAACGCACGTGCAGCTTACCCTGCAGGGCTTCTCATGCACAACGCCACAGGTACAACACCAGTCGCCGTTTGAAGTATCACGGCGTCATGGTGAACATGTCAGACCATACTCCTCAGGTCCGTCTCAGGTCGCTGAGTAAGCAATCTGTTACTTTTTCACGGACGGAGGACATCGGAAGCAGCCGACGAGGTATCAGATCCTCCGGGCGATTTAAAAAGGGCTACCAGGCCCATCTCGCCAAGCCTTAAAGGGAAACATGCAAGCAAACTCGCCGGGCCTTGACGCGGATCCACCCTGACTGCAGTTTTGAGGCTGAGACAAAGGAAGTTTTTCGACTCCCATAAGCACAGATAGATTACTCCGCAGGAAGCAAGGTTCCTCTCCGGACATCAAAAATGTCCGTACCCAGGCACTATCCTTATCGAGTAATTCTTTCAGCCGTCCCAACATTTGTCTGCGCTACCAAAACACCGATTACCCAATTTTAGCATTAAGCTCTGCTGCAGATTCTAAAGGACCAGCTCTAACCAAGTACTTAACTTCCACCTAGGATTTCCAATGGCCCGGGTCAGATGTTAACCTCAGTGTTAAGTATCTCATCACCTACGCGTTGATTTTTCATTACTACCTCTTCCCACGCAAGAAAGATTCAACACTACGTCCAAGATGAGCAACTCCGAGCAGTCCTTTGGGAGCGAGCCCATAGCTATTGTCGGCTTGAGCTGTAAATTCGCAGGGGACGCGTCGAGTCCCGATAAATTATGGAAGTTGTTGGAGGAAGGACGGAGTGCATGGAGCGAAATTCCAGCTTCGCGCTTCAATCCCAAGGGCACTTTTCACCCAAACTCGGAGAAGCTGAGCACTGTGAGTGGCCTCTATAACTACCCGAATTGTAGACTAATGAGATGGGTTTAGGTACATGTTCGCGGTGCGCACTTCATGGAAGAGGATGTGGGAATGTTCGATGCTGCCTTCTTCGGTTATTCTGCAGAAACTGCGTCGGTAGGAAGAATTACTTCAAACTCGGGTTTGCATGTACTGACAACGACAATGCGTAGACGCTTGATCCCCAATTCCGGCTCCAGCTGGAATCAGTGTATGAGGCATTGGAAAATGGTTCGTTTCCCTGCTCGGCTTTGAAATCCTCCGTCAGTCGCTGATGAAAGTAGCCGGTCTTCCTCTTGCCCAAATCGCGGGTTCCAAGACGTCTGTGTTTGCTGGTCTTTTCGTCCACGACTACCGAGATGGGCTAGTCCGTGATGAAGACAATATCCCAAGATTCTTCCTCACGGGCGTTGGTTCCGCCATGGCCTCCAATCGCATATCGCACTTCTTCGATTTCCGAGGCGCGAGTATGACGATAGACACGGGATGCTCGACAACTCTGGTGGCTCTTCACCAAGCAGTTCAAAGTCTGCGAAGTGGAGAGTGCGACATGAGCATCGTCGGCGGTTCAAATGTCTTGATAAACCCTGACAACTTCAAGACCATGGGATCGTTGGGGTAAGCAATTTTCTCTCTCTTGTTGTCCGCTTGCTAAACGTGCTTAGCTTCCTCTCCCCCGACGGCAAGTGCTTTGCCTTTGACTCGCGCGGCAACGGCTACGGGCGCGGCGAGGGAGTGGCTACGATTGTCATCAAGAGACTCAAGGACGCGGTCGCGGCGGGCGACCCAATCCGGGCTGTCATCCGCGAGACAGTCCTTAACCAGGACGGGAAGACGGAGACTCTCACATCACCAAGCCAAGCGGCGCAAGAAGCACTCATGCGCGAGTGCTACGCTAGGGCCGGCATCGACCCGCTCAGCACACAGTATTTCGAGGCCCACGGAACTGGCACCGCTACCGGAGATCCGATCGAGGCGGGAGCTATTGGTGCCGTCTTCGAAGGCCACCGCAGAAAGGCTGAAGAGGCACTGCGCATTGGCTCTGTCAAGACGAACATTGGCCACACGGAGGCGACGAGCGGTCTGGCAAGTGTCATCAAGGTAGCTCTGGCGATGGAAAAAGGCATCATTCCGCCTACGATCAACTTCGAGAAGCCCAATCCCAAGCTGCAGTTGGAAGAGTGGCGCCTCAAGATTGCAACCGAGCTGGAAAAGTGGCCTGCAGCCGCTGGTGAAATCCTTCGGGCGTCCGTCAACAACTTTGGCTATGGAGGCGCCAATGCGCATGTCATCATGGACAATGCGGCATCCTCGCTGAGCAACGGCACTAACAGAACCCTCAATGGGCACACTCACGATTCGTCTGTCGATGCGACCAAGTTACTGGTCCTAAGCGCAAAGGATGAACAGGCTTGCCGGAAGATGGTGGACAACCTGAAAGAATTCCTTGTCAAATCCGAGCAGGATGGCAGAGAAGTCGCCACAGAGTTGTTCCTTCAGAGCCTCGCTTATACCCTGGGTCAACGCCGGACACTATTCCCTTGGGTTGCCGCGTTCCCCGTTCCTTTCACAAAAGGCGTTGGTGAAGTCGTCACAGCCCTGAGCTCGCCTAAATTCCGACCGTCTCGCACGTCGCGACGTCCTCGAATCGGAATGGTATTTACGGGACAGGGAGCGCAGTGGTACGCCATGGGAAGGGAGTTGATCACGGAGTATCCTGTGTTCAAAGCATCGCTTGAAGAGGCCGATACGTTGCTGAAGGAGCTCGGGTCGGATTGGTCGCTGATCGAAGAGCTTCATCGCGATGCCAAAACAACCAGGGTTAACGGAACAGGCTTCAGCATCCCGATTTGTATCGCGGTGCAGATCTCGTTGGTTCGTCTCTTGCGTACTTGGGGAGTCACACCGACTGCTGTGACGAGTCACTCAAGTGGAGAGATTGCCGCCGCCTACACCGTAGGCGTTATCAGTTTCCGGTCGGCCGTGGGTATTGCCTACTACCGCAGCAAACTGGCCGCCGACATGACTCTCGAGGGTCCTGTTAAGGGCGGCATGCTTGCTGTCGGACTTGGAAGCCAAGACTCTGAGCGCTATATTGAGCGTCTGACTTGTGGCGCCAGGGCCGTGGTGGCCTGCATCAACAGCCCAGCCAGCACCACGGTTGCTGGTGACGTTGCTGCCATCGAAGAACTCGAGGCCTTGCTCAAGGCTGACGACGTGTTTGCTCGCCGCCTCAAGGTGGACACTGCATATCACTCTCACCACATGGAGCCAATTGCCGCCCAATACCGCGAGGCTCTCAGCAACATGCCACCTGACGACGCAGCCAAGGACAACAAGCTTAAATCAATCGCATTTGCATCCGCCGTCACCGGGTTCCGCATCTCAAGCGCCAAGAAGATTGCGCACCCGGACCATTGGGTTGGTAGTCTGTTGCAACCCGTCCAATTCATTGACGCCTTCACCGAAATGGTCCTGGGAGATTTGGATAGCACTGAGCCAAGCGTGGACATTGTTGTCGAGGTTGGCCCGCATACAGCTCTTGGTGGTCCTATCCAGCAGATCCTGGAGCTTCCCGAATTCGATGGCATTCAGTTGCCCTACTACGGCTGTCTGGTGCGTCATGCAAACGCCGTCGAAAGTATTCAGACGCTCGCAGCGAACCTGCTTCGCGAGGGCTACCCACTGGATATGGAAGCGGTCAACTTCCCCCACGGACGGGACCAGCAAGTTCGCGTGCTTACGAATCTGCCTTCGTATCCTTGGATTCACCAGACTCGTCACTGGGCCGAGCCTCGGTCCAATCTTGGACTCCGCGAAAGAGACCAGGCTCCTCATGATCTTCTTGGTCACCTTGTGCCTGGAACGAATCCGCAGGCGCCGACGTGGCGACACACCCTCCGTGCAACTGAGTCGCCGTGGGTGAGAGACCACGTCATTCAATCCAACATGCTCTACCCGGGATGTGGGTTCATCAGCTTGGCCATCGAGGCCGTCAAGCAGCAGTTGACAATGCTGGACCAAGATCAGCAAGCGACCAAGAAGATCTCTGGCTACCGAGTCCGAGATGTAAATGTCCTACAAGCATTGGTCATCCCGGACACAGCGGACGGTATCGAGATACAGACAGTGCTTCGTCCGGCAAGCGACAAGGCCATCGGCGTGCGTGGTTGGAAGCAGTTCGAGGTCTACTCCGTCACGGCAGATAACCAGTGGGCCCAAAATGCTCAGGGTTTGATCACGGCCGAGTTTGAAGAATCTGACAAGAGCGTTGAGTTCGACGACAGCAAGTTCAAGGCTCTAGACCCCAGCTCCGGCTATGCGCGACGAATTGACGCGACGGACATGTGGAATGTGCTGAACTCGCTCGGTATCCAGTATGGACCTACTTTCAAGAATATCAGCAACGTTGTTCAATCCGGCAGGGAGTTGATGTCGGTCAGCACCATTACCGTAGCGGATACCTCAGTGCCGAAAGACCTGCCCCGGAACCATGTCATTCACCCAAGCACCCTGGACGCAGCTGCTCAGGCGACCTACACGGCTCTGCCCGGGGTAGAGTCCCACCAAGACAGCACTCGAGTGTTCCAGTCCATCGACAACATCTGGATCTCGAGTGAGATCAGCCACGAGGCTGGCCACAGCTTCCAGTGCTACACCTCGCTCAAACACGCAGATGCTCAGGGCATGGAGGCCGACATTGTGCTAGCTGATGGCGGCGTTCCTCAGATCAAAATCGACGGCCTCGTCTTCTCGTCTCTGGGCCGAAACCCAGTTGACAACTCGAAGCCTTGGGAGAACGAGCTCTGTAACAAGCTGGTGTGGGAAACTGAGCCGGACCTCAGTCTCAACGCTCTGTCTGCACAGTCGTTATCGGACCAACCCACCAAGCTGCTGCACTCCATCGTGCACAAGAACCCCCGTGCACGCATCCTCGAGGTTGGAGCCAGCCTTGGGGGCACAACCCGTGCTTGGCTGCAAGCACTGGGCACAGGAGAGACTGGGGGTCCGCTTGCGGCGTTCTATCACTTCACCAATGCCTCGGACGACGAGTTCGAGACAGCGCAGAAGGAGCTTGCGCCGTGGAGTGAGATCCTTGGCTTTGAAAAGCTCGACATTGAGCGTGACCCGTCTTTGCAAGGATTCGAGCCGGGCACTTACGATATCGTGCTGGTTTCTGAGTCCCAAGCATCATCCGCCGACAACGCGTTGGCCAACGTGCGCAGCTTGCTCAAGCCAGACGGTAGGTTGCTCATGACGAAAACGACTCGGGATGAGCTGGACACGCAGCTTGTCTCTGGTCCTCTCCCTGAGCTACCCAATCTGCCAGCTTCGGACGATGTCATACTCGTCACCAGCAACAAGACCCGTCTTCCCCCATCTGCCTGGCTTGAATCCCTACAGGCCGCCTTGTCGGTCAGCGGCAACAAGCCTGCCGTGCATGTTCTCGAGTCCTCAAAGGCAGCAGCTTTCGCTGGGAAGATCTGTGTTTTCCTTGGCGAGATCGAGCACCCTGTACTTCGCGACATCGACGCCGCAACGCTGGAGGCTGTCAAGGCCATGGCGATTGGCTGCAGGGGCCTGCTCTGGGTTACGCGTGGCGGCGCAGTCGAAAGCCAGAACCCGGACCTTGGCCTTGCTTGGGGCTTCCTTCGAACCCTGCGGAACGAGTACCTTGGCCGGCCTTATCTGTCGCTGGACCTCGACCCTAGTGCTTCGCTTTGGTCTGATGACGATGCGTCTGCCATTGTTCAGCTCCTGAAGGTAGGGTTTGGCGACTCGGCTACGGCTGTCACTGAGTTCGAGTATGCCATTCGCGAGGGCCATTTCAAGATCCCGAGAATTCTCAAAGACAGGGCTCGCAATGATATTGTGTCGCCCAAGGACGCCGCTGATCTGGACAAGGTCATGGAGCCGCTTCACCAGCCAGACCGCCCGCTGCGGATGCACGTTGGAATGCCCGGATTGTTGGATACGCTGGCGTTCGATGATGACGATTCAATCTCCGCGGAAGCCGGATCCGCACTCTCGCCTGAGATGGTCGAAGTTGAGCCTCGGGCTTATGGTGTCAATTTCCGCGATGTCATGGTCGCCATGGGACAGCTACACGAGCGCGTCATGGGCCTCGAGTGCTCTGGTATCATTACCCGCGTGGGCAGCGATGCAGCCAAGCAAGGGTATGCCGCCGGAGATCGCGTCTTCTGCCTACTGCGCGGGCCCTTCGGAAGCCGCGCTCGCATCGAATGGACCAATGTATCGCACATGCCCGAGGGACTCAGCTTCGAGGAGGCTGCTTCTCTCCCGGTAATCTTCTGCACTGCATACATCGGGCTCATCGACCTGGCGCGCATGGAACCCGGCAACTCCATCCTCATCCACGCTGCGGCCGGTGGCGTGGGCCAGGCCGCCATCATGATGGCTCGGCACTTGGGCGCCGACATCTTCGTTACCGTTGGTACGCAGGAGAAACGCGACTTGGTGATGAACAAGTACGGCATCCCGGCCGATCGCATCTTCAGCAGCCGCGACACGTCGTTTGCTGCTGGAGTCCTCGCTGCTACCAACGGCCGCGGTGTTGATGTGGTCCTCAACTCCTTGGCCGGACCTCTTCTGCAAGAGAGCTTCAACGTCCTTGCTCCCTTCGGGCACTTTGTCGAGATTGGCAAGCGTGATTTGGAGAGCAACAGCCACCTGGAGATGCGCCCGTTCACTCGGCAGGTCTCCTTCTCGGCCTTCTACCTCCTTTCCCTCATGCAGCACAAGCCGCGCCAAATCCATCGCGTCTTGGGTGAGATTTCGCGCCTCGTGCAGGCAAACGTTCTCGCCCCCGTCCATCCCGTCACGGCCTACCCGATTGCCGACGTCTCGAAGGCCTTCCGCATGCTGCAGACAGGCAAACACATGGGCAAAGTGGTTCTCTCCGTCGGCCCGCAGGAGCAGGTCCCAGTCCTTCGGCGCGCGCCGGCAGCCAAGTTCTCCCCTGACGCATCCTACCTGCTCGTGGGCGGTATGGGCGGCATTGGCCGCGCCATCGCGTACTGGATGGTGGCGCATGGCGCGCGGAACCTGGTCTTCATGTCGCGCAGCGCCGGCCGCAGCAGCGGTGGGGCTTCGACGTTCGTGAAAGAGCTGGCCGAGGCGGGCTGCCGCGTCAAGCCCGTGAGCTGCGATGTCAGCAGCGAGGCCGACGTTGCGCGGGCGGTGCGCTCGGTAGCAGAGGATGGCCTCCCGGCGATCCGTGGTGTTATCCAAGCAGCCATGGTGCTTCACGTAAGTTTGCACATAACCAATAATAAACAGCCCTTACTAATCTCTCGTAGGATACCATCTTGGAGCAAATGACGCTTGCCAACTTCCAGACGGCCATCCGCCCCAAAGTCCACGGCACCTGGAACCTGCACAAGCAGTTCGCCCAACCCAACTCCCTGGACTTCTTCGTCATTCTCTCGTCCATCGTGGGTGTCGCGGGGAACGCCAGCCAGTCGAACTACGCAGCCGCCGGAGCGTACCAGGACGCGCTAGCGCGGTGGCGCGTGTCGCAGGGCCTGCCAGGCGTAGCGATCGACCTCGGGGCCGTCAAAGCCATCGGCGTCGCGGCCGAGACGGCAGGCGTGCTGGGGCGCCTGCAGCGGACGGGGCATATGCCGCTGAGCGAGGAGCAGGTGCTCGGGGTGCTGGGCAGCGCGGTGCTGGCGCCGTACGAGGCGCAAGTGGTGGTGGGGCTGAACAGCGGGCCAGGCAAACACTGGGACAGCAACGGGGAGGCGCAGCTGGGGCGCGACGCGCGGTACAGCGGGCTGGCACAGCGGAAGACGGAGGGGGGGCAGGCAAGCGGCGCAGCGGGGGGGCCGGACGCAGGGACGCTGGCGAGCAAGATCGCGGCGGCGGGCTCGCTGGACGAGGCGACGGGGGCCGTGGGCGCGGCCATTGCCGCCAAGCTGGCGGATATCTTCCTGCTGCCGGTTGAGGAGATTGAGCTCGCGCACCGGCCGGCGCACTATGGGATTGACTCGTTGGTGGCGGTCGAGCTGCGCAATATGCTGGTGCAGCAGGCGGCGGCCGAGGTGTCCATTTTCGGTATTATTCAGAGCGCGTCGCTGACGGCGCTGGCGGCGGATGTGGCGGCGAAGAGCGCGCATGTTGGTGCGGGGTTGGTTGGGGGGGGGGGGGGTGGGAGTGGGGTGGCTTGAGTGGGTTGGGTTGGATGGGTGGGATGGGTTTAGATGGGGTTGGGTTGGGTTATAGAAATGGATTGTGTTTGGTTTCCTGGTTAAGTGGTGCTTGAGCGTGACAGTGAGTGAAAGACGCATAAAAAGGATTCTGGGCGTGCACAAAAAGGATCGCAGTAACACGATCATCCTCTTTTCTAGAAAATCAGCGCGATAAGTAGATGCGGTAGTGAGGAACGTTTGTATCATGCAAGAGCGGCATAACGCAATTACACAAGGCTTTCTTTTCAATTTTATACTGAACTGATGCAGCATAATAACTAAAATAAGATATAAAAAGGAGAGCGAATATATAGAACCTTGTAAACTTATAGAAGTAGTGTAGAGCTCTATTGTTATATACTTAAATAAATAGACTGTAGTTATACTCTCTGTATAAGGTAATAGAGTTATATTTATTTTAGGACTATAGATCATCGTAGAAGCCGTAAATTTCAGTTATTCAAATTGTCGGTGCGACTAGCAAACCCATACTTGGTGAGAGCGTTACGGTACAAGCTAATAAGTAAAGATTCGCCACCCACTCCGAATACGTCGGACTGCTAAGCCTCACAGCCTTTATTCTCAACAGTGAACTTATCTAAGCCCCGATACCCATATCCATGGTAAGCGTCCTCTGTAGTATACTCCTGAAGAACACGCATCGGTATGGGCCTATTAAACAGTATAGGCTCCTCGTGATCTTCAACTTCTTTGATAGGGAAAATTCCTTGGAGTACACGCATCCGATTGTGCTCATCGGATCCAAGCGCGAACTCTTCCTCAATCTCTTCGACCGTTGTAACGTGCGTTATTTTGAATCCATTCTTAATTCCAAGGAAGTCCAGATCGACCTTACTGACCTGTGGATCAGCGATGGACGTGCTGAGGTCGATGAGTTTCATGAGTATCAAAAAGGCCTTTTTGGGGACCCACAAACGTTTCATCTCTTGGTCGAAGTTGAACGGTCCTACGTCTTGGAGGTCTGGTAAACGGTATAGAAAGCAGCGTTCGGATTCGAATGCATGTAGCCAGCCCGTATACTCGGCCAACGCAATAAACTTGTAGAATCCGTCACTATCCTCTCGAAGGATCATGGCGAATTGGAGTTCTGTTAGAAGTCCGACATTTCCAAGGTGGATGACAGCATCGAGTGGTTTTAGGAGCCAGGTGCTAGCGGCATGGCTCTTATCATGGTCAAAATGACATTTTCTTTTAGCGTACCACGTTCTTTTGCTTGTCCAGAAACCGTCCAAGATTTTCCCATTTGTATTCCACGTCTTACACTCTACCAGATCCTCTAAACGGCCTTGGTCCGATTGGCCGTTCAAGTGCTCATGAAGTCCTCTGTGTTCTATTTTAAGGACCTTCCGGAGATAATTTGCCTTTGCAAGTTCAAAACGGTCGCTTTGAACAACCCTGAAAAAGAGCTCTTCATGGGAAATCGAGTAATCCGGTTTTAGTAGGCCAGGTTTGTAAACATAAGATATCCCAAGAAGTGAGTAGATCTTGTCGCGCATATCTGCGCAAAGACCACCGCCATCAAGGCTTTCTAGCGCGTCTATGAGATTCAAGCCGTTGCCATGCTTACTAAACTCGCTCTTAGTGTTGATTACATGAAGTGCTGATGGAAATTGTTTTTCACCCCATTCGTGGGGAGCATCCCAACTCCGGGGTTGGTGTCGTTTTGGTGAGTTGTGAAACTGGCTAATAATATAGAGTACTCGAAGTGCGGATGGAAAATTATTTTTACACCAGTAGCGGGAGTATTCTCTACAACTCCAGAGTTTGTCCTCTTGCACTAAACTTTTTGAACGTCTTATACGTTTTATCAAGTGCCTGCCAGAGTTTGGAAGTAGTTTTTGGAATGCACTCAACGGAAATTTGTGTTCACCGCAGAGAAGAAGCACATTCTCTTCACCGAAGATGATTTCTTGGACGATCCACATTCTTTCCCAGTATTCGCGGGTAAGTATATCCACTACAAGGCGAGAAACAGGATGTGGGTCGTTACAGAATAGTCCGTAATGGATATCCAACAGTCTCATTTCCTGTCGGTCTTCCAATGAACAACACTCTTCAACGTTTTTAAGGAGGGCATGGAGTCGTTTGTATCTTCCAGAACCAAAGATCCCTGTCTTTTCCTTAAGTGATAGGCCCAGCCAGACGAATACTGTCGTAGCGTTGCGGTAAATATCTGCCATCTGGTTGACTTGATGATTCTTCTCTGAGACATTTCCCTGGTCGATACAAATTGCGTCGATCCATAAATTTCTACGAGCTTTGGCGTGCGAGGTGGTAGACTGTAGGAACTGCAAGAGGTTCTTGCGAACACGGAAACGTCTTCTATTGAGGATAATCCATCCAGGTTGCTCCTCGGAACCCCAGGCATAAGACAACGCGTTGTATGAGCAGCTGATATCGTCTCGATTGCGAAGGCGGATTGTACATTCGACAAGACCACGAGAGGAAACACCATCGATGTCGAGGAGGCGGAATGTGTCCTGTTCCAGGTCAAGCGGCTCGTGTTGGAAATCTTCCAGTATCGAAGGATCCCCTGCATGCGAAAATGAATGTTTCATGGATTGCTGGATACGGGACCACATCGAATTATTCTGCGGGTTGAGGTGCGAACTAATTTACATCAAATACGGGTAGGGCGGCTGGCGCCCACGTCCTTTCGAGTCTCTCGGAGTCAGTGTGTCGATATCGGAGTCTTTGTGGGCGTGGCTGAGGTAGAAAAATGGCTGCGGGATCTCTTTGGTTTAATTTAGCACAGAATTGTGGGGCTAGGCAGCAGGCTACGTGGATACTGTTTATAGGTAGACTCCCGTACCCATGTCTCGCTTACGATCCACCAGTGCTACACCAGGAGCTGCAAGGGCCCGGGGCACAACCGTAACACCAGAAAAGAAAAATATAGGCATCTCCTCGTTGAAGGCTAGGTTCGGAATTAGAAGATGTCGAACACCTACAAAACGGCCAGACCTCATTATTGCGGTGTTTTCGTAACAGGGATTCATGGGGTGCGATTCAGGGTTGACTGCTGAACGCGCTTATTTGACATTTGACAGAAGAGCAACTTGGCTTCCCTAATTTTTTCCGCAGAGGTGTCAACCTTCAGCAAGGAAGCTCATAGTACAATAAATATCCAAAAGTGCTACGTTTCAGTAGATTAATTGTTGCTTAAATTAATCGGCTAGTGATGAAAAACTATGAGAGATAATTGCTCTATGAATACGCCTTATACTACTCCTTAATAAGCTCTGGGTGGCCTCCGGGTCCCCGACCTCGCCTGATTACGTTTCATAGACACTTAATGCTACCTCAGGACTGGCTAAGATAACCGCAAAGTAAGCACTTATATTCGAAAGGCTTAGCTCGGTGGTACAGACGCTAACTATGTACTGCTTACTCTTCGGGAAACCCTTCCTCGGCCCCACTCGAGACCGACAGCGTAGGTGAAGCATTCCTCGCCGTTATAGTCTATTAATATTGTAATGCCCAATAGCCTGCACGCGGTGACGCATCATGCAATGCTGAGGCATAGGCTTTAATACTTTTCGTATCTCTACCAAGCTTCAGTCCTTTCTCATTGATCGACCACAGCCTTTTCACCAGTCCCAACCAACGGCAACACAAGAGTTCTATGGCAGGCAGCATAAGCAGGCTCGTTCAGCAGCACCATGAACGAGGCAGAAGACAAGAGCGAACAAGGCACAATGAGCTTCGGACAACAAAGACAAGCGAGTTCTACTCAACCAACAGTTGCAGTAATCGCAGACGACGAAAGCTGGTCCGAAGACAAGATTTCCTTTAACGAAACGAACAGCGAATCGACCCCGCTACGAACCTTGACGGCAGACTGCCCGAATCCTCCAGAGTTCTACAACGCCAGCGAGATTTATCCTGAAGTGGTCAGAGACGGGACAGCGCTCCCGGAAGTCATCGCCAGAAAGCACTCCTACTCAAGCAAAGAAAACCTCCAGACACTAAGCGCCGATAACCCAACACGGCAGAAGCGAAACCGGCTGCGCTTCTGGATACTTGTGGGACTACTGGCAGTCGTCATCATCGCGACCGTGATTGGAGGAGTTGTCGGATGCACGTTACGAGAGAAACCCAGCACGAAGACGAAGATCCTGAACACGACCGCGCTGGCGTCAGTGAGCTATAAGCGGGCAGACGGTGTGTCGCAGTACCGAGTCTATTTCCAGGCCGAATCTGGGGCGCTCTGGCAGACGGTGTGGGATTCTGCGACGGAGAAGTGGGCTGCGTCGCCGTTGAAAGAGAGGGGGGTGGCGGATGTGGCAGGCGAGCCGGAGGTAAAGCGGGGTACGCCGCTGGCTGCTCATGTTTATGGCTCGGTGGAGAGCGTAAGTGGAAATGCTTTTTAATTGGCAGCATAATGCATCCAAGGGTCTAGCTCATTCGATTTTTACAGGAGGAATACGAATACCACCTCTTCTTCCTGGACGTCTCCAACAAGATCTGGGAGCTCGTATCCACAAACCCCGAACGCATGTGGGACTTTTCCCCAAAAGGTGCCTTGAAAGGCAACTACACAGCAGCAGCAAGCTCGAACCTGGCGTCGTACGGCAGGCAGTGCGGGCAAGAATGCGGGAACGCCACATCTGTTGTCGTATGGCAGAGCAGCGATAGCGAGATATGGCTAGCCGGCTACGAGCCTGGCTATGGCTGGGTGTCGTTTTCTATGAATGCCACGGTCGAGCCACCGCCTGTGCAAGGCACGGCTATTGCTGTTGTGTCGTTGGGGGCTAGTGAGGGCGTGATGAGCGTGTACGTTAATAATGGGAGCCCGACGCGGTTGCGTTTTAATATCACGGACGGGTGGACGGTGGACGGTAAGTACTTTCCCCTGTAGATAATCCGTCTAGAGGCTTTCCTAGCTGACTATAATCGATTCGTAGGCAGCCTCGGTGGAAGCATTGCCCCGGATGCAGCTCTCGCCGGGTTGATTACCAACTACGACGATGCAAACACTGAGACGGCGGACGTCAAGGTTTTGGCAACCAGGCCCGAGTCCTCAGGCGGGATTTTGCTGTGGCAAGATGGAAAGCTCGACACCTCGTGGTTGAACGGTAATGCTGATCCGCCTTTGTTTTCGGTGTCTAATTTCTCGGCTATTACATCGAATCAAGCGGGAAGAGTGTACGCTTTGGAGGAAACGCAGATTACTGAGTGGCGATGGAAAAGTAGTAACGGCTCTTTTGTTCGGGTTGGGTATGTAATTACGAATTAACGAGATAGGTATAATAAGACACTTCAAAATAAGCAGACATGGTCATTTTGAAGGCATCTTGGTGACAGGTGTTCTACCAGGAGACATTGTTTTTCGCTTTCTTCAATGCCCTTCATCTACATACTCTCCATATATAAAGAAAGGCAGAAATCAATGTTCGTTTGGCAAACCATCAATCCCATACGCTCCAAAACCCATCTACCAAGGCACGGGCCCACTCCTATCCGAAAACGTAGCCGTAGGCGCCTCCTCGCCCATCGTAGCCAATTCAACAATACGCTGGGCACCCTCGTCGGTCGACACGGCCGCGGGGTTAAAGCCATTCATCCTGGTCTTGACCAAGCCAGGACAGACAGTATTGACGCGGACGCCAGCATTCATCAGGACGCGGGCATAGTTAAGCGCGAGCATATTAACAGCGGCCTTGCTCGCAGCGTACGCCTTGACGTCCCACTGGTACGCGGGGCTCTCTTTGCGGGCGTTCTCGGCCAACGAGCCCAGAGTCGAGGAGACGAAGATGACTTGCGGGGCTTGCGACTTGCGCAGCAGCGGCAGCAGCGCCTCGGTCAGGCACGCGGTGCCGGTGACGTTGGTGCCGAGGGTGCGGGCGAAGCGCTCGCGGGTGGACAAGCCGGGCTCGGGCTCCGCGAGAACGCCGGCGTTGTTGACGAGGACGTCGAGGCGGCCGAACTGCGTCTCGATGGCCTGGACGGCGGCGGCGATGGACTCGTCCGAGTCCAGGTCCAGCGCGAGGCTGCTGGCGCGGTGGCCGGCTGCTTGCAGCGTTGCGGCTGTGTCGGCGCCGTCGCTGGCGGACCGCGCCCCGATGATGACGTGGTGGTTGTGTTCTTGGGCGAGGCGGGTGGCGGCCGCGAGGCCGATGCCGCGGTTTGCGCCTGTAATGAGGGTGATTGTTTCGCTGGAGTTGGTGGCCATTTTGGGGGGCGTTGGTTGGACTTTGGCGGGGCTGGTTTGTTGATAGGTGGTGATGTTGGTGCGTGTGCTGTCTTTTATTTGGGAAGGAACCGGAGATGTGTGTATGAGCTGAAACTATGGATCTTTATGGGGCCTGCGAAGATTATGTATTTATAAGATGTATAGAAGATACTGGTGTCACATGTGTTTGACCATTTTGGCCGCAAAGTCAAATTTAGCCGCAGGATCAAATTTGGCCGACGAGGTCTGCGAGCCAACCATTTTAGCCGATGAACCATTTTAGCCGTACTTTGCTTTCAAGTCTGTCTTGTGCATCGCCTGTGTTCTGTTACTGGCGCAAGTTTCATTGTCTCCAGAACTACCGACAAGTCCTTAACTATTTTAAAACTCCGTGTTGTATAGAGCGCACGAGGACTAAGGATGCTAACCTCTCGGCTATATAAGGTAAGGTACGCGGTTTATATAACCTTAATATTTAAAAAAGTGTCTACTATGTTTCGCGCTAAACAAGTTATAAAAGGATATAAACCGTACCTTCGAAATACTTATAGTAGCTAATTTCTATATCGATCAACTACCCTTTATAAATAAATTAATCTACGATAAAATGCTTAGGAGCTAGCTAATTATAAATCAACGATTTTAAGTTTATAATAGCTAAAAGCATATGTCAGCCAGGATCACTCCGATAACTCTCGTTTTTTTTTTTTTAGCCTTATTACAGTCAGTTATTACACTACAGCCTTATCCCTTACACCACACGTTTATCCACTACAAGGGAATAAGGATCTTAAAGAGAAAACGTATCCTTTTAGATAGCAGCATATATACCTCCATAGGTAGTAGTAATTTAGGAGGACAAGCGGCGTCTAATTCCTCGCGCCCAGCTTCACAGCATATAAATATAAATTAATAGTTATAAAGGTTATATAAGCTAGATAAGAAAGAAGCTTCTATATAGTCTATAATTAGGCCTCTTGCCTTATTTACGTTATATTAGCTAAGATAGAAGTAGGGAAGAAAGTTATCTCTACTATAGTACTTATATATACTAGAATTAGGTATATCTTAAAATATAGAGATAATACTCTATATAGGCGCTATTACTGTAAGGGTACTAGGCGAAACTAACGCCATCTAATAGTATCCTCTCGTTAGGAAGTAAACTATCGGAAACAAATAAAGCTTTATCTTAGGAATATAAAGCTAGAATAAGTTAGATTATAGATCTATGCGGCATAGCGTATTGCATAGTTATTTTATAGTTTATAGTAGAACTAAATATAGGCACCAATAAAGAGATTTCAAGTGTAAACAGGCTCATCACATAGTAAGACAGCATCAACAGCAGCAACAGCACCAGCTCAAGCAACAACGAAACTTGCATACATTATATCCAAGTAAAAGCCAAAGAATCAATCAAATCCGAATCACACTTTTCCCCTAAAACGTCAAACCCCAAACTTCATGTCGATGCAGAGACGCGCATCCACAGCCCATCCCCACTACCCAGGCAAAGGAGCCGTAAAAATCGCCGCCGAAACATCATGAGCCAGGGGAACCGACCAGCTCTCAATTGAGACCTTGACCTCATCGTCCTTGCCCTTCTCATGCACATCCTCGAGCTTGGCGCGAATCGCCGTCGTCTTGTTCGTGTAGAGGAAGCCATCAACAGCCGCGACGGCGCTGGTGGGCGCGCTGCCGTGTGCGTTATACAGGACCTTGCTGGTGAAGCCGGTGAAGGTGCCCGACGACGTGGCGGCGCCGAGGCGGAGGTCCTCGTCGTGCGAGAAGAATGAGAGCACGCTGACCTGGACCTTGTCGGGCAGTTCTTTGACGGCCGAGTCGGGCTTGCGGCACGACACGGCTAGCCCGGGCTTGCCGGAGCTCGCGTCCGTCGTGATGCTGGCTTGCGCTTTCAGGCCGAACGGCGTCTTGGACGCGCTGATGGAGAAGCCGGAAAGCCAGACCAGCGCCGTGCGGTGCAGGTCTTTCTTGTCGTCGTCTGTGTCATCGAACGGCACGAAGGGCAGCTCCATAGCCGACCCGTCGCCCGATACGTTTTTCTTGGTCAGGTTGTACGTAGTTGCCAGCACGTTGCTGTGTCGCTCGTCGGACGGTATCTCAATCCACACCGTCTCGAGCATCCACAGCCGCGAGCTCTCGACCTTGACCGACAGCTCAAAGCCCTCGCGGGTAATGTTGCGGGCCTCCTGCGTGAAAGAAGGCGACTGCAGTGCGCAATGGAGGTCAATCGCTCCGACACCGAGGATGATGCGAGGCGGCTCGGCGTAGGGCTTGGCGAACTTGATGGACTTTGTGTAGTCGCCCAGGCCGGAACCGGTAAAGAGCAGTGTCTCTTGTTTGGATCGGCCTACGTGAATGACATCGCCAACTGGCTTTGGTGGTGGGTTTTCTTCTTCGGCATCTTTTTGCTGCGTCTGAGCTTCGGGCTGAGGCTCTGGCTGTGCTTCTTGTTCCGGCTCCTTTTCCGGCTCCTTTTCCGGCTCCTTTCCTGGCTCCTTCTCTGGCTCCTCCTCAGGCTGCGGCTCCGCCTGCTGCGGTTCCGGCTGCGGTGCAGCCTCTGCATCTACGAATGTTCGAGTCACTACTTACTCCCGGAGAGGGAGGATAGAGCATGTTTCAACACCCCAGGGGCCTTGCCGTTCTCACCTGGAGCATTGATGCCGTCAAAAGACCAACCGTCGGACTTCTTATCCGCTGGAGGATTCGAAGTCTCTTTTTCCGGCTCGGGCTTGACGCCGTTGGCTTCTTGCTGGATCTCTGCACGGGGGGTCACGCCCTTGGGGCCCTCCTGGTCTTGCTTCACCAGAGAGTTGTACAGCGCGGTCAAGTTCCGGCCTGCAGTCGCCGCGGGATCAAACTTGTGCGTTCCCTTGCCGTACCCCTCAAAGTGCACTTTCCAAGCTGTTGCCGGTCGTTAGTCTGGTACATCCCCATGGTTGGTTGGTGGAAATTGACTTACTGGTCGGGTCGGCAGACAAATAGTCCCAACTGTCGTTGAGATAGTACGTTCCTGTGTCCAAGGTGACGCTCTTCAATACTCCCATATCGCCAGGCGCAGGCCTTAGGTTCTTCAGCCTGGCCGAGAGCTTGATCAGAGCCGTAACGTAGCTAAGCGAAATCTGTTTTCCTAGGCACATGTGTACACCAGAGCCCCATCGCAGGTAAGTATCGTCGGGGCGGTCCAGTTTAAATTTCTGCGGGTCTGGGACGAAATCCTTGTCATTGCTCGCTGGGCCCTGTAGCATGTGAGTATTTGCCATTGCAATCTTGTGAAAAACTTACTAAAAGCAAAACGGCAACGTCTCCGGGCTTGAATTCCTGGCCGTCAATAGTTTTGGGTGCGGCGCAGGCCCGCGCCACGGCTGAGGTACCGGAAATCCTTCCAGCCTCAAGAACGTACTGCTGCAGTGTTTTATCGGCAATCTCGGAGTTTGTCGTGTCGGATGCCAGGTCTTGAATCTTGGCCCAATGGTGACTGTTTTCCTCTTTCAAGAAGAAGGTCAACACATCGGCGAACTGTCAAACGTTAGCATTTCGTTCTGTTCCCGGCAGTATGGGAAAAGGGGAAAAGGGACATACCAGGCAGACAGACGCGCCAACAGCGGCAATAGCGGTGAGCCAGCAGAGATCCCCAGTCTCCTCGAGTGTATTGCCCGCCTCCCTCAGTTCCTTGACGACCTGGTCTCCGTACCACCTAAGCGACCCGGCTCCCATGGTTTCTGTAGCTTTTGCAGCGGCGGAGCCATCACCACCACCACCACCACCACCAAACCATTTGCCGACAACTGGGACCTTTGATAGGGCACCGGTAACAGCACCGGTAACCGACGAAGTGGCCTTCGATATGAAGCCTTTGCTCTTGGTTGCAGCGGCACTTGCGGCGCCACTTGCTGCTGCTACAGGGCTTGCAGATTGCCTCCGCTCGATACACTTCAACGTCGATGCCGTCATGACCTTGGCCGCGTCTTGCGCCGACAACCTCTTACGCCACGTCCTAGCCGGGTCGGTGTTGTTGAAACCAAACTCACGAAGATCTACGAGGTATTTGTAGATCTGTTTGATGCTCAGACTACCTGAAGGATCCTCCGGAGTCTTGAGGTCAAGACTCCAGAGATCGGCCAAGAGCCTGGTCATCAGAGGGATCGCAACACTGCATCAAGGTCAGTATTATTTTCTTTGTACTTCTCCAGGGCTAGTACTTACTCTCGGAGGATATCAATTTGGTCCAACTCCTTGCTCAACGACAGCGTTTCCTTCTTTAAAAACTCTTCTCCATACTTCACTGCCGTGTCAGTGAGCAGTTTAGGGAACTCGGCGGGCGTGTAAAGGATCTCAGCCAACAATTTGTGCTGAGCCTTGTGAGCAGGGGTGTCGCCTGCCAGCATGAAGCCGTTGTAATCTTTCTTGCCCGGAAACAACTCGTTGTATGTTACCCATGGAACTCGGAATGCCGTCTGGTCGCCCAGCACGCCAGTGACAATTGAATGCTTGGTTACGATGACTTTCCTGGGTGGTGGTTTCGGGTCTGCCTTGGAGTACTGATCGATCGTCCCTATCTCAGTAGCAATCTGCTCGTTCATCTTCTTTGTGTACATGGGTTGCATGATATGAAGCGAGTTGTACGGGAACCACCCAGGCAAGGAGCGGTGGAAGAGTTTGTAGAACATAGAACCGCCGCACACATCGAGGTCTGGATTGACCTCGTTTATGCCCCAGCTGGTCAGGTTGGATGCCGTGTAGTCAATCGTCAAGAACCGGTCCGAACGTACTAGGCAAACAGCGTCGCTGAAGACAGCTCGCGCCACAGTGTACGGTGCACCGATTCCGCAACCAGGGTCCATACGGGGCTTGATGTCCTCGATCATCATACCTGGATACATTTCAACCATGTCTGGGTGGTCGTACAGCTTCCGCAGCAGGTCTGCAATTTCTGGGTCGGGGTTGATGTCCTCGAAGGTATCGTATCGCTTGAGTTTGAAGAATTGGCGCATCTCATTGAGCGAGCCGAGCTGCCACTTGCGAGCCGTCAAAATACCGGTGACCTCAATGATTTTCAGCGCTTTGGGAACCATGCGCGCTCCGAAGAGGCCTGCAGGATCCTCCATGCTCTCTTTCATGACCCTGACGAGGTCGGCGTCATTGAAGCGGCCATCGGGCCCACGCTTGAGGCCGCCAAACTCGCGCTTGCCGGGGTCGGCAGGAATACTCTGCTCAAATCGGAAGAGGCCCTGGATGAATTCCTCTGGGGTCAACTGGTCAAGGGGCTTAGTGTTCTCTGGGAAGATGCTTTCAAAGAACTCGTTCAACCACTTCTCGTCCCGCTTCGAGATAGCCGGGTGGAAACGGTACAACAGGTTGAACTCGGCTGAAACCTGGTTTCCAACTCCTCGCGGCGTACCTTCGGGATCGAAAAGCTTGTTGACTTCCATCCTTGGGTCTATGGACCAGTCACTCTTCGAATGGTGCACGTTGGTGATGCCACGGAGGTAGTCATGCAGCGAAATGTTGATGTACATTCCATTGACGATGCTAATTCGACGTGAGTAAACTGATAAAAACAGCAGAGGGGAATGTCTTACAGTCTTGCGGTGTTGAACAGGTCATTGTCCTGCTTGGCCAAGGCCTTCTTCTCATCTTCCTCATTCTTTGTCGGGGGAAGCGTGAACCTCCCTCCCTCGTTGATCTTCAAGAGCACATCAGCCACGTAGTTGTGGAAGCGGCTGTACATGATGAGCATGATGTTGACACCAGGCGGTTGGCCGATAAGTCTTCGCTCATGGAACGTATCCGGTTTGAGGAAGCCCTTCTCCATAGTCCTAATCTTGAGTTGGTCCTCGAGGCTTGACCCGTAGAGCGGAGCAAGGTCAAGGTATGACGACGTGTCTGATATGCTGCTATCGAATCTGTTCGTTCTGAAAATGTCTTGTAAAGTCAGTAATGAGCTGCTTTAAAGAAGAATGAATTGCTCACCGTGGATGATGATGGTTGCATGGTAGAACAACACAGACGAGATACCGGCGGGGTTCTCTTTGAATGTCTCGTCGGTACGTGCCATGAACACTACTCAAGTCAGATCGAATTAACTTTTTTTTCACACCGTGAGCTAGCTTACAATCAAAAAGAAGGCCCGGGTCAGGAGGGACACCATGCGTAGCTTCGATTTTTCGGACAGTGCGGGCATAAGGGCTTCCCGCCTTGCCAAGGTCGGGAATCATGGGGTTCTGTAATTATGTCAGAGCCGGAGACAACACGAAACATAACAGACAACTAACATTGTAGCTCCCGTCAGGTGTCCGGAACCGATACTTGTCGCCCAGGTAGCTAAGTGGAGGGTGTTGAAGATCTGTCCACAATTTGTTCACGATGACGCCCGAAAGCTTCTCGCGTGCCTTCGAGGATCGGGGAAGAGAGGCCGTGAGGGCCATGACCTTCTCCAGCTGTCTCACAGTAAGCATTGTGCCATTTTATTTTAGCCGCGATACTTACAGTCATTTTTCGATCATCCATAGGCTTGTTTTGGAGCAGCTCTAGGAGGGTCTTCAAATCACTGTGAGCTGCTTTTAGACCAACGGCCTTGAGATCCTCTTTCAGGCCAGTCGACAGGGCTTCGGGCTTGCCATAAGTCTCTCCGGCCTGATACTTTTCGTCATCCTCTTGCTGCTCAATTTTTCTCTTGTTGAAAAGCTTGCTGTTGAGGGGATTCAACTTTGAAAGAATGCCGGGCGCAATGCCCTTGATAGATTCAAGTGCCGACAATGTCCCCTGTGGATGTTGAAGCTTTGGTTTAACTGCGGACACTAACTTCTCGATGCCTGGAACCTTGTCGAGCCCAAGGGATTTGAGAAGGTCGTCTGGGGGCCCCTTTTCCAACAAAGGCTTCAAGAAGGGGAACTTATCGACTGGCAAAACCGACGACAGTAGTTTGCTGACATATTTCCACAAGAGGTCCTTGTATTTCTGTGGCAGCTTCTGGCCTACCGTTGCGTACAAGCCGTAAGCCAGCAAAGCACCGATCACGGCCGTCGGCCCGCTAGACTTGAGTCCAGATAGAGCTGACTTGGCCAATGACTCCGGCGAGAAGGAAGACAGTGATGGCAAGGATGGCAATTTAGATGAGATGGACTCTGGCAAGAAGGACGAGACGGACGAAGGCAAGAGGGATGAGACTGATGAAGGTAAGAGGGATGAGACTGATGAAGGCAGGATAGATGACAGAAAACCGCTGGTAGGGGTAGGCACCGGCTGCGATTGAAGAGCGGATGTGGCGTTGGACGATAAGTCCTTGGCCTTACCGAAGAGCCAGCTAGCCATAGTGGCTGACTTGGTGGCTCAGGGGGTGAAGATTTGAAGAAGAAGGCAGTTGGCTAATGGGCAACAATGATCCGAGTGGGAAGAAGAGGAGTGTTGGAAGACGAGGTATGCCATGTAGGGAGCCATCTTAAATACTGGGCGATATGACAAATTCAGCGCAGCTCTCTGGCAGACTGAAAAGCGAGGCAGTTGCGACACGGTGCACACAGCATCGACCGGGCGTGCTGCTGTGTGCAGTGCATCGTGCTGTGGAGAGCTGGCAGCGCGTAGCCGGTGGCGATTGTGGGGTGAGTAGGTCGTGTTGCAGGTGAAGTACACAGCAGTATGCTGCAGCCACGCAAGCGGCTTGGAGCGTATGCAATAGAAAGTGGAGAAGACATTCTCGTAGTGCGTGCTTTGGTGTTGCAGGATCGGTATGTGCGAAGGAAGGAGGAGATGGAAGCGAGCTGCAAGAAGGCGAATCAGATCCGCCCACCCCCGCATTTGCCCGGCTGCTGCGAGCCGTCCCGCCCGCAGAGATAAGGACCTCTCACAAAGGGGGGCATGCAGTTGCGCGCGCGCGTATCTCCGGTGGGTCTTTTTCCTTTTTCTGTAACTAAGTGTCTTTGACCAGATGGCCATTGGTGAGTCTCTCAGCAGTCTCCGCGAAGAAAAGATCACGTGCAAGTTCCGATTTCCGGGTTGGGAGCGTGGGGTAGGAAAGGATCTAGGTACATACTGTAGGTACTCCCCACGTGTCTCCTTACCCATCTAGGACTCCAGGCTCTTCCACTCTACATTTCTCGCCTGCTCACCGCTACTACGGCCCCTCAATTCGCATGTGAAGCTGCAATTGAGCAAAATGTGACGCGTTCCGTCGCAGCCAGCCGTCTCGGGTGAGCGTCAAGACGCCTAGCAAATCACACCTCGCCGATTGTAAGGTGTAGAGTGCTAACAGAAGCAATTGCCTTTTTGCTGTGCTACGACAACCGTCACAACCAACCATGGTCATGGCCAACGCAGACATGCGGGGTCCTCAGTCATGTTGATCAATATTGCACAACAGCTTCATGGCGTTTGCGGGGTTCCAAAGATCCAGCTGAAATGCGTCTGCATGCGACTGTACGAATATGTATGTGGCATATTGGCTCGAGCGGGGCCGACCGACCCCGCCACAAACTTGAGCACGACATCAGACAGCCATTGCTCCGTATCAATCGACTGCTGGACCAGTTTGCAGTTTCAGGGGAGGTACTTAAGCTTGACGCCTTCCGTTCATCCAGGCCTTGCCAGCACTATCCCCAAATATCCCCTTCGTCTCTTCTTTGTCACCATGGTGCCAGAAAGCAACCAAGATCCTCCTGCCGGGAGTCCCGGCCAACCGGGGAGCCCGCGCCGCTTGGTCCTGTGTTTCGACGGGACTGGCAACAAATTCCACGGATCAGAAGTGGACACGAACATCGTCAAGCTGTACCAGATGTTAGAGCGTGACAAACCAGGCCAGTTCCACTACTACCAACGTAACTACCAACGTTCCTATTCGGTCAACGAGTTACAATTAACTGACAAGATGTTATGTAGCCGGAATTGGCACTTACGTCAAGGGCCAATCCAGAGACACTATTTTCCGTATCATACCCAAAATCAAGTCATTCATCATCACTACCCTCGACCAAGCCGTGGGAACCTCTTTTTCAAGCCACGTGCTGTCCGGATACCGATTCATCATGCGGTACTACCAGCCCGGCGACTACATCTACATCTTTGGCTTCTCGCGGGGTGCGTACACAGCACGTTTCCTGGCGGAAATGCTGCACGATATCGGGTTGCTGTCAAAGGGTAACGAAGAAATGGTCCGATTCGCATGGGAGACCTTCAGCAACTTCCAAAATGCAAAGGGCAACACACCAGACCCGGACAAGCCCGCCGATAAGGCAGCGGAACGGGCAACGAAAAAGATCAATGATCTCGAGCAATACATGGACAGTTTCAAAACAACCTTCTGCAGGCCCAATGTTGATGTACACTTCCTTGGTCTCTTCGACTGCGTCAACAGTGTCGGTCAGTTTGAGATACCCATCTGGCGCACTTCGTTCAAGAACATTGCCTGCCCTGCCGCGAGGCACATCCGTCACGCAGTCTCCATCCACGAGCGGCGTATCAAGTTCAAGCCGGCGTTGTTCGACCTCGGCGACGGCTCGGAAATGGAGGGAGTCGACTTGAAAGAAGTATGGTTTGCAGGCAACCACGGCGATGTTGGAGGCGGATGGGGTTTTCAGGAGCCAAACCAAAAGCATCTGCTCTCCGACACACCACTGAACTGGATGGTCCAGGAAGTCCTGCACCTTCCTAGCCCTGAGGGTAAGGTGTTCTTCCGCACGACTAATGTTAAGGATATTATCAAGTCCGAGAACGCTTTCCCGGGCAAGGTAGAGGAAGGTACCAACGCCTTTGAATTGCGCAAGAAGTGCAGCCAGCCTCATGACATGCTGAGCTTCGGACATGGTGTGGGATGGCTCACTGTAATCCTGTGGTGGATCATTGGTAAGATCAATCTCGCACCTCAATTCTTTCCCGCTCGCTAACGCTCGGAATGCAGAGATCCTTCCCATCTTTACCCGCCTCGAACTGGAGAAGGGCAAATGGGAGGTTCGCTATTGGCCTCCCAATTTGGGAGCCCCGCGCGATCGGCCCACCAATGCAGTGGTACATAGTAGCGTGCAGGAGATGACTAAAGCAAAAATTCTGGACGACAGCTCCATTCCAGACGCTGGGGGTGACAATTCACATCTTGCGAATGCAAGCAAAATACTCGGAGCACTCACACGTTGGCGCAAAAAAGCTGCACGAGAGGAAGACGGTCAAGCGAACGGGTCTTCGGAGAAGTCGTCGCTCTCGGAAAAGGTCACCAATGGCGTGAAGGACGCCGTGTCTACGCTCAAGCCATAGATGATTGGAAGCGGATTGGGACCGTTCTTTAGCTTTGAGGCGCTTGCTGGCAGAAAAACACGTCATGGTAGTCGCGTAGGACAGATCATGTTGTGCTTATTTCAGGGGCTTTGTGCAACTGCGAGATTTCTGCATGCCCCGCAAAGTTGTGTTACCGATCAACCCGCAACCAGGGTAGGCGTGCGTTTTCAGGTTGTAGTAACTGGATCTCTCGTTTTTTTAGGCCGTGCAGATTCGCTGTTCCATCCGCGATTCCGCATGCTGACAGCCGCTGCGCTTTTCCGTTATTGGTGAATGCATCTCTTACGTGTGCCACTGAGCATGCAGTGCTCGTGAGACCACTCACCTGGCAAATATCGCGCATTTCATCATTGGCTTTGACATTATTGGCGTCGTCAGCTTAGCACCAATCTTCTCGTTATTCTACATCGATAACCATGCCTTGGTAATATTTGTACTCTGGCGGCTACGGAATTCGTGGTTCCACGATCCTCTCATACTCCTGAGCAGGGGAATGCATCTTTCGCTCGATACACGGAGAGAGATGAAAAAGATGACCTCTCCTTGATCTAACGAAACAAGCATATAAGCTTCCAGCAGTAGAGACAGCCAAGAAGCTTATCAGGACCGGCCATCGGAATTGTTCCGGCTTGGAAAAAACAATTGTAGCAACGTAGGAGCAAAGCTCAAACACGTTCTGCCAGGAGGTTTCTATGGAGGAAAAGGATCCTCTGTTCTCTGCTTCGACTTCCTGCATTGTAATTTTGATTTAGCTTTCAGGTCTGGTAGTTTAGGTGACCACCTTACCTCTTGGATTATAATTTGAGTTGATAGATCAAATCCCCAAAGGCCAACGCGGCTAAGGATGGTGCCCCCAACAAGGGCAGAAGCAGAAAGGAGTGGAGATGCAATTGTCCAGAAAGCAGCCACGCCAGCCGCTAGGCAAAGAGCTTGCCAGTTAACAAACCATATCCCTGTGCGAATAGGGCCGATCCACGACATGACCTTTGGTGTGATCCAGGTCGATGATAGCTCAAACGCTACAGAAACCGCCCTTGCAACGCCAATATGCATTGAGTTGTAACCGGCCGAAATAAGGTAGGTGACCATCTGACCTCCAAAAGAGAGCACAGTGAGGTAGAGTAGAGTCCCTGCAAATGATGGAAGAAAAGCCCGATGACGAATATAGGCAATGTGTCCTCTCAATGTGACCCGCGCTGTATCCATGAAATGTTTAGTGTTATAAACGGTGCGTCTTTCGTCTGCTTCAAGCTCGTTGGCATTACGCGAAGGTCTCGGTTCTTGAAGTGCCGGTACACTCTTGTACACCTAAAGAATAAAGTTAGCCACAGCTACACGAAGGGACCGTTAGGACAAACCCGGGCAATAGCATAGTACTCGACGGCTATTGATGCCACGTTCATACCCATGTTTATCAGTATTGCCACTTCAGTCGATATGCCATCGATAAGTGAAATGAACAAAGGCCCCGCAAGCTTGCAGAACAGATCAATGCGTCGCATTTGGGCATTTAGCACTATTCTTAGGATTAGTACACCGGAATTGAAACGACTGTCGAGGTAAAATACTTCTAAGACTGCTGTCATTCTGGTTCGCGATGACAACCACCTTGGTGTTCGATTAGCACATGCTGCATTGTTAATTGGGTGTTCAATTACCCAATCTCTCTCGACGGACACCATGTTCAAAATGGCACATAATTTTTCGATGCAGGCCAGCACTACCAGTACGGCCAGGATGAACGGCATGGAAGTCCGCACCCATTGCCAGTCGCCAGCGAGGAACCAGAATATAACACAAGACCCTGCGACAACCAGACGTTGTAAAACTGAAGGTAAATAGTCAGACAGTCTGGTGTCGCCATGAAATTTCGCTGTCTCAAACCTATTGAGAGCCTCACGACCTGAATACGGTCACTTGTATCGATGTAGCGACCGATGGTTGGTGAAAACAATATTGCGGAGATACCACGAGCCAAGGCGTAGATGGACATGGGCAACAAAGTCCCTTCAAAGATGGATGCGAGGTATAAGACGGCGCCGAATTCGAAGACTCGGGAATTCCATGTTGAAAGAAAATGAGAGATGTAAAGCTTTTTTCGAATCCCTAAAGGAATCACTTCTACTACCGTATCTGGCTCCTCTAGATGTTCGTCAGTTGCTCCAGCTGACGAAACGTTCGACGGAACCGTAGGGTTGGAGAGCAATGGAGACTGAGAGCGCAGCGCCTTGTTTGACGGCATAATTTGGATTCGCAGACTACAATTAGTGATGGAAAGCCCTGCGGGCGATGGTTAAGTCGTTGAATCGTGAATATTGAGACGGTAGGTAGTCAGGCGGAAAGCTCTTGAGTGAGCGCATCCTCACTAAGAAAGCACGATCTTACTAAGCTCAACACGTGATGGTCATTCAAAATCTCTCCTATCAACCCAGACAGGGAATATTTTTATTTCACAAGAAAATGGGTCTTCGTCAAGCATTAGAAAACACTTAAAAAAGCGATTATGATATTTGTGTGACAGCCATTCCTCCAACTCCAATGAGGCACGTGCTAACCGACTCCACTAAGACAGACATCGAACCACCAGGCCATCCTGACAACTGCATCAACCTGAGACAACTGTACTTCTTATTCTTGCCCATCACTTTGGCTGTGGCTTCATTTCCGTTCAACCCTTGCTCTTCGTAAATTCTTTAACCTGTCCTTCGTATCGATTCAACAGTACTCGCATGCTGTGTTTTTTCCCGTTGGATGAACGCGACCCGCTCAATTGGCCATTGTAGCCAAACTCGATGACTTTCGCCTACAAATTTGCCTACGCCCGCAATGACATGCTCTGCCCAGCCCTCCAGAAACCAGATGAATTCCAAGTTCTTGAGAAGGACCGCAAAGTGTGCTGCGATAATGAGAGATGTAGGCTTCCTCTCCTGTAATCGGGTGGTAAAATCCTCATCCAACTGGTATGGCCACACGAATGCGTTTTGATGGTCCCCGTTGCCATGGTAGCTGCCATCCAGTCCGCCATACGTTGCCATGTAACATAGACGAAGCTTGTCAAAAGCGTCGAGGTCTGTTGCAGGGTCTGAGCCGTCGAGTGGTGCAGCGATGAATTCCCGTAGGCGTTCGAAATGGTTGATCCAGTCCAGACGAGGACATTGAAACATTTCAGCGGCAGGTTCTGCAGCTATTGGTGGAGCTGGAGGTTCTACCACGCCCGTATACAACGGACCAGCGGCGATCGTTCCTATACCCACTGAGTCGATGATGCTTCGAAGCCCTCTCAGCAGGGGTAGCCATTGCGGCGGGCCTTGCTCGCTAAATAGAAGATATTCGCCCGGCATAGGACCCCGAGCAAAGGCGTTCATGCATGCGAACACAGCCCCGGTGTAGATCGCATGACAATCTTTAACATCAAAGTGGGCCAGAAGCTGAGTGACTCCTTTGAGTCCAATCTCGGAATGGTTTTCGGCTAATGAGTAGTAGTATGATCGTCGTTCGGGCTCCAGACGCGCAAGGTCCAGGGCTGAAAACTCGTAAATAAAGTGAAGAATGAAAGGATAAGTAAACCCTAGCATAGGAGCCCGCATGCGAAGGGGATCATGGACAGGTGGGTTGCTGGCAGCATGGTTGTATTCTCGCGTGGTAAAATGGTGTAGGAGCCTGAGTTCTTCCAGATTCTCCATTGAACGGGAAGTGCGCTGATATGGAGGCGGCAATGTTCCTAGCGAGGAGCTCTCTGTCGAAGCCGGTGATAGCTGGCTAGCAGAAGTAGAGCTTTGATCCTCATCACTCCAGTTCGTTCTCGGTCTACCGCGCTTTCTTTTTACTGGCGGTCCGTAACTGTTCGAGAACATGGACCGTTCGAAAGGTTTGTCCCGCAAACCCTCAGCCTTGTCGCCGTAGTTACATTTGACCCCGAAAGCACTGCAGTTTTTGCATTCAGGCTTCCCCTCGTCACACTAGAAGGATTAGACGACATCATGTTGTTGGAGTGATGACCCACCTTGATTCTCCGTTTCTTGCAATTTGCACAGCCAGCGCGCGACTTCTGATGCGAGCGTCTTAGACGTCTAGGCCCAACCTTTGTCTGTTCTGACGATGATCCATCCATCTTGTTGAATAAGGATACGCGAACTGCTGCATTGGGGATTTGATGCGTACCGCAACGCCACTTATACGTAGTAAGTCCCATCACGCTATAGAGTAGGGCCGATCCTCTCCGACTGCGCTATGCCCGATCGGGTATTTTGCGTATACGTTAAACTTGACACGCGCACGTACCTTCAGGAGGTGGGGCTCACTGCCGTTACCATGGGACGTTGCTACTGACACCATCTTCCACGTGCGATACTCCCGGTAGCAAATTAAACTCTGCCAGGGCGATTTGTTTGCGATTGGTGGGTACTGCGGACTATACTGTATTTTCCATATCTTTTTCCACCTTGGCTGCGTCCGGATCTACGAGGCGTCGCGTGCACTGCCACCGCACGAGAGAAGGTGATGTTTCGTGGAGGTTCTTTTCTTTGTCTAGTTCACTTTTGGATTAAACACGTCTCACGGAGAACATCACTGGACCCTTGGTGCCGACTGCCGGAATTTTCTACTGTAATTTCTGGGACTGCTAACTACTCTAGTCCTGCGAAGTGCTGGTATAAAGCTCCCGGCAACGCGCCTTTGAATCAGAGTCATTTGTTACTGCAATTCCCTCAAACTTATACCCCGTCGCCCTTCTCTCGCTGCATTCGCGCACCGCACTCCTTCAGGGTATGTCAGTATTGAGAATACCACCTACCACGAGTCTTGCCCTAACAAGTTGAAATTAGTAAATTTCGAGACAAATATCAAAATGGTAATTAATCATCATAGTCAACATCACTAGCGTCTGCCTCATATCATCTATCACTAAAGCCGATGCCGTAGGTTAGACAGTAAGCTAACCAAAACACAGGGCAACTTCTGTGCATACACCCTTGGGTTCTTTTTGCCGCCGCTGGTAGTGGCCCAAAGACGTGGCTGCGGTGCTGATTTTCTGATTAACTTGGCCATGTGTTGTTTAGGATGGTTGCCTGGTGTTATCCGTAAGTCTTTGTTTTCTGTGTTTCGAAAATTAACCATTGACTTTGCTAACCTCTTCACTAGACGCCTGGTATATCATTTCACATCATGAAAAGAAGGTGTACGAGAGTAACTGTTAGATTATCAGAAGCAGAATGGGGAATAATTATTGATATAAAATACCCTTCAACTTGAAAATGTGTACTTCTAATCTAGTGTCAGGCGTTCGGAGACTTGTTATTGCTGATAGTGGTATCTCTATTAACCTTGGATTACCCTAATTTTATTCCAAAGTTCAGTAACAAGGCCTAATCTACCTCAAACTTATATCGCAGTGAAATATTCGCTTCCTCGGTTGTTCCTCGTTACTGCTAGTTGTACAGCAATACTTCTGTGTGTCCTGATCGATGCCACGTTGCGAGATGTGCTCCACAGCTGCGACATATGTGTATAATGTCCTTGGTCGCCGCTATGCAGTATGGTACGCAGCAAAGAATGCATGTAAAGGCCCAGGTGCCAACCGCCCATGCACTAAAGGAAGTTATAAGTCAGCACTTGTAGCATCACATATTATATAAACCAGGCTACTGGCATACACCCAAACTGCTGGACTTACTGAGTCGTGTTTCCGATCTTCTGTTTAGTTACTGTCATGCCGTGGAAGTTACAACCGGGGCATTCGACTGGTGCAGGGGAGCAAGTCAAGCCAGAGAGTGGGACAACGGTTTGAAGTGGCTGGCTTTTCTCTGGCCTGTCTTGAAGTTCAAACGAAGTGGACGTCGTCGAATGGGGGTACGCAGGTGGCTGCTCGTTAAGAGACTTGCTCATCGTCGCGGCGCTATGGAAAGGTTGATAGAATCTTTGGTAGTTGGTGAAAGGCAAACATAGAACTTGGCAAGGAAAACGACGCTTGCAGATTCAGTTGGATGTAAGGGCAGGACAACGCATTTAAATGTCAGTCTTAAATATAGAGGGTACCTTACTACGTAGTATCAGCCATTTGTATTGCCTCCGTATGCGCCGGTGGGGTCGGATAGCAACGAATCAGAAGCGTTTTCGCCGGGGAAGACTTGCATAGGTACGAATTCATGTGGCTATTATGAAACAGTAGTATCAGGCTGAAAGCTCCGTAGTGGATATATGCAACCCCCCTTAACATCTGCTCTCCCAATGCACGACATTGCTTGAATAGCGTGACGGTCGGAGCCAGGTGACTGTATGAGTGTTCTAATATGGATTGAGGCCGTGCATTGCACAGTGGCGATGCCAGCATGCTGATTATGGGTTATGGGGTTAATCGAAACGTTGGCATGCTGGACACATAGCCTGAGCACCTCCAACGGGCATTTGACATCAGCCTACGTAATTCTAAGCCGCAGGTCCACAGCCACTGTCACATAATTATTGGCTTGTGGAAATGGTGAAAAATGACGATTCAATCAATTCAGTAAAAGCCAAAAAAAGTATTTTATTATTGTTTACCTTCGACCTAGCTACTCCTCATTCCTCAGTTCATCCAGGCAAATACACATGGCTGTAACGATGGATAAATCCACATTTGGAGCCACAGTCACGGCGTATGACTGCTGTCCCCCTATGAGCTCCCTTGCATTAAAGTATTTTCGATCAATAACCGCAGCCGTATGGCCATCTTTTGTTGATATCTCGGCCCTCGAATCAAAAAAGTTTCCTTCCATAACCAGCTCTTCCTCTGCGCCAGTAGACGAAGTGAAGGAACAAATGGCTTTGGAGCCGATGACTATTTCAATTTAGCACCTTATTAGACAGCTAATGCCCAGACGGAAGCTTACATTGAATCTTTTTACGAAGCTCAAAAATTTTGTTGCCGGCGGGATCTTGGCCGTAGAAAGTCTTGTGAAGAGTGAAGTGTTCTTTTCGAATGTCAAAGAGAGTATTGCCGTTGGTATCGCAGAGATGTTTGCGACCGGACAGTGTGAGCGATTCTCCGTCGATTTTGAAAGCAGTGAGTTTGCTTCCATCAAATTTCACGCTGAAAGAATCCCCAGACAACGAAAAAACATGCTCTTTCAAAACGAGCGTTTCCGAATTTTGTGCGATGAGGCTTGGGAATATCCCAATAAGCCTGGGTACAGGTGCGAGATGCATGATTGCTGAAGAGGAATAATGAGTGAACGAATGTAAGCCGCTATTTGAAAAGATAATGGTACAATGGTGCAAAGCTTGAAGTGCATACGTAACCCCTTTTTATGGTGAAGACTCAAAATTTCTGTTCCTTCAGCCCATTCCTTCCCGAGGCCTTCTATCCGAACACCGATGAATGGCCGACCCGTATGGTGGCGGTGCTGCGGTTCGGCAAACGTATACGCAAAATTACTGTTTTGGGACAAGCGTCCTCCGGCTCCGCGCTTAGACCATTCACTAAAAATTCAGGGGGTCTTTGCGTTTACGTGGCGCCGCAGCCCCACCCTGCGTTTTGCATGGATACCCTTTGCCCCCCTACTCGCCTTTCCTAATACAGTAATTTAGCGTACACGTATAAGCAGGGTTGAACTTCGACTGAGCAGGCCACTCTATGGAGTCCACTCCACAAGCCCAATCATGATTACACCCACCACTTAGACGAGTACGGTACGAAAGGCGGAAGTTCCATGGGTTAAGTCTTTGGTTGAAGACTTTGTCTCGAAACATATATGTAGGACGCCTTTCGCCCTGCTGCTTGACCTCCACTCCAGGATCACAGCACCTTCATTTTTCTTTCAACCATTGCTTGGCCAGGGCCTCACCATGAACAGTACATCGCCACTCTCGCAACTCTGCTCGCCAGTGAAGATTCCGAACCCGACTCTCTTTGGCGCAGAAATCCTCAACTTGTCGGCCAACTTGGTCACAAACTACAGTTCGTACGCCCCGGAACAGTACAATTACAACCATCCATCCATCTACGCCGACGGCCTCGACTTTTGCAACATCACCGTCACTTACACTCATCCCGGAGAAAATGACACAATCAATGTCGAAACATGGCTCCCGTTAAAGTGGAATGAGCGGCTGCAGGCCGTGGGTGGCGGCGGCACGGTAGCTGGTCGCTTCATGCTCTCTTATATTGTGATGAACGGGGCTATCGCCGAAGGCTATGCCACTGTCACTACTGATGCAGGCCTTCCGACTGATCTTACTTCCCTGCACTCACCACTTTTGAGCCCCGGAAACACGCAGCTGTATGAACAGTTGAACTTTGGCTCTGTCTCATTGAACGACGAGGTATTTATTCCTTCGCTACTTTTACAGTTATGAGGAGTATTGGCCGTATCCTAAAGCAAAATAGGCAATAATCGCGAAAAGCCTCATCAAGAGTTTTTACGGACGGCCTCAAAGATATTCGTATTGGAGCGGCTGCTCTCAAGGCGGTCGTCAAGGTTTCACACTCGCTCAACGCTATCCCACGGCATATGACGGCATCGTCGCCTCTGCTCCCGCGATGAACACGCCACGATTCGCTCCTTCTTTGTATTATCCGCAACTCGTCATGAATCAACTCGGCCGGTATCCCCGCAACTGTGAGCTCAACGCCATCACCGAAGCAGCTATTTCGGCTTGCGACAAGGACGACGGCGTTACCGATGGCGTCATCTCCGACCCTGCTTCCTGCGATTTCGACCCGTTGAGCGTTGTTGGAAAAGTCTTCAACTGTTCTGACACTGGATCAAACATGAAGATCAGCCATGACGCCGCTGTGGTTGCCAATGCTACCTGGTCCGGACCGTTCTCGCATTTGGAAAGACGTATCTGGTACGGATTGGAGAAGGGTACCATTATTGCAGGCTCAAATGGTGAAACTACCGGAATTGCCTCCACTACTTGCAGTAGCAACGGAACATGCACCGGAACCCTAAACCAAGGCAGCTCTTACCTGCAGGGATATGTCGCTAAAGATCCAATATTCGACGTCACAAACGTCACTTTGAAAGAGTACACCGACATGATCCACTTTGGCATTCAGCAGTTCGACGCATTTACCGGTTCGAACGACCCGGATTTGACGGCCTTTCGTGAGGTGGGCGGCAAAATTCTTTCCTACCACGGTCTTGTTAGTAGCCCAACACTGAGCTTTTCACCAACAGCACAGTAAACTGACCTCTTTGAATTCAGTCCGATCCGATCATTCCTCCAGGTGGCTCAAGGCACTACTACGATACTGTTTCCGAGGTCATCCCAGAGGTGCACGATTTCTACCGCCTTTTCGAAGTTCCGGGCCTCAGTCACTGCTCAGGTGGCATGGGAGGCCAACCCACTACCATTTTTGACCAAATGGTTGCGTGGGTCGAGAATGGCACGGTACCTGACACGATCCCTGTCAACTTCAAGGACGGCCAGGGCAAGACTCAGAACCGGATCCTGTGCCCGTACCCGCAAAAGGCGCAGTTCAACTCTACTTGTGGCGACAGCTCCAAGGCAGAGTGCTTTCATTGCTCAGAAAGCGCTTAATTCTTGACAAGAGCCACCTTTCTCTCGCCTTTCATCATACTAAGTTTGTTTTATGGCTTAGTTATCCCTAACTGTCGGCATATCGTATTTTAAAAAGCTGTCCGCTCTGTTTTTTGTTAACTTTCTAGATATACTTCGCAAAGTAGTACTAGAATAAATATCAAAGAAGAACCTATTGCCCTTCTCTTTACTTTTCTCCTTCACTGACTAACTGCAACTTAACATGATACTTCTATTGAATAGAAAGCAAGCTGGTAGGAATGCTCTGTTTAAGCCGGTAATAGCTGACTAGTAGATGTTTTTCGCTACTATAAACGTCTTACTTTTGGCGCTTACGGCAGTAGAAGCAAGTGAAAAAGTTCAGACAAATATCCCGGTATGATAGCTAAGCTAGAGTGTATATTTCTATCTATTTAGAAAAAAAGAGCAAAGCTATTGAATGAAGACAGAAATAAAGAGAAAAAGAGTGAATGTAGTGAAGATAGTACAGTATGTGCTTTATCCTACTCTAGAAGTAGTTGGTCGGCTTCCATAGAATGACAGAGGTAAATCCGCTCAGCAGTACAGTTCAGGGTTCTTTAATGACCCAGCTCCCAGGCAATCATAGGGCGCTGATCAACTGTGGAAACGCTGATATCATGAAGCTTCAGGCCATTGAACTCGGAAGCAATAGCGTGGTCCGCCAGCATCCAAACCTTGGAAACGCCGCTGCTCGAGTAGGCCATAGCATTGTAAGGAGCGCCGTCAGTGTGTTTGAGGTCAAATTCCGGTGTGGTAGCCTTCTTAGCCTCTTTTGCTTTTTCGACAATCTTCTTAGCAGTCTCGTTATCGACATCGACGCCGATAATGTGCTTCAGGTCTGATATCTTGACAGGAGTCTCCTTGCCCTCTTCGGACTTGTTGTACTCCTCGACGGTCGTCTTCCAGCATTGGAAGAGAATTTCAGACATCGGAAGCCGCTTGCCAACAGGGAGATCTTTGCTGTAAAGACTTTCTGGCTTACCCGGCGCTTCCTTGCTGAAGAGGCGGGATGGCATCATCGTCTTGTACTTGGCGGAGATAAAGACTTCGACGACGCATACTGTATTGTGGCATTCTTCCTCTTCTTTATAGCCATAGAGTGTGTACTTGTCAAAGACGTTGAAACCCCCCTGAATGGCCGGATTCTTAGGTATGGGAATATTGGCGACCTTGCTAATCCACTTCTGAGCATCTAGGTCTACTTGCGGGTTGGTTTTTTTCTGTTTTTTAACGTTGTAGTGCTTGATGACATTTGTGTAGTCGTGGTCATTGGAATGACCATTGGCATAAGCAGCTTCTCCCTTTGACAAGAGCTCTTTGCCCTTCTTTTCGTAGTCGACACCGTCGAAAACCCAGTCTGAGGTCACGGACGCTTTATCGGCTCTTTCGTTGAGACTGACGGATCTTGTATCCGGGTTGAAGGGTGCGGCTTGGGAAGAGACGGACAGGAGGCCGTAGACGAGACCTGCGAGGATTGGTTGGAAACGCATAGTGGATGGATGAATCCTGGTTGACGAAAATGAATGTGATAGTAGGCTAATGAATGTTGAGGTGAATGATGGGCTTGAGAGTGTTGCTGTAGTACAACCACATCGAACCTTTCCTTGCTCTTAAATAATTGTCCCTCGCCCCTAGAGCCAACACCTCGACATGTTGCTAATATTAGCACAGTCGGATCATTACTACCGGTTGTCTTTTGAGACTAAACAATGGCCGAAACGAAAGGTTGGTTGGTAGAGAAACAACTCCGAGAATGTACTATTAGGGTTGAGCTGGGGCCTAGCAACGACCTTGCTAGAGGATGCGATTATGCCTGACCATGTAAATGTGTTGCAAAAGAGCAACTACGCCTCATTATCAGATCACTCGAATTAGCTATGGAGCAAAAAATCCTTATGCGGGATTACAACGGGTCTAAAGCTTTACATTGCCCCTCTATGTGTATGTTGTATTGCGTTGTGTTGGTGGGGGCCAGTAATAGATCTTGATGGGGACTGAGGCGGAGCCCGGTTAGTAAAGAGGTATGGCAGCGGCTATTCTCCACCCCCCCTCTTGGAGCCCTATCGCTTGCCTAATCTGGTGATAATAGTTGAAAGTTACTTTTGCGACTTTGCGACGCGTCTATGTATAATACCTCTATAATACCTCTCTGTAGCCATCTATGCCCGCTACTATAGCGTATGTATAGAGCGCTCACGCGCGAGAAAAAGCGACTTTGTAATATATAATTATTTAATTAACTACGGCTCTCCGCATAGTGTGCTATGCACTAAGTTAAAAGATATGGCAATTTTTAGTTAATTTTTAGTATAAAATAAGAGATGCCGGGCTGACTGCCAAGAGAAACAGACCACGCTACCAGGTAGCGCTAATAATTTGTGGGGGCTGAAAGCCTTATCCAGGGTCGCAACAGATCCACAGTTTTACTTCGCCCCTATAAGTTATATTGTGCGGTGTGGTGGTGTGGGCGAGGATTAGGGCTGAACCGAGCACATCGATTTCAACCCCTACGAAAATATTTAAGACCCTAACACTTCTTCTACGCCCTTCTTGACAACTTTTATCATGGCCGTATCGATACTTCCTTTGGAACTATGGCGCACAATCCTAGAGCACATTGTTTGCGACATTGGCTTAAAGCAAGCAATTCAGCTGCGCCTCATCAACCGTAAGAACACAACGCCGCACGCCGTACAACCACTAACGCCTCTCAGAATTCTTCAACAAAGAGATCCTTCGCGCTATTGCAGTGACGCAAACCTTTGAAGCTTCTGTAAATGACGTCCTTGAGAGTTACCCAACAAGTCAAGACGTTCTGTTTACCGCTTGCTATGTGGCCCAGCGCCCTCATACCATTCAAAAGCGGAATCCGAATCGTCTCTCGGTTTTCATCAATGGGGTTTTAGATGAACTTGCGGCTGTGGATGGCGGCTATCCGGCGCTATCAGAAGACGGCGATTTTCGTCTACAGTGCATCCGAACGCTGTATGAAGAATGCCGAAGGGTCAGAGACTTTTATTCGGAACAAAAACAAGAGGCCGCCGAATCTTCGCCTACAAGAGATGACGTCCTGCTCGCTGCTATCCGCCTAGATTGCCTGTCCTTTGTCGAGCAAGCAACCCGAGGAGTCGAGATCAACAATATCAACAGCGATACCTTCGGCATGCCACTACACGCAGCCGTCAAATCAAAAAGCCAAGCCATGGTCCGTCTCCTAATGTCGCGCAACGCAGACGTCAATCGGCTCGACGGTTTTGATCTAGCTCTCAGAGGCGCAGCTATTTTAAACGACAAAGAAATCTCACATATTCTACTAGAATCGCCAACTGGGCACTGCCGCTCCGGCGTAGCCTTCAATCGCTGCATAGTTGAAGCCTTCAAGCGCCAGCATCTCGAGCTCGGATGGTTATTAATAGATCACGCCCAAGGCCAAGACATCGAAATCGCACTCACCCAATCTCTGCGACGAAGCAGCCGCAACGGCTGGACCGAAACTGCACGCTCGCTGCTCGACAGAGGCGCAAACATCAACGGTACCGGCGGCGTCTTCTCGCCCCCGCCACTCGAACTCGCGGCTTTCGGCGGCCATGAGGACACCGTGCAGCTCTTGCTCGAAAGAGGAGCGAGTCCGGAAGCCGGATCCGGTCGCCTTGGGGCGATAGTCGGGGTGGCGTATAGCGGACACGCAGGGGCCGGTCGAAAGCTGCTTGATGCGGGCGTGCAGCTGCCACCGAGCGCCTGGACGTTGCTGCTAGAGAAAGCGGCACGGCACGAGTCTGGTGACTTTATCCGCCTACTTGTGGAGAGGGGTGTTGTGGATCTTCACGCGCTGGATGATGGTGATTTAGCTAACCTTGTGGTTTATGCTTGTGCATACGGGAATATCGACTTGGTGAAGTTCTATGTCAAGCATGGGCTCCCTGTTGCAGGTCCGCTGTTTGAGGAGCATTGCGATGCGCAACCAATTGCTTTCGCAGTTGCATATGGGCAAAGAGATATGGAGAAGGCTCTGCTAGAGCTCGGTGCTACGCCTGTAGATCTTTCGCAGAGTTCTTTTGGGGAGGGCTTTGCTGATGGGTCGTACCCTTGTGCGCCACCGAAGATGGAAAAGCCACGAGAGTATGATATTCTATACTGAGTAGTATAGTACAAATTATAGTCGGTCTGACCTCGACTAGTAACCAGCTGCTCTGTTAGCTGGTCCAGACACGTAGGGCTGCGAAAAGCGAATCCTGCAGGGTGAAAAAGACCGATTTGTAGAGACAGAAAGCGAATGATTGTAAAAACAGTGAATGAAAGTCGGTTGTCGATCCTTGTCTGCCTACTGATAGCTCGAAGTTGTGCTATGAACGACCTACTAGCTAAGAAGACGTGAAAAACCAAAGAGCAGTCAGCTCTGCCACACTAGTACGGGGCGGGTTGAATCAAATTAGGCATAACCCCGCCCCGGCCAGTCCGGGCCAATTAGAGACTAAACAGACGCCTTCGTAATAGAGAGCCATGGGTTGTTGCGTAGTATTGTGAAAAAGCATGTGCTATTGCTAAACCCGTATTAATATTGCGTATGATGTTGCATAGCAGACGCGGGGCCAAAGCTACTTAGCTAGTAGGTGCTTACGAAGGAGTTCGTTATTGGTATGGAAGCGTGCGACAACGCTAAACCCCCACCAAATTCTGAACTTCGGATAATTTAAAGCAAAAGAATAGCAGTGGCTTCTATAAACTGCTCTCTATTCCATTATAAAATCCCAGTGGGATTTTGTATGCAGGTCGCTGTCTGCGCTTAGTTGAAGTTGACTTGAGTTAGTGGACCGCTTCCTCACCAAAAACGAACTCCTTCGTAGCCTAATTAGGTTCTTGTCGGCTCTCCACTGCGCGGGCATGTAGAGGTCACGTAACATGCGCGTGTAGGTTAAATATCGTCCCATTCGCTCAAACCCATGCTAAGGCCTCGTAATTCAGTCGTATTCAGCCCGACGGGAGCCCATTCGACCCCATAATAGCCCAGGCGGAAACGTTCCTAATTAGGAAACCGACCATTTAGTCCAACGTAATAAGGGGGTTAGACTGGGCCATTCCGGACTCTGACTATAGCCATAAAAAGAACCGTAGCCACTCAACGGTTGTTCTCCTCCCAAGGCGGACCCGTGCAGTTAAACCCCTTAGGATCGACGACGCTCTCGCAAAGGTAGTTCGCAGGGCTAGTGCCATTGACCGTGTCCACAATACTGACGTCTTCGATCTCGAGACCCGTACACGGGCTCGCGGCACTGCACTGAATGCTAGCGACGACGTCGCTGACGGCCGTGCCCGCCCAGTTGCGCAGCCTAAAGTCGCGGATATTGAACTCGCTGGTGTCGCAGTTGCCGCTGGCGTCGTTGTAGCTCGTGCATTGCGTGACCGCGAAAATGCCTGTTGCGTTGTGAAGCGTGAAGTCTGCGAGCGTGATGTTGGCTGCGTAGCCTAGGCCGCCGCCCCCGCCGTTCGGTGGGTAGCCTGTCGAGATGCCGGTCCAGGTTTTCACGTACGCGCCGTATCGCATGTTGTGGACTGAGATGTTGCGCGCGGTCACGTTCTCGATGGTTTCGAAGGCGTTCCCTGAGACACTACGTTAGCTTGCTGGGGTTCTGGCAAGGAATTTCGGTAGTACGTACCGTATTGACCGATGCTTCCGAAGGCGACACCGAGACCGGTGTGGAACTCGCAGTTCTCGATCAGGATGTTCGTGCTGTTTGCCTTCATGGCAATGGAGTCATCGCCGCAGTCGACAATCCAGTTGCGGAACGTGATGTTGTTAGAATACACCGTGTCTGCGCCATCCGTCTTTTCACTGAATCAACAACAAGATCCTTTCGGCGATTGAGAAGGTTGGAAAACTTACGTTTAGCGAAGAGAAGTCGAATCCAACAGCCTGATTGACATCGGTGCTGTTGACGTAAATGTTCTCGAGAAGAATGTTCTCAGAGTGGATAATTGTCATGGTCCTGGGAGAAGTTAATCTTTGCCCTCCACTGACTCCGTCTCCACACAACCCTTGACTTACCACATTTGGCTTTGCACGAAGCGGATTCCCTCGAATACGCTGTCCCGCGTTCCAGCAATAGTAATCGCATGCGGCCGGCCCGGGTAGTTGTTCGTCCCGTTGACAAAGTCATACCAAGTCTGGCCGTTTCCATCCAGAGTGCCGTAGCCATGGCCATCCCACCTCAAGTTTTCTCCACCAAACAGCCACACGCTGGTCTGGTTCTGGTATCCCACGGGCAGCGAGTGGTTTAGCCAGTACGGAATGTTTGTGTCCCAGAGGAGAGTGCCTTGCAGGTCAACATCCACGTTCTTGAGACCGGTCGTGTTCATGACGCTCTTGATGTTGTAGGTGCCATTGGAAAACAGAACTTTGCTGTGCTCTGGGCCCTCGTTGTATCCGCAGCGACGGAACGCCTCGACAATTGCGGGTGCCGAATCAGTTCCATTGGGTCCCGGTGTGACGACGCAGAGGTTCTTCCCGTGGTTCTCCGTCGGCTGGGAGATTGCCAATGCCGACAGGCTCAACCCTGCGAGAAATGTCGTGATCATGATTGTGAGAAAGCCCAAAGACGCACCATGACGAAACCTTGCGGGCTGGTCATTTTCTTATATCAAACACCTTGAGCTCGGGCAAGATGGCTTCGGGCCGACGTTCGCGGGAAAATGACTTCACTGTGCGCTGATCGAAGTCGGTGAGATGCCATGATTGAAGAGCAGGCGCAGAGATTCCGCTCTGGAGAAGGCTTAAGAACCATGTCGAGTGCTGGCAAAGAGCAAAAAATGACTTTAACCGGGATCGACATGGTTTTGTACCTGACTTGTCCATCGGGCCTTTGTCGGAACGTGGGGTTCCAGCGCGGGGCTCCGGATCTCGGCCGGTAGATGCCGCGAGGTCGGCTTTTGATTCTTGCTGTCTTCAATTGCCGAGGGCTGTTGCCGATGAGATTTTGCTGGCTGCATGAGGACTAAAGAGTCCATATGTATCTGTAGTTTGAGATGATCCAAGTTTTCAGACGCTTGGCACGCCGGAGCCTAATTCGTCTGAAAGTAAGTGGTAGAGGTAGTGCAAAAGCCAGAGAGTTGCTGGGACGCAACAAGAGGAAGAATGCTGACATCGATTGACTGGCTGAAGTAGCGGCAGTGAGCACATTGACCTTGATGAAAAGAAATAAATACTTGCATTTTCCATACCATGCTCCAATGCCTTGGAGTGACTTCCCAGGGACTCCAGCCGCAAACTCCTTCCCCAAAACGCCTACCGCAACCTTACCCTCATCTCCACCACCGTCCTAGTACAATCTCACCCTTACTCATCCTCACTATCCTCTTCACTTCCTAAATCCACAACCTGGCTTACCGTAGACATATCCGCTGCGCCATCCATCCCACCAGCAAACGGCGTAGCCGTAACCCTCTCGGCTTTGATCCTTTGCGTATAGGCCTGGCTCTCGGCGATGCGCTGGCGGCGCTCAATTGCGTCGATGTCCTCGGCGCCTGAGTCCGAGTCGATTGACTGGGCGCGATTGTTGCGTCGTGAGGTGCCGCCCTCGTCATCGTCGTCGTCTTCGTATGCCGCTTCCGCTTTGCGCTTTTGTATGCGTCGGATTTTGAGAACTAGGACGCCATCGGAGTTGAGGTCACGTTCGGTGAGAATCTGCATGGGGAAAGGTACGTTAGTGCTTGCTATTGAGCAAATATATAGGGAAAGGGAAGACTTGTTGGGGAGAGGTTGGGATAACGCTGGCTTACCTCGCTGCATCCCGAAACCGGACACGGAGCGGCGCGTGGCCCTCTGCCCCTCGGCCCACTCCGCTGGATCATGTCCAAAATCGCCGCCTTCTCAAATGTGTGCGGGCACTTCGTGCTCATGACGGGTTCGCGGAACTCCTGCAGCGTCAGCGGGCACTTCGTGCTAATCCGCTCCATCGCAATCGCGATATCGTCATCCGAGTCATCGCCTGCCGCATCGAGCGCCGTTCCAGGTGCCGGCGGCCCCGCGCTGGGAAACCACGTGTGCTCCGGCGGCATCGGGGGTGCAGTCTCCTCAGGGTATGATGCCTCGTGCACATGTCGCTTGAAGCTCTTGTAATCGTTGTGATGCGCGTAGCGCGTAGCGAGAGAGAGGGCCTGATAATGAGCGCGCTCGGATTGGACACGCTGCTTGAAGAGGGAGCTGGGAATGACGACTTGCGCGGTACCCGGTAGCGTGGGGTCGAATTCGGAAGCGTCGTCGTCGTCGCGATGCCGCTGTGTTTGCGTCACGCGTTGCGACGCCGTGGCGTTGTTGGCTGCCTGTTGCTTCACGTGGCGCAGCGTCTCTTCCAAAGTCTTCACGGTCTCTTGTCCATCGATCGTCTTCCGGATTTGCTCCTCAATCCGCTTTGTCATGGTGTCGACGTCCCGCTGGAAGACTTGCAAGTGCTCTTCGCGGCTCTGGTCATGCTCGTCTGGCTCGGGATGCCTTTCCTTGCGCTTCCTCGTGGCCCCCTTTAGATAGCATAGGCGATCGTTAGTCTCGAAGGCGGAGTCGGTGAGCTGCTGGGCGGCGTCGCGGAGGTGCTGCTGGAGTCTCGGTTGGTACTGCTGGGCGAGCAGGTTGTAGAGGGCGCGCTGGCCAGAGACATTGAGCGGGTGGTTCGGAGGCTCATAGTCGGGAAGCTCGATGACGGAGCCGCTGGGACCAGCAGTGGAAGATCGTGCGCGGGAAGACATTTTATCTGGGGTTGAGGCGGTGGAAGATGCGCGAGATGGATGATGTGGGGAGACGCGACGCGACGGTGCTAGCCCAAATTGAGGGTTTTGTGTCCGGGTCGCGGACCGGCGGCGCGAGAGGGAAAAATAAATTGCGTCAACTCGGTCTCGTCTACTCTCTTCAGCTGCCTCAAACATGCCGATCGTCGCTCGTATAAACTGAAACTCCCCGCTTGCCATGGAGAAACATGGCGCCACCAATCCCTCGTCGCAATGGCACGTAACATCTGCGACGCCTTGAAACGCTTTCTTCCTAAACCATGGCATCACGGCGACTATCTTAAGCCCTCTATAACATGCCTTGACGGGTGAGCTGCTCCTATATAAAACACTGAGATTCTTGCAAAAGTACGTTTGCTCAACAGCCATGAAGTCCTTCGTTTTCACCGTCGCCCTCGCGGCAGCTGCCTCTGCCACGCCGGTGCAGCCTGCCAAACGCGCCACCGAGACCGTCGTCCCCACCTCTTGCTTCGACTCGTACGAGAGCTTCGAGTCCTACTTCAACTACCTTTACCCTTGGGGCTCCGACCATAATGGCGGCGCCCGCATGGTTGGCAACAGCAGCGACCATGACTACATCAGCATCAACGACCCGGGCACCCTGACCTTGACTGCACACCCCGTCACCGGCGAGCCGGCCACGAGCAGCGGCGTCGCCATCAACTACCTTTCTGGCACCGTGCATGCCAAGGACCAGTTCACCGTCGAAGAAGGCGGAGGCTATGACTTCAATGTCGAGCTGCAGGCCACGACCACCTACGGCACGTGGCCAGCGTTTTGGCTAACTGCTGTCGAGGGCTGGCCCCCAGAGATCGACTTGGCTGAGTGGAAGGGTAAGTTCTCGACATTCTGCTGCTGTATTTCTTGCTCGAGTGTATTCAAGCTGCAGAGGCGTCTTTTTGCTGACAGTTCTGGTATCCAGGAAGCGGCAAGGTTTCCTTCAATACCTTCAACACGTCCAGCGAAGTCACTGCCAAGGATGTGGACTATCCCGACTCTGGAAACTTCCACAGCTTCAAGGCCGAGCTGCGCGATGAGAACGGCAGCGACGTCTCCATAAAATTCTATATGGATGACACCCTGATCACCGAACAGGTCGGAGCCGGCTTCACCGGTGCGGCTATGTGGCTGTACGTTCCTTTCGCCCATAGTACTATCTAATCGGCATTAACTGACATTCTATAGGATTATTGATCTCCAGATGGAAGGTTCGTCGGGCACGTCAGGTCCTGACACCGACACGACCTTCTCGGCGAGAAACCTGGAGATCATCTCTTATAACCCGTGAAATGACGGCGGCAACCCGTCGGCATCATCGGCATGGGAGACTCGAATGCACTCATTGTCAACTACCGGGCGTAAATAGCGGATCCGAACAGCACAGGGGAGCGATGAAATTGATTGGTTCGCATCTGGTCCAGTAAGGAGGTGCAGTTGACTGTGACACGAGGAGCTTCGCTATCGCATCTCGTTGTGTAATCCAGCACAAGATTACTTATCCCACTAATCAAGCCACCACACCACGAGCAAGAGCCGCAAGACCAAGTGCTTCTTTGGTTTTTCTCCCGCCTTCCATCGGCCCGAACCTGAAGGCTTGTGCTACCCCCGAAATCACTCCGGCCTCTCAGACGACACTCCCTGAACCTTCGTTCAGTAATCGGCCGCCAGCAATGATTAGTATGTAGCGCTGGCACCAAGCACCAATATTATAAAGCGTACATTACTAATAAACCGACGGAGTGGATGCCTAGTTTGGAATTTTTGACTGACGATATTCTTGTAGAAAGGCTCACAACCAATCAAACCATCTCTGGCGACGATTATGTGACGATGGCATGGTGTTGACTTTACCCGTTTTTGGGCATCTCCGCGTGGCAAGCATCACGCCGTTGACTGCGGCTGTAAAACGGTCAACTAAACATTAGGAATGCGGGCAACGCGATCACGCCGACCCACCTGTATTTGCGAGCACAGTCTCCCCAGTATGACATGGCAGGCAAGCACCGTGCTCGCCCAGCACACCACCATAGTCGACGTATATAAGACGTCCAGCCGGACTTTGTATCCGACAGCAGCACACCACCCCGGCAGCAGTCAGGACAGTCTCTCACTACAACCTCCCCGTCTTTCAATTACCAGTCCTTTTCCCCGGTAACGACAACGCCGATGACCATGGCCACCGCCAACAGCAAGCTCTTCGCGCCCATCAAGATCGGTGCCTCCGACCTGGAGCACCGTCTGGTGATGGCACCGCTCACGCGCTTCCGCGCCACGGACGAACACGTCCCGACGGAGCTGATGGCGCAGTACTACGCTCAGCGCGCGATTGTGCCGGGCACTCTCATCCTCTCCGAGGCGTCCTTCGTGTCTGCCCGCGCCGGCGGCTACGCCAACATCCCCGGTCTCTGGAGCGACGAGCAGCTCTCGCAGTGGAAGAAGATCACCGACGCCGTCCACGCCAAGGGCTCCAAGATCTGGGTGCAGCTGTGGGGCCTGGGCCGCGCGGCGTGGCCCGACCCGGTCGGCTCGGGTGGAGCCGTCAAGAACGAGGAGTTCGACTTTAAGAACGGCTTCGTGAGCGCGAGCGATGTGCCCATGGCCGAGGGCCTGCCGACGCCGAGGGCCCTGTCTGAGGAGGAGATCTGGGGCTTCGTGAACGACTACGCCACTGCGGCTAAGGGGGCGGTTGAGAAGGGCGGCTTTGACGGTGTTGAGATCCACGGTGCTCATGGGTGAGTTTTTGCGTCCTGCCAAAACCGACCTTGCGTCTTTTCGACAGAAAGGGATGGAGAGAACAGAAAGCTAACGGACTTCCCAGTTACCTCATCGACCAGTTCACTCAGGACGTCTCCAACAAGCGCACCGACGCCTGGGGCGGCAGCATCGAGAAGCGGTCGCGCTTCGCCATCGAGGTCTCGAAGGCGGTCGTCAACGCCGTGGGTGCCGACCGCGTGGGCATCCGTCTGAGCCCGTGGTCCAACTTCCAGGGCATGCGGATGGCAGAGCCGATCCCGCAGTTCGCGTACCTGATCACGCAGCTGCGCGAGCAGAAGCTGGCGTTCCTGCACCTGGTGGAGCCGCGTGTGGCAGGCGTCATCGACCGCGACCCGCAGGGCGAGAGCCTGGACTTCGCGCTGCAGGCGTGGGGCAAGGAGCGGCCGGTGCTGATTGCGGGCGGCTTCAAGCCCGCGGGCGCGTACGAGGCTGTCGAGGACAAGTACCGCGACTACGAGGCCGCGATTGTGTTTGGCCGCTTCTTCATCTCGAACCCGGACCTCGTGTACCGCGTTAAGAAGGGCATTGAGCTCGCGCCGTATGACCGCACGACGTTCTACAAGCAGAAGCACATGCAGGCCGAGCCGGGCTATGTGGATTACCCCTTCTCGAAGGAGTTTGTTGAGGAGTTTGGCAAGCCTGCCGAGGCGGCTTAGATGGGTGTATGCTTAAGGCGTTACTGGATGCATTAGATACCGGGAAATGGAATGCTAGATTTTTTGCTTGAACGGAGACACGGACTGTGAGATGGGGCTTGCTGATGGTTCTGCCCGATGGCAAATGGGCAGAGGAGGTCTGTCGTCTCGGAGTGATTAGACGTGCGTAGAAAGGTCCTGGCCTTCACGGGAACTAGGCATTCGACGCAGATCCCGGAGCGTCGATCCGGTGGGGGCGGAGTATGACCCACTCCGCATGCAGCTGCCATTTTTTTGCTGCTCACTTGTCCATGATGTTAGTATCAGGAAGCGAGAGTGGAAGCTGCTGAGCATGCGGGTGTAGTGAGAGAGGAAAATTGTACGGTTAGATGTGCAAAGCTTGCTAACAACAAAAACGTATAAAGGTGGAGAGACTGTAGACTGAACTTCCCAGATGAGCACTGACACGCGTGTGAATGTTACGCACAATTCACATCACCTTTGGTTATAATGCTGCAATGTTCAAATTTTTTTATGTCTAACGTCCGTCACTGCGAACCGAGATTCACCGTGTAGCGGGACAGAGGACGATATAAGCAGTCCCTACAAAGTACTCCTAATCTAGCTCATATCCCGAGTCCTGGGTATAGATGTAAAGGTCTTAGAGCACACACAGACTCTACACATCATAGCTGGGTCTCTTCTTCTACTCCGTACATGTATCACCATCTCGCTTCCCGGTGAACCTCGTTTCACGGTGACGGACGTTATCTCAAGTATATCAGCCATCAACAATTATCGGTGGTTGATTTATCCGAATTTGTCCACTGCATGTAAGTCAACATACACAGTGATCGATTTACCTAAGAATGACAGGAAATACTTGAATTCGACAGCCATTTTAGGGTTACGGTTAACTGTATGCAGAAACCACACGCAAACACTGAAGCAGCGCGAAGCGAAGGTGCTTTTGTTTATTATCCCAAACAGCATCTGCGGCAAGACTGGGGATAGAGGAACCGTGGCCACGAAGGAGAACGGCTATGTAGACATAGGCCTTAGAATCCTGCCCGCTTGCGCCAGAAACTCGCTGGCTACAATTGTGTCGAGTCGAAGGCTTTCACAGAATAGGAAAGGGGCACGCCTGTGGTGGCGAAACCAAAGCACGTTATGTGCCCTGGGGAAAGAGACAAAACAAAGAAGAGGAGCTCAATAAAGTACTGGGAAACTACATGCAGCTTTTCGAAGACCTTGTCTTGGGGCATACAAACAATGGTGGGATAGTTGGTGGACTGCACTCGATCTTTTTCTACCAGGATGTCCCAAATTCCCCTATCAGCGGCATTAACCGACTAATTTTCCTCGCATTTGCTTTTAGAAAGGAGGCTTACCACAGGAAATGACAAGCTGGCTGGAAGGCGAAGAACTGCCTGTCCCCGATGAAGCAGCTTGTCGATGGGAGGCCGAGAGTTACTGTGCTCCCATTCCGGCACGATAGATTTCGGCATTAAGATTAGTATGCCACGATATTTCGTTCGTAGAGGACGTCCCCAGTAATATCCTTCAACACCTCGACGCCAAATATCTAGTCAAAAAACATTTTATTTCTCCAGCGAAATCCTCGAAACAAAAAGCCACGCAGCGGTACCCTTGCGAACCCGAGAACATCTTTAATAACAGCATCAACACTCTCTTCTCTTCTAGAAAGCATAGGCGCACCAGAGTGTAACTCGACAACATCTGAGCCTGGACTTCTGAGCCATAAATCGTTGCTGCACCAAGCACAAACCCCCACGCCAATAGCGGCAACGACATCTATTCTCCCTCACACCACATCCCCCTCCCTAACCCACTCCAGCTCCCCCACCTCCACGCCCTTGACCCGCTCATCACGGACGCCATACCGCCACTCCCGTTCTCTGCGCTCGAGCACTGCTTCCTCGATCACGTATATGCTCTCCCCGCCCTCCCCAACAGTAGCCGCATCCTTGGTATTGGTATTTGTGTTGGCATCGGTGTTGGATAAGCGACGCAGGCGCACGCGGGCGCCAATGTCAAAGTTCTGCGCTGGCTTTCAGGTGAGAGGGGGGCGTTAGTTGTGTGTGCGTTATGGGTTGTGGGGAGGAAACGGGGGAATAAGGGAGAGGGGTAGGGGCACCTGTTTCGGGTTCGAGTGTCTGGCGAGGGGCGTCTCTGTCGTGGTGGATGATGTCTGCGTAGCGGTGTTAGTGTGTGTGTGTGTATAGGTACGGAATGGTGGTGGCATACGTCTGCCATGACTTTGCGTCTATAGCTCGTAGCTAAGGTACATAAAGCAAGCAAGCAGCGCAGCGCGCCGAGTCGAGTTAATATATATAAGCACCACAACCCCACCCCCACCAGCACCCCTGCACGCCTGACATCACCCAACACACAACATACGGCGGACCTGCCTTAAGCGGCCTAGCGGTCTAGGCACGCCAGAGCGTCGCTCTAAGATGTGAGATGTCACCATAAGTACTTTCTCTTCCTCGCGAGAGATGGATAGATGGTGATAGCTGGATAGGTTGGTAATGCTTAGTTAGGTTTCTTCAACAATACAGCAGCACCACCAACAGCACCAAACACCAACAAACAGCAAACACTAGCAAACAGTAAACACCAACAACAATAAAAAGATAATCATTTTCTGTCCAAACTCGTCCAAACACGCGAGCAAGCAAGCAAGCGTTCGTTCATTCGTGAGCTCCAACGACGCACACCAAAACGACCACCTAGCTACGTACTCGTAGGTGTGCGTGTATGCGTGTGGGTCCGCGAGAGTGTGTAAGAGCCAAAAACGTAGTAAGTAGTAGTAGCTTTCCATATCGTGACAATCTCGCTCAAAGCAGCTAGGTAATCAATCAATCAACCACACGCCTCGTTTGTCCCCGTCCATCATCCATCGTCCATGGTCCATCGTCCGTGGTCCATGGTCCATCCATATCAAAAACACACAACAAAGACAAGCCCATCTTGCTCTATCCTATCCTATCCTTCCACAACAACACAACAACAGAACATAACGGCGACTTCCCCCCCCCCCCCTTATTTCTCTTTTCCTTAGTTCTTTCCCTTCACCAGCTCGAGGATCATGTCCTTGGCTTCGGCGACGCCCTCCTTGGGTCCCGTAATCTCAATCGCCTCGAGCTCACCTCCGCGCGGCACCTGCACCTTGGTGCTGGTTTTCTTGCGGATGTTGTTGATCGTGCTGCCGCCAGGGCCGACGACGAACCTGTACAGCTTGGGGTCGCTCAGCAGGAGGTAGCCAGTGCTGCTAGGCTTGCTCTTCTCCTCGATCGCCTTCTCGAGCTGAGCCTTGGCCTTGGCAATGTTCTCGGGGTTGCTGCTGCGCAGAACCCAGGGAATGGTGCCCTCTTCGCTATCGTCGGCCGAGGACATGGCATCGAAGATTTGCCAAGCGTGCGTTGGGGCATCGTCAGGAGACTCGTCGGTAATCAAAGGCAGGTTGCCGCCAAGCTGGGCACGGACGTTGTCGACACCGGCGGACGTGGGCTTGGGAGGAGCCTGCTGGCCGGCGTGGTCGACGGTGACCTTGAGGTTGTTGCGCAGGTTACGGAAGAAAGCACCGCTGTCGCCAGCGATGGCGTGGTGCAGACGCCTAGGCACCTCGACCGTCTCGCCTTCCTGCTCCTTGATGAGGGTTGCAATGTGCTCCTTGGCCTTCTCAACAGACTCGGGCTGGCCGACGATCTTGACCTGACTGCGAGCAGCACCCTGAACGGTCTGCTTGGGAATGTCAAGCGAGATGCCGAACTGCGCTTCGATAGACTTGCGGGTATCACCTCCGCGACCGATGAGCAGGCGGTGCTTGTCAGGGGCGACCTCCATGATCTCGGTGACCTGGCTCTCACGAACGCGGGCGGTCTCCTCAATGGCAGCAACGATCTTGTCGACCACGGCAGCAGTGCCTTCTACGCGGATCGTGTTCTCGTCCGACTCGGCGCGAGGGAAGCGAACCATGCGGGCAAGCTCGCGACGATCATCGGGTCCACCAGCCTTGATGACAATGTCGCGGATGTTGGATCCTGGACTAATTAGCTGTGATCTTCATAAACTTTTTCAGACGAGTACTTACCACCACTGCCAATTAAAGACTTGTGGTGCTTCTTGTCAACCTCGATGGTGCGAACAACGGTGTCGTCGAAAATCTTAGCCCTCTCCTCAAGCAGCTTCTTGGCCTTGGCAACCTGCTCCTTCGTACCCTTGATCTTGATCTCAGCACGACCAGAGGGGTCCGCAACCTCACGTGCGTTGGGCACATCGATCTGGGCACCAGTGGTAGAACGGAGAGCGTCCATTTCCCGACCGCCAGTTCCAATAAGCGAAGGGATCTGGTTCTGAGAGACGGAGACGGTGGCCGAGTGCGAGTTGTCGACGGTGAATTGAAGCAGCTCGAGGAGCTCATCACGAGCCGCATCGGCGCCCCTCCTGGGACCCCTGACAACGACTTCATCAACTGCCTGGCGACGGTTGTGGTGCGAAGCTTCGGTACCAGCATCGGCATCCTCAGCGGCCGGGGCGGACCTGGGGAAGTTGATGCGGACGTTGTACCTGTCCTGGAGGCGGTTGACATGCTTGCCTTGAGCGCCAATCAGGTCACGGTGGTACTGCGGCTTGACCTTAAGAACGTGAGTGGCCTCGTCCTCAAGCTTCTTGCCCAGAGCAATAATGTGCGACTTGGCAGCAGCACACTTGGCCTGAGGACCCTTGAGTTCAACCTTGCCGTCTTGGACCTGGATTTCGACGTCAAACTCCTCACGAAGCTTGCGGATGTTCTCACCCCGCTTGCCGATAAGGATGTTGGCGAACTTCTGGGGGTAGTCGAAGCTGGTGGTGTAACCGCGCTCGAGCTCATCCTTCTTCTCCTGCTCAATGAAGGCAAGGATCTTCTCCGCGAGGTCGTCAACGGCCTGGTTGGGTCCACGCATGTGAAGGCTATCCCTGGAAGTGCGGGAAGCCTGGGGCCTGGCATCGCCGAAGAGAACCTGAACGGGAATCTGGTCCTGAGGAGTACCCTGCTGCTCGCGATCAACAAAGCGGCGAATCTTGTCTTGGAACCTGTACATGCTTTGTCAGTTGTCAGTATGTTGGCAACCTTAGGAAAAATGGTAGCTTACTTCTGGGGAGCCTCGACATCCCGGCCAACAATCTGCTCCTGGCCAATAAGAGACTGAATGTGCTGCTGCGCCACCTGGAGGGCGCGCTGGAAAGCCTGAGCATCAGCGGCAGAGGGAGCACCGCGAGGCAGCTGGTAGTCAGAAGGCGTGGAAGGGCCTTCGTAGACCAAAACAAGCGGCTGCGAGTCCATGTCGTTGTCAGGGAAAACCAGCTCGACGCCCATATCATTCCTGACGCGCTGAGCAGCACGCTGACGCAGGTGCTGGTGGTAGAAGGGGTCAACGTTCACCTCAGCAAGCCTACTAGGAGGGTGGCCGCTGATGAGGTTCATAATATCCATGCGAGCGCGCATGCCGTTCTTGGCATCACGCGAGTAGATTTCCCAAGCGGTAGGGCCGTCCACAGAAGTGGGCAAGACAATGCTAGCATCGTGCATGCGCTCCAACTCAGCGACGGCTTGACGCTGCCTCAGGTATCTAGTGAGGTTGCGGGCGTGCGCCTGGGAGTTCGCGTGCTGGCGAGCAATGTCGACATTGGTAGCCTGCATTGCCGAAGCCAAGTCCATGACCTTGTTCATACCGACATCAATCTTCTCAGCGGGTCCGACGATAGTGAGGATCTCGCTATCATCGGAGCTCGGGGGCATGATCACAGCGCAACCAGTCTCAGCCAAGAAATCGTGCAGGGAGCCGCCGCGCTCGCCAATGATGAATTGGTGCCTGCCACGCTCAATAGGCATCTGGTTGATCGTGAGCTGGCGGCGAAGCTCCTCGACCTGGCGCTCGAGCTCGGCACGCGCATCCTGAGCGGCCTGGCGATCACCAGCAATCTGGATGGGGACGGAGGCCTGGGGAACAAAGGGCACCGGCTCGCCTCTCGCAACAGGTTGGGGAGGAGCACGCTCGGCCCAGGTGTGGTAGTGCGGGATCTGGACACGGACATCGCGGCCACCCTCCAATGTATCGATATGCGAGTTGTGAGGACCGGCCAAGAAGGGGTAGTACTCGGCAGGAATGTCTTTCAGGCGAAGGTTGACGGTGGAGGTGCGCTCGTTGACAATGCGCTCAATTTCCTGGCTAGCCAAGGCGGCAGCAACGGTGTCACCCTCAATGACCACGTCGACAGTGGCGCTGTCATCGTCCTCAATCTCGGCAATATCCTCAGCCTTGGGGACTTGGATACGGGCGCCGGTCTTCTTGCTGATGCTCTGGATCGTCGCACCCTGGCGTCCGATGACGTGCGCGCGAAGAGAGGCGGGGATGGTGACCTTGGTGGTTTGCTAAATGGCATTAGCTGGTTGAGTTCTCCCACTCTCAGAAGGCTGGTACGTACCTTGGATCCGAGTTCCTTTGCAACTTCCCTGAGAGCAGAACGGACGGCATCGACGGGGCCAGTACCCTGGAAGATAAAGTTGCCCATAGCACCAGGCTTGCTCTCGACCTTGGCCTTGGACCTCCGGTTGATGTCCCTAATGATATCCATCATCGGGCGCCTCAGCTGCTGACGGGGGATCATCTGAGAGGGCGCAAGAGTGATTGACTCGGTGAAGCGACCAGGCAGGTTGAGCGTCTGCGGGCCAGGACCGCGCACAGAAGGCGCGGCGGCAGCGGGAGTCATGTTACCGGAGGCGGGGGTGGAAGCGCGCGATGAGACATTGCTGGAAGCGAAGCCATTGGCATTGACCGAAGCAGGCTTGCGGCCCCAGGCGGACGCAACGGGAGTGACCGTCTTGGGAGCACCAAGGCCGGGGAACGACTCCTCAGACATGTCGATACCCTGCGGCTTCTTGGGCGCAGGCTCCTGGGCCTTTTGCTTTCCAGCGGCCTTTTCCGACATGGTAGGCGCAGGAGAGGCAGAGGTGTCAGGAGTGGCCGAAGGGTGCGAGGAGGGAGGAGGATGAGCAAGATCCTCCTCGTCGACGGCATCCTCGACGGTAGGACGGTGCGGCTCATCGGCAGCCAGACGCTGTTCGAGCCTCTGGGCCGGGGTCAGGCCATCACCGTTGGCGACAGATTCACTAGCCATTGTAGAGTTTATCCGTTCACGAGAGCGAGGACCGGGAGGGTGGGAGCAGGATGACCTGAGACGACAGCGCAGCGATGGTCAAGTTGTTGGCGGGACACACGACTGTTGAGTGAGTCAGCGAGCGGGCGGGGAGCAGAAGGGAATTGTATGGGACGCACGGGTTGAAGGTTGGCCTGGGAGTGGAGGAGAGGTTGAAGGTGTCGAGGCGCGGCGGGAGGGAGAGGAGCGGTAAGTAAGGCACGGCTAGTCGATTGCACTGGAATTGAGCTCGGCAGAGACGCCAGATCAGGCCATAGCTTTGCGTACGAGATGGAGAGAGAGGGCGTGAGAAAGAAGAGCGCAGGCGATCGTTGGTTCTCTACCTATGGAAAGTTCGAGGTGGCTTCTTCCCCACGATTGGCCAGAGCTCGAGCTACGAAGTGCCCGCGGGCCACCGACTCGTCCACCACGTGCTGCGCTGTGCAGAACCTTCGCCTTTCTTCCAGCTGCATCGGACGGCCTGCATGCATGCATGCATTTTTCCAGGCGTGACCTCGCCGCCTTCCTGACCGCGTAGCTATGTAATCTATGTGATAATCTTCGGGGCCATGTCCATTCAATGCGCTGCTCCCCGCACGGACCACCGCCGTCGTGCCAGTGCCATCCAGCCATCTCAACGCTTTTTTTCTTCATGCGTCGCGACACCAGAAGACCGTTGTGTCAAAATTCTTTGACAAGCTCGTCGTGTGCTGCCTCGATGGGTCAATTCCCCCTCATCCTTTTTCAGGGTCTCAATGGCTCCCCTCGCCCCCACAGCACTCCAGCCGACCAAAAACATGGGGGGACACGGGGGGTCAATCCGGAGATTGGCACCTACCCGCAGATTACCATCGCCTATATATAGATTTTCTAAGCCCATCCCTTCGCATGTCGCCGGCCACTGTCTTACAGGCTGCCAAGACGCCTTTCCTAGTTATATAACGTCTTTCGACGGGAACCGAGATCCACAGCTTAGCAAGACGGGAGACGACACAAGCAGTCCCTACAGAGTACTCCTTGTCTGGCTCCTATCCCGAGTCCCAGATATGGATGAAATGGTTTTAGAGCACACATAGATTCTACGTATCATAACTGGTTCTCTTCTTCTACTCCATACAAATATCACAAGTAAGCATAGGCTCTAATGGCGCTAGCAGGGGAGGGGGGTCGCGAATTCACAACCCGTAATGGGATCTCCCGTGGGTCGAGCGTTTCCCCTGATTGATTGCCGAATTGGATCTAAATCTATCTATAACGTCGTGGTCAAGGCGGAGCGCAATCAGTGTCCCTGATCAGCCACTGGCAACCCCTCGTAAACACTCTTTCAAGCTTCCGCAAACCAGGGGGGGAAAGTGCTGCTCTATTGCAAGAGAAGAAAAGTAATCTACGATATAAGCCATGCCTTACACTGATTCTTCCGTGCACTGTATAACGCCCGCAATGCCGCTTGGTAATGAGACAAATGAAAAAGACAAACGCGCAAGACGCAAAATGCGGAATCCTTCTATGGCTGATTGAGTGAGTGACTTGTGGCAAAGACCTTTTGAATGCAAATGTGAGAATTGAACAAAAAAGCAAAGGAACCCGCCGCTTGGGAAAAGTTAAAGGGAAAAGAGAAACAGAGAAGTGAAAACAAAAGCAAGGACGGAAAATATGTGCAAAGAAAAGGAGGGTCGCGAATGCGAAAAGTGACGGGATCCTGCCCATCGTCGAACAAACAAATGTCGAAAGCAACATAAACAGTCGAAAAGAAACGGAAATCTAGGCCAAAATGGCCAGAGTTTCCCCCGTTCTCCGTAAAACGTGCAACCTCTAGCCTTCCAGAATCTCTCTTAAGTTTTCCCAGAATCCCAAATCGTACACGTTTTCAACATCGTCAAGCTTCCAGCATCGCTGCCAGCTAGCCTCGTCGACAATACCTTCCAGTTGCGCAGGCACCTCGCGCGGCGCTTCACCGTCAGCCGTCTTGACCAGCACTTGGTGCGGCTGGTTGGGCCACTGGGCACCGGCAACTTCCTTCTTGATATCGCTAGTGATGATGGTGGTGTCCAGGTTGGGGCTACCGCTGTTGCTCTTCTCCTGGACAGGAGAAGATCCGACACTAATGGCGCTTAGCCTCCGTCCGAATTCACCGGATCGCAGACCGAACTCCGCGTAGCTATTGCTAGTGGCGCGTGCGCGAGTGTGTCCATTGTGCCTTCCGTCTCTTCCAGGGAACAGGGAACGCGGGTTGTCTACGTACCCACTTCCGTGCTGCGTACCGACGTAGACATTACCCTCACGCATCTGGTCGCGCCAGTCTGCCCACTTGCTGGATTCGTTGGTCGTCATGCCGGCCCAAACGAGGTAAATGTGGTACGAGAGTAGGCCGAGGGGCAGGGGCCAAGTGAGCGCCGCCAATAAGCCGACTCCGGTAATGCTGATGCCTCCAAATGCAATGGATTCCACCATGACCGTGTTCAAATCCTCACGGAATCCCTTCAACCTCAGAAGCCATGGCGCCCATTTGGACATCAAACCGGCGGGGAAGGCGTGATCGTAGTGCGTGAAACGGCTGTTGACCTCGGGGTACAATATCAGGATCAAGGCGAGGTAGGCTCCGTACAGCAGCAGCACCGACGTGCTAGCCAACAACGCAAGGAACCAGCGGTAGTTCTCCCGACCCAGGCAATTGTTGACCCAAACACAATGGTGGTCCGAGCGCGCGACGCATACTTTGCAGATACTGCAGTGCTTGCTACGGGCGGGCTTCGGCAGCCGGCAGGTCCGGCAGTTGTTGTTGGGGTGGAAGATGATGCGGTCGTACGGGTAGGCAGCGACTTGCTCAGCGTAGTTGGATGTCGTGACGACGGTGTTCGGGCGGGTGCGGGAGGCAAGATAGGTGAAGAGGTAGGGAAGCGGCAGCAACTCCAGAGCGATAAGGCGGTGGTACCACGGGAGCATACGCCATGATGCGTGGAGGAAGAGGCCGGCGGCTACGGAGAGAAGGCCGAGGAAGAATATCTAAGGGGTTGTCAGTCTTCCGGGAAGGCCGCCGATTGGAGGGAGGAACATACGACGACCAGGGGATGCTTCTCATGAAACAGGTAGTTGAAGGTGCAGGTGGTGTACTTGTAGATGCGACCGCCGGTGACCTTGCCGTCCAACCAACGCAAGAAGGCGGGGAAGTGGACCCATACGACGCGGTGTAGGAAGCCTATGGGCGTCTTTCTGCAGGAGTGGGTTAATGTTTCAGCCCTGCGTCCGGGGTTGGCGCGCGTGACGCACTGGGGAGGGGCACTTACCGGAAGATGGGCAAGCGGCCGAAGAAGACGGTGAAGGTCAGAAAGGAGAGGGAGAGGACGGCAATGACGATGTTGCGGAGAAGGGGTTCCATGGCCGGGAGTTGGGGGCAGAGTGAAAACAGAGGTGTAAAGGAAAAAACGATCAGTGCATAGCGCGGGGAAGCAAAAGAAGAAAGGAAAGAAGGGACTAAGAAGCAGGATTTGACAGCAAAGGAAGTTGGAAGATCAAGCTAATGGACGGCGAGGGTTGGCAATCTACTCGTACATAGGTGTGTTCGCGTCATCGGATGGCAGTGCCGCAGCCTTCCAGGCCAGGGTGCCAGTATGGGGCTCGAGCGGATAGCCTGGACCCTCCTGTCTGCCGCATCCGGTGTCCAAGGCGCCCTCACGTGCCCGCCACGGGATCCCGCGTCATCATCTCCCGCGCCCGCGTTGTTTCGCATCCGTGTCAACACCATGTCCAAGACGCGCCTCATTGTGACCACCACCAACGCCGAGCCGCCCCTCAAGGGTGACCTGTTCGCCGGCACAAAGTTCTGGGTCGCCCAGCGCTGCCCCTCGCGCCAAGACTACATCAAGAAGATCACCTACAACGGCGGCACCATCGTCCCACTCGAGAAACAAGCCGACATCCTCATCGTTGACTACCTGCGCAAGGACCTGCCCGTCAATGGCGTTTCCTATCGCCTCATCGACGACTCGCTCAAGGACGCCGAGTTTAAAGACGTCGACGACTACATCTGCGGACCGCGACACCATGTGAGGGACGTTGGTTCGATGAAACCTGCGCGTGCCGGAAGGACGCCCTTTACAACCGAAGACGACCTGCAACTCTACAAGTGGGTCAAGGATGCCGAGAACCAGGGCGCCAGGATCAAGGGCAATGAACTCTACAAGCAGCTGGAGCAGAAGGTGCGCATCGCTGGCTGAAGGCCAGCCGACCAAGGCTAACCGTCGCAGAACCCTCGTCACTCCTTCCAGTCATGGCGCGACCGCTATCTTAAAGTCCTCAGCATTAAGCCTCCTTCATCAGCTCTAGTCGACGCGAACCCTCCTCTGTCACCTCCCACTTCTGATCCACAAGCCGCACCTCAGAACTTTCCGCGACCTCGTAACAAGAGACCAAGGTCGACTGGCTCTGTGAACGAGAAGCCTTCATTATCGCAACAGGAAGGGCAGCGCGCCAAGTCAGACTCCCCGCGGCCATCAGACGAATATGCGCAAAGCCAGTCGGTACCTGCATCAGCGCACAAGACTTCTCGGGTCCTCACAGATAATTTTACGCTTCGAGAGTTCAACCGACTCCTACTCAATGCCGCGGATGTACAGAATATCCCCATTGGTCGTTACAAGGAGGCTTGGAAAGCATGGGCAAACGCATATCCTCCACATACACTCGAAACATGGAAGGGCTTTTATGAGGCCGAGGTACTGCCAGTCTGGGAAGATTTGGAAGTGGACCAAGATGTGAGGTTAGAACAATATACGAAAGCCTGGGAGGAGTGGACCGAGGCCCACGGCATTGACCAACCGATAAAAAGCTGGCTTCATTTTTATCACACACAGATTCTCCCATCATTTGCTGAACCTGTCCAGTCGGCAGAAGAAGAGGAAAACAAAGGCCCTGGTGTAAAGACGGAGGATGGTGCAGCGACTGCTCGTGACGCACAGGCCGTAGGAGAGAGCCCGAAGTCTGTAACTGAGAAAGAAACTAAACACGCAGCAAAAGCTACCTCGATTGAAACGCCGGCTGTGTCATCTGAAAAGGACCATCCTCGCCGAGCTAAAGCTTCCGATCAGCACACTAAAGATCTGGCGGATAAGAACCCAACTGAGCAAGAGCAGGCATCGTCAGCCACTCTTGGCAAGCGTCGCCGAGACGATGAAGAAGAGGAAGGCGCATCGGAAGCCGCACCTCCCCCGGCGAAAAAACGCAATCTCAGTAGCAACAACAATTCTCAAGTTCCATTTCAGACCACCCAAGAAAGTGTTGAGCAGAAGTCGCCTAAAATGGCTCGAGGTACTTCCGACGTTGCTTCGCAGGACGTGATTCAAATATCTTCGGCGGTGCCCACTTCGTCATCGTTGCAGCAGAGCTCGTCACAATCGGATTTTGAACCCGCGCAAAAAGAACAACACACCCAGGCAGTAGAGGAAGATGAAGAGCCGCTCGAGGAAGAAGAGGAAGAGGACCAGGACGTTGGGAACTCGGGAGTGTCCGAAGGGCGCATCAGGGATGTCCTTGATGGGCTCAGCAAAGAACACATCGAGGAACTTCTAAGTGTGATGAGAACTGTTCCAGCTGCACCTACGGATAAAGGCATGGATCCATTTGAAGCTGTCGTCATGCACACGGTGCACTTCTTTCAGCAGATTAACCAAGCCGACAGTCAAGCCGTATGGGACGTCGGAGACACCTTCCAAAAGATTGGCCTTATGGATCGCTTCTTAGAAACTGAGGTCGAGGTTGAGGAAGCTGAGCGTGAAGAGGATGGCAATGAGGAGGAAGCCGCAGAGGACCAGCAAGAAAAAGAAATACCCACGGAGACGGACCTCGAAGGCACCACCAAAGTAGACATCTCGCAAAGCGCTATAGCTCCAACATCCGGCCAAGAACCACCGCCAGTGCCATCGAGTACTCACGCAGCGATTACGCACTCGCAGCCACTGCATCAAGCTCAACGTCAACAGACGCCCCAACACGGACCATCAGAAGAACATGCAGAACCATCCGCTTCCACCACCCAACCCACAGGCACCCTCACCACCGACGAAGCACTCGAGACATACATCGCGACGCGGCTGGCAGCGCCCCACGCCTACACCGAGTACGCGGTCCTGAACGCGCTGCGCGCGACCAGCGCCAACGCGAGCCTGTGCGACGTCGCGCTGCGGCACATGCGGGCGCACAGCGGGGCGCTGCCGGAGATGGCGGGCGTGTGGACGGCGCGCGACGACGACTCGTTGCAGGCGGGGGGTATGGCGGCGCGGAGGGCCGAGAGGAAGCACGGGCGCGAGAGGTGCGTGGTTCGGAAGGGGTTCTTGAAGGAATGGGGGATTGCGTGAGCGAGGGGGTTGGTTGATGGGTGGGTGGAGGGAGGGAAGGTTGGATGTTTGTTTTGGGAAAGTTCGCTGGTGCTGGCTTGCACTGATAGCTCGCTCGCATGGCTGGATTATGATGATGCGGGACTGGGTCGCTGTGGCAGCGGAAGTTGCGCAGTTCATCGGTACTTACCTACCTATGCACGTTTCGCATGGCGCGCTAGCTGAGGGCATCTACGGGGCGTGTGCGCTGTGATTGCGGAGCTCTGATGTGGATGGAGATGACGTACGTTTTCGCGCTGACGTGGTTGCAAAAGGTAAGTAAAGGCCAGCTCGCTCGCATGATTGCAGTAGGTAGTTCGTTCGCTGAGGGCAGATGTCTGTTGTTTTAACCACACTACTATCCTGATATGCTCCGCATTCGTGCTTAGTGCCTTAGCCTAGCCAGCAATAGGCGGACGCATTGGCTTGCGTGTCCGTACCTCAGTCTCACCTCTTCAGTGACATTATATTGGTGGGTGTTATCTGCTGCGAGGATCTGGAGAGGTCGTAGTCTTACAGGGCACAGTGTCTGCGCCAACTCGCTCGTTTGTCTGGGCTTCTATAGTAAAGTTGACTGAGTGCGCTGAGGGTGAGGCTGACAACGCTTCACTCACCAACTCTAATGTATACATACACACCTACCACCCGCACCACCCATTCGATCTCAAGTCAGAACCTCTAGCCTAGTGTTTGCCTCAACCGACCTTTTTGAACTCGCGGCTGTTCGGGCCATGGCTATAAGACGCAGTAAAGCAGCTTCGTGTGTACGTTCGCTGTCGTTTTATGCGGATGTGGTTGTGGTTGCTGGCGGAATTAACGTCCGTCACGGTGAAACGAGATTTACTGGGAAGCGAGATGGTGATACTTGTACGGAGGAGAAGAAGAGTGCTAGTTAGGGTGTATAGAGTCTGTGCGTGCTCTAAGGCCTTTGCATCTATACTTAGGACTCGGGATAGAAGCTAGGTAAGGAATACTCTGTAGGGGCTGCTTGTATTGTTTTGTCCCCTGTCTCGCTAGACGGTGGATCTCGGTTCTCGGTGACGGACGTTATAACTTTTACTAGTTTTATTCGTTTAGAGCTATTTGGTTACTAGCGATACTGAATCATCGACAAGAAAGGATGGCTGGAGCTATAAGTTCTATTTATCTGATACTTTTTTTTTTTTTTTTTTATATTATTTTTATACCTTTATCTTTTACTTTTTTGTGATTGGTGGTACTGGTTTAGCTGATCCTGAAGAGTGAAGACGGGGTGCTGGAGCGTAGTTTTGGCGGCGTATAAAAGTAATTAGGCTAGTATTCTTGGTTATGCTTCGAGTAAGGAGTATTACAGTTTTGGTTGAAGTGGGGTTGGCGTTTTGGTGTGGTTTTGGGCGGAGAGTGCGTATGTAGGTGGTGGGGTGGTGGCGGTGGTGGTGTTTGCTATTGCTGGGTGTTGTATGTGGAGGTTAGTCTGCAATTTGAGACGGAGCATGTATAGGTAGATATATTATTGTACTTATTTTGGCTTGAGCGTGTGGTCGCTTTGCGATAGTGAGAGGGGGTCAGGAATATACTGACAACGATTATGGGGACGCATTAACAATGAAAACAAACCCAAAAATAAAAACCAGATAGTAACTACAACCCCGAAGAGACACCCAGCTCGCTGATAACTTAATACTAAGGTATTAAATACAACGCCATCCCTATCCCTACAGTCACTCACCTTTTCTTCATCCTCTGCTCTTACTTCAGTGAAGTAAACAACAAACAGCGCGCATGCCCGAGAGTAAGAGCCAAAAGCTCCAGGACACGTTTAGGTGGCGCGAGTCGTAGAGCAGGCGCAAGTCACAAGTGCGATCACAACAGTATAAATCACAAACGAGACATCCTTTATCCTTCGAAACCACTGCTCAGCATCAGACAAGCAAAGAAAGAACCAAGCACTTTAAGTAGAGAAAGAGGACGCGCTATTAATACTAATATTAACACCACCAGCACACATCCTCCAGCTCTCATTTCGAAGTTCTAGAGGTAAATAAGAGCATGTACATCACCAACGGCGCAACGCGAGCATCGTGGACTAAAACGTATAGTTTCATATCGTGAACAGCACTACACAACACAACACAGCACTATCTATCTATCCACCTACCAATCAATCAATCAATCTACGCTGGATAAAAAAACAAGTCTCCTATGCAACACGCATCCTTAACGCAAGACGGCACTCGCACGGCGCAAACACAACACGCACGCACTCACCTCACCACTCACATCACCACCACAACCAACACCACACACACGCCCCCGGCCCTCACTCTCACCTACACAGCCACAGCGCACCCCCTCCCTTCCTTTCCCTCCCCCGGCCATGGCAAGGCAGAACCTCGCCAGCCCTCGCAAGCCCACCCAAGACAACCCCAGCCCCGGGTCCAAGCAAGCACGCAAGCACGCACGCAGACGTCAGCGCCAGCATCAGCAGCAGCAGCACCACCAACAGCAGCGGCAGGCGCGGGGCGCGCGCGTTGTCAAGCCGCATTGCGCAGAAGAGTCTGGGTCTGGGGCTTGGTCTGGGGCGCAGGGGGAAATGGGGAAGATGACGAAAGCGGGGTGGATAGGAATGGGGAACGGAGCAGGGATTTGGTTGGGACTAAGGTCTGTGTGTGGTGTGTGTATGTGTGTGGGGAAGCGGGAGCGGGAGCGGGAAGCCTGCGTGCGTCGTCCTGGTGGTGCTGGTGATGGTGCTGGTGGTGATGACGTCGTTGGTGCTGGTGGTTGGTGGGGAGAGGGGGGATCGTTCCTCGGTCCATCTTTTGGTCGGGGGTGCGTGGGTGAGGCTTGCGGTGCTGTGTGGGTGGAGGAAGGGTAGGGGGAGGGAGAGGGAGCGAGGGAGCGAGGCACGGGTGTGCCCTGCCTGGCTGGCCAGGGTACGTACGTAGGTAACCAGGTTGGCGGGATCGAGGGCGAGGCCGATGAGTGTTAGGTAGGTCGACAGCATCGAAAGTGTGGATAGGCAAGTAGGTAGGTAGGCAGGTAGGCAGGCACGCGGTGGCTGGACTAGAGCGGGGCCCCAGTGTGGGGAAGCGAAGAAGGACTAAGGAAGACTCAAGTGACGATGAAACAGCAGCAACAACAACACCAACACCACCACCACCTGATGATGATGATGATGATGATGATGCCGATGATGCCAATGATGCTACACACCCGCGCAAACAAACAAAAACAATGACGCACGCGCGACCCAGCGCGCCGGGAGCCAGCCAGCCTGGCCAGCAAAGCATCAGCGCGCCCCGCAGAAAGGTGGGGACGGCAGAAAAAAACTAAGGTTGGAAAGAAGGTTGGAAGGATCGTCGAAGACGGAGAAGAAGAAGAAAAAGAAGAAGACGGAGACCTGAAACCTAGCCTTGGTCTAGAAACCCTCCCGGCATCATAGTCGTTGTTGTCGTTGTCGTCGTGATCGTGATCTACTTACTGACTGCTGACCCGCGCGCGTGGACGACAGTGGGTTGACGACCAGCCCACCACTCTCACTCCCGCATCATCAGCAGCATCATCATCGCTCGTTCGCTCTCCCTGCCACTGTCACTGCCATCCCCCTCAACATAGGTACGCACGTACGTCCATACGTGCGTACACGCTCTCTCGTGCTCGCCGTGAGCCATCACATCTCACCTCGAAAGTCTGGCCCGCGCATCCCGATCCGCGCAGCACACCCCACGCTGCACGCATCACGCTGCAGCAGCACTCAAAACGGCAAGCGGACGCAGAGCCCAGCCTCCGGCTCCACGCTCCCACACCCTTGACCTACCTACCCTACAGCGGAGCGGATAGAAGCGAGGACGTCGCGACCGCGACCGCGACCGCATTCACCATGCAAGCATCGAAGCAAGCAAGCAAGCAAGCAGTGCGCGCCCGCTCGCCCGTCCGCCCGCCCCGACCACGTCAACGCGCAAATGATGCGCCCGCCCGAAGCGTCGACGCGTCGACGATCCCACACCCACCAGACCCCCAAGCCGGCCTCGGTCGGCAATCCGGCGACGGCGACGGCGACGGCGAAGCCGTGCAAGGTAGGGGTGCGCAGCGCTCACGGCTGCAACCACAGCACCAAGTATAGGTAGGTGGAGGTGGTAGGCCGACGCAAGGCTCGACGACAGGCGGGCGGGCGCGCGTGCGTGCATGTGCGTGTGCGTGTGCGTCTGTATGTCGTCGTCGTCATCGTCATCGCCAGTGCATCCCGCGCGGGATCTGAAGGGATGGGAGGGGGCGGCCCAATCCATGGCCCTTACTTACCTACACCTTACTGCGACGACGAGCCTATTCCTACGACTGAGCCTACCACGCCCATGTCTCATCTGCCTGATTCCCCGTCAGCAAGCAAGCACCCATACATACACACGTACACATATACATACACGAGCGCCCGCCCCGTTGCCTACCCGTTGCCTCGCCCACCTACCTACTGCTCACATTCTCGCAACCAGCCTGCCCACGCTGACTTAGCCGCCACATTCGCACCCTCGCACATTCGCAACCCCCCTCCATCCACTCCCACGCGCGCACCCGCTCCTGCACGCGCGCAATGAAGTAGGTGGCTCAAGGCTCACCCCCCGCCCGCCAGCCAGCCAGCGCATGCACGCCTAGCTGTCTGGCCCTTGGCCCAGAAACAGGGAAATCCGGGCAGGCGGGCGGATCGGCGGGATCGGCGGCTCGGCGCGCGCGCAAGGGTGGAGTCAATTAGGCATGTATGTGTGTGTGTGTGTGTGGGTGGATGGGTGGTGCTGACCGCTGCGTGTGTGTGTCGCGTTGCTTTGTGTTTGTGTGTGTGTGTGTGTGTGTGTGTGTGTTGTGAGGCGGATAAGATAACTACCTACCTAGGCAAGGAGAGGGGTGCTGCCGGTGGTGTGGGGTCGTGCCGTGCCGACGTTGTGCTGTGGCAACCTATGGAGGGAGGGACGACGACCGCGACGGCGCCAATGCATGTATATACATTTATATATAGATACACACGGCCACAGAATGGACATGTATGGTTGGGCGCGATGGTGTTGCGGCGCGGCGGCAATCTGAGACCGCGACCATGTCTGAGACAGGTCGACTCGACTCGACGGGGACTCGACGAAACGACTGAAACGACAGCAACGAAACGCGGGAGCGCCAGGGAGCCGAGACGAGTGCGGCGGCGGCATAGATATTGTTGCATAGTACGGGACTGCACGACAGCGGCTAGAGAGCACTTACAGCAGTATGTAACAGCACTGTCCGCCCAACTCTAACATGCTTTTTCCCACTCCGCCGCCTTGCCCTTCCCTTCCGCTGGGTTGCTTTTTCGGCGTGTTCGGTTCCGCAGGCCCGCCGTCGCGGCGCTGGTGGCTGCGTGCTTGCGTGCTTGCTTTTGCCGAGCTTGCGGGGAGCGAGAGTGTGTTTGCTTCGCGTGTTTGCTTGTTTGCGCCCGTCGACGTCGCCGCCGCGCTGGTGTAGGTAGTAGTTAGGTGGTGCAAAACACGGCCCCGATCTCAGCGAAGAGCTTGGACGCGTCCCCATCGGCTGGGCGATCTGCCTTGCTACCTACGCCATGCCACCACCAATCTGCATGCAGTCAGTCAGTCAGACAGTCAGACAGACAGCGAGGTACTCTAGTCAGACGGGCGCGCAAAAAACACGGCAAGGCAGACAGGCGGGCAGAGAAATCTCGGTGGTGCGCGCGTGTCAGTCAGTCGGCGACACCACCGCAAACGACCTTGGAAGCGGACGGGGGGCCAGGAAAAGCAGGCAACCGAATCCTCTGACCTCGTTCTCCGGCGCGCGTGCTCCTACACGCTCACACCGGCGGCGGCGCCGGCGGTGGCGGGCGCGGATGGGTCTGCCTGCCCGTGAGTCCCCATTTCGTCCCATTGCTCCATCACACCGCCGCCGGCGGCGCATGGACGGGGGCAAGCCATGCCATGCTGACGAGCCGACTAGGTAGCTAGCTAGTACTCGCACTGAGTCGATGACGCCGGGCAGCCGTCGACGTCGTTGTCTATGACGCCCGCTTCGCAACGGCGCCGGGTTGTCTGTGCGCCTCGCTGCTTGTGCCTTGCCCTGCCTTGGGCCGGGAAGCTGGTGCGCCGACGCTTCTGGCTGGCGCAAGGCGCGCGGACGGACGTAGCTACGGTAATCGGTAGTAGCCGCACTGTTCCTAGGCGTTTCAGGTTTTTTTAGGCTGCGATCTGGCGGCGTGGCAGATTGGGGTGGGAGCGTGCCGAGTTGTTTACTTTGGTACCTGCCTATTCGGGCCAGGTCGAGGTTTGGGTCGGTTTGGACTGTAGCGGCGACGACGACGACGGAGAAGAGAAGCAAACAAGCAACGCAGCAGCGCAACGGCACGCGTGCTGCTGCGGGGGACGGCGACGCTGAAGTACACACGCTCTCTCTCTACCTCTCCCTACCTACCTATTCTTGCCAGCGTGCCTATTTCCCGACCTGCCTGCCTGCCTGCTCGTCTGCAGACATACGTACAGATGACTGCCAGCGCAAACAAGCAGCTGCGGTGCCCACCCCAACGTCCGCCACACCGGACACCGCACAGCACAGCAGCGCAGCACAGGCACGCACAATCCGGCGGCGTCTCCCAGCTAGCTGCGCGGCCACGCATCACCGTCCCACAGCGTCGTGAGCATTACGATTACGGGTGGGCGTGTGCGACGGCACCGTTTGCCGCGGTCCCTACCTAAGCCTAAGCATGGAAGTAAACACAACACACACACGCGCGCACGCACGAGTCCGCCCGCCCGCCGCGCCGCGCCCGCCTGACTCGCGCGGCCTAGACCTGCGTCTGGAGCCTGAGCCTGAGCCTGAGCTGGAGTTGGAGCCAAGAAGACGTCCGTAGTTGATAGTACGCAGACCTGGGCAGACAGGGTAGCTGCCAGGGCTGCAGCAGCCCTGCCTTTTTGCCCTGCATGATGATTGACAGCCAGTAGCCACGCTGGCCGGTGGTCGGTGGTCGATGGTCTGACAGCCGTTGCTTTGGCCCAGGATCATGATGGACCAAGGGCAGCGTAATCCGTAGGTACTCACTCTAAGTGGGCAAGACGTGGCTCGCGGGGGCCGTGGATGGCCGTTTTGCATTTGCGCGTGGTAGTGAGAGTGCCAGAGTGCCCGCGCAATGCCACCCACCGTTGCTACGGGCGAAAACACCGACACGGACACCGACGAGACGATGGATGAAGAGCGGGTTAGGCTGGGCCCGCTTCCCTCGCGGGCGGAATCCTCTTCCTCTTCCTCTGCGTGCTACAACACCGCCTTGCCTTGCATGACATGCGCAGCCCGCACCGCCAACCCTCCGTGCCACAGCTATCTACAGATCCACTATCCCGCCTGCAACCCAACAAAAGCAGGCACCTAGGTAGGCTCGGCCGACTTGCGACAAGCCCCCAATCCCCAGCCCTATACGCGACCGACATCCCGAGCGCCTCCGAGCCCGACTCTTCCCGTGCCTACCTAACTGCCTACAACAACACCCGTCGGCCGTGCGTGATATGTATGCTGCATAGCCACACACACACACACCCACCCACCTATCCGCCACCCCGCCCCCGCGCACACGCCCACTCGCGCCGCTCGCACGTCCATCACTAGATATCTAATCCGTACTTCTCCGCTCGACGTAGGATGTGCAAAGCAAACCGGCACCTGTGTGTGTGTGCGCGCTCGAAACGTCCGTAAGCACTGCTCTGCACTGCTCTGCACGCACGCACGCACGCACGCCCACTGCACCGCCGCTCTGCCTTGTCGCAGCGTAGGTAGGTAGGTGTAGGAGTCATTGGGAGTAGGAGTATGACGGACCTACCTAGGTGCGCAAGGCGGCGCCATCTCCGCGGCGCCCGCGGGGAGCAAACAAGCACGCAGGGCAGCAGGGCGGGTCCCGAGGCAGCGCACCACAGCGCACCGCACCGCACCGCACCGCCAGAGAGGCGACGGCGACATCTATCGACCGCGAAAACATAGACGCGGGTTACGGATACGGGCGCGCCACTCTATTCTTTTCTCTGCTAACCTACCTTCGTCCGCTCTGCCTCCCAGAGCAGACCCATATGCGCGTACGCGCGTATACCAGTCCAGAAACGCAATGCGTGCTCGTCATCGTAGTGCTGGTCGGAGGCAAAAGGCACGCCACGCGGATGTGCTGGGGTTCGGTGCGGAAGAAAAACTAAAAATTGGAAGCGCGCTCACGAGACGACGGCGGCGGCTAGGAGAGGGGGGGAGGGGGGGGGAGAAAAGAGAGAGGGAGCGAGGGAGCGAGCAGCAATATTAGGGCTAATACTAAAGATAAGGTTAAAAAGAGAAGAAGAGGAAAAAGTAAGGAAAAAGAAAAGGACGGAGTATTGGCTAGAGTATTGGCTGGAAAAATGATACTTACGAACGGCAGAAACAACAACAAAGTTAACTCAACTCAACTCAACTCAACTCAACTCAAGCATTCATCCGTTCATTCACACAACCACACAACTACACTACCAAAGCAAGACACGATCAAGCTAGATATTACACATTACTATTACTTATTACTACTACTGCGCAGATTAAACTACTAAGCTACTAAGCAAGCTACTATAACTATAAAAAGTAGACATGTCGTTGTGGTCGCAGCATCGCTCGCGCGAAACCGCCCCAGCAGCAGCAACACCAGTCGTCTGTCCACGAAATTTTCCCTCGCCCTCGCGTCTCGTGTCTCATGTCTCAGGCAGCCACATTGGCAGGGCAAGAAAAGCCAAAAGCCAAAAGCCAAAGGAGCAGCAAGCGCGGCGGCGCGAACCGTCGGCCCCAAAAACCCACTGCAAAGCGCGAACCCAACCCAACCCAACCCTTGCCCCCAAACCCCCAAAACCCTCAGCAAGCGCCATGGCGATTCGCTCTCGGCTTCCCCGCCTGCCCGCCCCCAAGGCCCCAACAACCTAGGCGGGCACCCTGCCTTGCCCCGCACGGTCCTGGTCGTCGCGAATCGTCGCGAGCCCAATCCCAATCCCAAACCAAAATATTGAGGGCATGGTTGGTTGGGTGGACGAGTTGCGAGGTGTGACCAGAGGCTGAGAGCGAAAAATGACACCGTGGTGATGGTGCACAGGCGCAGCGCACCAAGGCAGGGCAAGACGGACAGACATGACAGGGCAAGGCAAGGCAAGGACAGACAAGATATGCAGGAAAAATTTTCTTTTTTTTCTTTCTTTCTTTCTTTCTTTCTTTCGGCCGCGGCCGTGGAAGTCTGACTGATAGGTAGGGTATCTAGGTAGGAAGGTAGAGGAAAAGCCAGTGCGCGCGATCTGCACTGCACTGCAGCGAGCTAGTTGCTTGCTGTAGACCCTGGCATCGCGACAACGACGACAAAATGGTGGTGGTGGTGCTCGCCGTCCCCCACGGTATACGGCGCCCAGCGCAAAAGCGCAAGGAACCCCCGTCGCGCGTCGGGCAGCGCCAGCGCGCGCCCACGGTGCTGACCGGTGCCAGGGAAGCGCTTCCCAGCGCCCGCCCCCGCGTCTTTCTGGCTGACGCTGTGGCTGGCCCTGCGTTTTTGCGCCCACTATTAATTTTTTTTTTTTTTTTTTCTCGCGTTCGCTCTTGTTGCGAGCGAGCGAGCGTGCGTGCCCTACTAGGGAAGGCTCGGAAAGGATGCAGGCGCTGCCCGCCTGCCGCTTCCTTCTCGGTCGAAACGGTGCGCGCCCCGCCCGCGGCTGGGCGCGTGCGCCCGGGCTGTTCGGCCCAACGCTGCTGCTGCTGCTGCTGCTGCTGTTGCTTGTTGCTTGCTTCGTTTAGGTGCTGCACCCTCCTGTGGGTGTGCAAGAACCGACTCGAGACGCAAGAAAATTTCCCCAATCGCGCCGATTCTTTGGGGGTTGGGTTGGGTGGGTTGCGTGCCACACCCCCCGGTCCCCTGGTCGCTCGCGTGAGCGCCCGCCGCTCTCTTCCACCCACAGCCTCCCATCATGTGTGGTTGGGTGGTGGGTCGGTGGGTGGTGGGTTGGGTGAGGATGATGCATTGCATGAACGCGCGTGACGTTATGGTTATGACTGATGGTGGTGTGGTGCTGAACTGGATGATGGGATCGAAAACGCATCAACAGAGAACACACAACAAATTATTGCCCGCGGGGCCGTTCAGCGGTAGTAGCCCGAGGAGCGGTGCTCGCGGATATCCCTGTGCGAGGGCTCGCGCACCTCGACGTGGTACTTGGAGTAGGCGCGGCGCTGCTCAGCGACGTCGGCCTCGTACAGCGAGCCGCGCTTGGTCTTGGAGTGCGAGACTTCGACGAGCGAGCGGACGGGCCAGTCGACCATCTCGCGATGCTCGGCGCGGTGCTTGCGGGGCGTCGTCGTCGTTGCCGTGGGCACCTCCTCGACGTGAACGACCGTCGCCTGCACCGGCTTGTGCTGTTGCTTGGGGCGTTCGGGCAGGCGGGGCGCGACGGGGTAGCTCTTGTCCATTGAAACGAAGCGGCGGCGGTGCCTCATGGCACGCTCGACTGCGCGCAGCAGGCCGCGGGCCTCCTCGTAGCTCGGCGAGATCTCGATGCGCACCATGTGCCAGTCGTCGCCGGTGCTGCAGATCTGGCCGTCCTTGCGCATGTACAGGCAGCGGGCGATGGCCTGGGCGAAGCGGTGGCCGTCCTCGCAAAGCTGGCCGCCCGTCTTGTGCACCTCGTAGGGGTTGCGGCACGCCGCGCAGTTGCGGGCGTGCATCTCGAAGTCGTACAGGGCCCAGCTCTCGGCGATGCTGGCAGGGCGCGAGATGCCGGTGATTTCGCCCTCGGCGAAGCCCACACTCTTGCGGGCGTGGGCCTTGTTGGTCTTGGTGTGGATGATGGTCGGCATGGCGACGGACTGTCTGTGGAAGGAAGGCATGCCGGAGTGAGGAGAGGAGGGTTTGAGGATGGGTTTAATTAAGGGAGCCAAGGCGACTCAGGTTGGTGAGGGTTGTGATAGCAGACCAGTTGTAATGAGTGAGAGTGAGAAGAGAGTCGGACCGGTCAGTTGGGTTATGTTTGGGAAAGAGGTTGGGTTGGAATGGTTCGGGGGGAGTTGGGATGGGATGTTGGCGAGTATATGTATTTGCGCGGGCTTGTATAGACCCATGTTGATGCCTTGCGATGGCGTAGGGGAAAGGTCGCATCCCTGTACCCCAGTCGCGTCGGTGCCGATCATGCGCACCGGAGCTGCATGCGCGTCGCCATTGGCCGCGGCGTCTGCGAAACGGGAAGGTTGACTGGGGCCGGTGGCGCTGGCTGTGCCCGCGGGCGGTGGGCGTAGGGCATGCCAGAGCACAGCCGCAGCCGTGATCTTGCCGTCTGGCCCGTTTGTCCCGCGTCGTCATGCCCCGTTTGCTGTTCTTTATTGCTTCACCCACCGAGCCAGACTGCGGGAGCGAGGGATGGGCGCGGGAGGGCGTGCGCACCTCCACCCCTCTGTTCGAGAATGTCGGCCAGCTCAGAGAGGGTGCAGAAACTATGGAGTCGCAGTGCTGACCGGTTTCCACCATCGACCACCGCTCAATCGGGCTAGCCGTGCATCACTCAGCGAGCTTTGTTGCCCACGCACCATTGCTCGCCCCTGGCAAAGGTCGAGACTCGCTGCATTTGACCGGTCGCAGCTGCCGACTCATCTGACGGCCTTTCGCTCCTTCTTCTGTACAATTTTCTGTCTGTTGTTGCATCTGCACGTCGCGCGTCGTCCCTCCAACCAACTCCCTCGGCCGACTACTGCAAGCACAGCCTGCCTGTCAACCACTCGATCTCTGACGTCAAAGCCAGCCCTGCTCTCTGCCGCGGTCCGACTGCGCCCGTTTGGTCTACCGCCTTCCGCTTCCCGTACCGCCTTATCGGCCGAAATTGGAGACCGTTGCTGTTGGCCATCCCCACCTCGATCTCACTACGCAATCTTTCTTCTGACGTCGGGCTGATGAGATCTGGCTGCGCGGCCCTGGCCCTGCGCCATATCCTGAAGCAATGAAGAACCATCTTTTTTCATTAAAATCACAGTTCTCGACCTTGCCAGGCCCGCGCTAGCCCTCAAATCCCGCGACTTGGGCGCCAACAATGGCAATAGGCTTCTTTACCCGACGGGACTTGGTGGCCTTTCCGTGCGACCTGCTCCCATTGCGGCACTCATCGACGATTTGCATCCAGCATCTGCGCGTCTCACATCCCAGAAGAGATCCAGGCCGTGGCCCGCCGGATTGTCTCAGACCAGGAAAAAACGTGGGATGCACGCCGTGCAACCCGGCATCCCGGCGCTGCGGGCGGAGGAGTGCCACCATCTCGGCTGCAGCCGCCTCACCCCAACAGGCCTGGACATAATCGGTTTTGCGAGGGAAAAAGACATTTGTCGCGCCGCGGCTGGCTTTGCGATGCCCGCGGCAGTCTGTTGCAGGGCCCCCGGCCGTGTGACGTTTGCCGACGCGAGAAGGAATATTATGTACCAGCGCCATGGCTGCGCGCGCAGGGCAGTCGACGCCTGACTGGTGCAGGCTCCCTTGCTGGAGGCGCGGCTGGCTGCATATATCCACCCACTGTATCGCGAGATGAGCACGCGCTCGCAGCAACCTCTGCGAAGCTCATGTATGAAAACGAGCCGGCTTGCATCGCATGCGCGCCATCGAGGCCCGTCTTGTCGCCTCATTCTCGCGCGTCCGCCATCGCGATTTTGCTTCCGCCGCGCATCCGCCCTCTCCAATTCGCCGTGAAGAATGGTGGTTCGATCCGATCTCTCCTGGCACCGCAGGTCCTAGGTTCGTGCGACGGTGATGTGTCGAGGTGGCGCGCTTCGATCGCCGCTGCATGCTCGCAAGGCTTGCTCAACCTTCTTTCGTTTCGAGAATCTTTCCCGTTTGTGGTGTGATATAGCTGGACAACAAACACCTTGATCTACAAGGCATGGCATTAGCCGCAAGCCGCGTCGGCACGTCTAAACAACACATCACGACTACAAGCCGCCTTGCGTCTGTGGTTACCTGTGGCGACTGTAAGCTTGCTCGCGCCCGTCTGTTGTTGTCGGTGAGCCGCCGCCCATTTTCTCACCTACATGCTTTACAAGCAAGAAGCAAGCCCGACTCGGCCGCAGCAGCAGCCGCAGCAGCAAACAGCAATGGAAGTAGCAGGTAAAAGCGACAGCAGCAGAGACGCTGCCACGCTCGCTCGCTATCGCTCACCCACAGCCGTCGTCCGCGCTTGTCTGCACCGCAGCGCATACCGCTAGGTCTTGTCGGCGCAGCGGCGCTAAAGCACACGGCACACGTCCAATTCGTCCGCCATTCCGACCATGAGAAATCACAACACCCCTGGGGTCGCCCTTTGCTGCGGCGCTCCGCTCCAAGCCTCCAATCCAGACCATCCGCGTCTGGCTCGCGTTGGCCCAGGCAACAGTCAGTCGTTGTGCCAAGGCGTGTGTTCTCGCGCCCGTCTAGACTCGGATTCGACTCGACTCGACTCAGACCCGGCGGCAGGTGGTGTGGTGGTGATGTTGGAGCGCAGAGTCTCTCACCGCTCTCGTGTCGCGCTTCCCCTCCCTATCTCCGGCGCGGGCAAGCGCGCGCGCGCGCGCTCCGGGCGGTCCCAGCCCCTGCCCCGGCCCTGGAACGGCTGCTTGCTTGCTTGCGTGCTGGCGTACGTGGGTGCTGGCAGGCTGTTCCTACAGTACGAGCTCTTTCTGGTGTTTCTCCTCCTGCGTGCGCTTTCAGGCGGATGATCGGCCTAGCTAGCTAGGCAGGTTGGTCGCGCCGCTCGCGCGCGCGCGCTCGGCCCTGGCTATGGCTTGCCGTGCCGTGCCGGGTGATCGTCAGGCGCGCCTGCACTGCACGCACGACCGCGCGGCCGCGCAGGTGTGCTGGTACGCGCGGATCTCCGGATGGGGGTGCTGCCTTGGTGGGTGGGTGGGTGGCTGCGGGTTGCCGAGGCGGACGACCGGGCGCGGGAGGATCTGGCGCCTTTTTGCGTTCTCGGCTGCTGCTGCTGCTGCTGCTGCTCTGCGGCATGCGGTAGGCGGGCCCGTGGCCGGTACAGTAGCCCGTGTCCTCCTTTTTGGGGGGGTTGCGGGTGCTGTGTAGCGGCTTTCCATCTTTTTGGTGCCTCGGCTCGCGTTGTTGTGCTGTGCTGTGGTGTGAGAATGGAGAGGGCTGTGAGGCGGGCGGTTGATTGGGTGGGTGGGCGCTGCGAGCTGCTTACCTACTTACTGTTGCTTTGCTTCGAGTGCTGTGATGAGATGGGTTGGGTAAGCGGGTGGTTTGTGGTGGGTGTGTGTGTGGATGGGGTGATGGGGTCCGGAAGAAAGGTAGGTGTGTTAGTGTGTTGGTGAGTAGTGCGGAGGGGAGTCGTTAGATAGGTAAGTCCGTGAGTGAGTGCGTGAGTGAGTGAACTGAGCCAGCCAGCAAAGTTAGGTACCTAGCAGGTAAGAGAGAGAGATAGCGAGCGAGAGAGTGTGTGTGTGCACAGCACGACTCACATTTTTT